ATTAACTCTCTCTCATACACACCCCACCCTTTCTCTTTTTTTTCTTTTTTTCTCATTGTTTGTTTCTTCCTCAGTGGTTTTTTTCACATATAAAAGAGTCTGGAAGGTACTCACTTCTCAAAAAATATTTTTGGTTTGTCCCTATAACCTGTTACTTTTATTATTGCTATTTCAGTACGTTTCTTTTTTTTCTCCAGAGTTTCCTGTATTTTTGTTGTGGTAGCCTTGTCTGGCTGCTGGTAGTTAGAAGTGTTAGAGCCGTCTGTAAAGGAGCTGTGGCTCTGGAGAGGCAAGACTCAAGTTCTGCACAAAGGCAATTGCTTTTTTTCCTCTGAGTCTTTTCTTCTTGTTGTTGGGTTCTTCTTGTTTTAATTATTCTCCCAGAAATGGAAACCGGAGTTGTCACATGAGGTGGAATGAGTCGAGGGATGTCACTCCTGGGCAGTTTCAGTGGGATTGCAGTTCGCTGGGACCTTATTAGATTCAGCTGTTACCATCTGCTCACATCATCCTTATAGTCATTTATGGCGAGCAGTTAAATATTTCACGTTAAGGAGACACGTTCTTGATGTATTAAAAATAGTTATCAAATAGTTACCAAATTACATACAGATGTTTTGATAGTCCCTGTAACTAAAAGGAGATTTCAGAGCCATTCTTGTCCTCTACAGGTACAGACACACCCCCGAGGAAGGGGGAACTTGGGCGAGTGGGGGTGAGAAGGTTTTGGTGTTTTGAGAGGTCAAACACCGAGCTGCTGTCAGCTGGCAGGGTAGAAATTAATTCTACATCTTTTCGGTACAATTTTTGGCATCCTGCCATGGCTTTCCATTCACCCTGTGGGTAAGTGCTTTTTTGCTAACCTGTACTTCTTTATACTGCTTAATTGAAGAGTTATTTATTTACAGTAGCAAGGAATTAAGAATTGTTATGGCAAACTTCACCCCTCTTTTCTAAGGAATTATTTTAGCATGGTTCCAATGGTTTATTCAATCTCATTAATTTATTTTTTATAAGTGTTAAAAGATGCAAAACAATTATTGCAATATAATGATAATGTATGAAAATGTAAATTTAACCTGAGGCATTTATCAATAAATCAATGTATTTTTTTAAACTTTTATACCTACAGAATGTGCATACTTTTTAAACTATAAATTTAAATTCTAAATAAAAATTGAATTAAGAACAAAATTTGTCTATGCCTAGTTAGTGATTATTTAAACCTGTCTAAGCTGATGCCATCCCTCTGCACTGGCTGCACGTGTGAATTAATTCCATAAAGACATTTAGCTTTTTGAGAGGTGTTCTGTTGTCATTTCTAGATTGACCCAACATTTGAACTAGATAATTAAAAAAAAAACAAAAAACAAATCACTACTCAATTAGCACTACTTGAAAGATGTTTCCATTTCAAGTTTTTTGATAAATGACATATTAAGCTTTCATTGTCTGTAACAATCCGAATATGTAAGTAGTCACCTCTTGAAGTGTAAGATTTTTCTCCAGGAGGGGTGGGTCTGTAACTCAGGGCAACAGTGTACTGCTCTGTCAACTTGAATATTTTAACATTACGACAGCGGAAATTAATGACTTAATAAATTGTAATAATGTTAATCTAATCAGGTACTTGAAATACAGTAACATATTGGTATTATTTAAATGAAACATCTGCTGCTAATTTAGTGACAACACCTTGTAGAACACGTTTTATGTCTTAGAAATCCTCTTTCAATGAGACATTTCCCCAGTGGTATTTTTGTTATATGTTATCCCTTATATGTATTCTTATCAATACTATTATATTTCATATTATTTACATAATCTGGTCAAGGTGCATTCTTTTGATGATTTTTACAGATTCTTAAGGAACAGGATTAAAATGGGAATTACCCTACTCTAGAAACATGGAGATTAAAACAACTTGTTTTAATCAAAGCAGTAATGAATTTTTTTTTATACAAAAGAGTAGCCTCGGGCTGTGTGTGGTTCACAGGGCAGAGCTCCTCTTGAGCCCCGTGGGCACAGCCAGGAGCCTCCCCTGCTGCACTGACCTCAGATGTTGTCTGCCTCATATAACTGTGTGTGACATCAGGAGCAGCTCCTGTTCACCAGCGGGTAGAAGAGGTTATAAACAGAGGGCAGAGCCTGTGGTGGAATTCAGAGAGCAAATGTCCTTGGAGTGCATGGACTTCCTTCAGGTGTGACCTCTGCTTCCCAGGTAGAGGAAATGAATGCAGGTGCTCTTGCAGAAACAGTTCCAAGACTTGCACCAAAATCACATATAAATGGTTGTACCAAAGCATTATAGCAAAGTGCTGGGCCGGGTCATAACCGAGAATTGTAGTTTGTAGTCCTCAGGGAAAAGCAGAAATGCAAAGGTAGGTCTGTGCAGTTCTTTGCTGCCAAGTGTTAAGGATGAGATGCACGTAGGTGGATTCAGGACTGGACTGGGCCCATTCATAGAGTTTTAATCCTTTCCTGTTGGTTTAAATAGGATTTTCCAAATGCTGCTGGGGCTGTGTCACTGACCCAGCTGACACAATCACTTCTCCCACTTTTTCAGCTTCCCAAAGTGGCTTATTACAGGAGCGTTCAAGAGATGGGTAGGGATGATGTGGGGTGTGCTGTAGTGGGGTTGGCTTAAGCCACTGGGGACTTAATCCTCAGAAATCTGAGGATTTTACATCTGTCTTTCCCAAATGTGTAACGTACTTGTGTGTTTGTTAACACACCAGACAAGAAATGTACCTGCAGCTATTCAGATGTTTTCTAAAAATAGAGGGAGATATCCCAGCAGATATTCAGGATTTTTATGAAATCAGTCTGTAAATCTGATAAGCCAGAGACACATCTGGTATTTCTACTGTCAGATCTTAATCCCTTTACTTTCTTCCCCAGCCCAAGGTGTATTGGGTTACATTAAGAGAAAAAGGGTATTTTGATATAAGAAGCCGCTGTCTCACATTCTGGAGCTAGCAACAGCTGAAAGATGGTTATTTGGGGTGGGGGGAGGGCTGATATTACACTTTCATGTAACTATGATACATTTGTTTTAAAATGTCATCCTACATAATTAATTTGCCATGTTTTCTTTTTTAATTTACCACTTGACTATTTTAGAACCACATGGGAAAGCCTTAACGCTAAAGTTTTCTGAGCAAAATTGGAACAGTAGGATATGAGATGATGCAAAGCTGACCCTACAGGTATTTGAACGTCTAGAATTGTGAGGATAAAGGATCATCATGGGATGTGTAATCTCAGGTCTCTAGTGTTACGTGGGAGCAGATACGAGGAGGAAAATGACTGTCAGGAAGATTACTCCCTTTCCATTGGGGAATTCCTGCAGTTACCCGAACTACTTTGCTGTAGGGAAGGAGAGGAGCTAATAAGCAGAGCCCTGACCCCCTGCCTCCTTGGCCTCAATGTTAGGAAAACCCAGCTGAAATCCCTCTGTCTTCTGAAATATTTTCTTAATCAAAACTCTCAAGAGTGCCTCTGTGGAGGGAAACAAGGCTCCCATTGAGGCTGCTGCCTCTTCTGGGGGGTAGTGACAGAGCTGCAGTAGAGAGGAAATGTCCTCATTTTCCAGATAAGCCATGACCATAAGGTTGACTTATGGTTGGTTGACTAAGGTTGACTTGCAGCCCTGCTAATCAAAGCTGTGGAAGGTGATCTGAGGTGATGTACTAATCAAGTCCACGTCTGATAACAGAGACCTGAGCTTTTTAATTAGTCAGTTGTGTGATATTTGCATATCTGTATAGAGTAGGCTGTTGGTTAAATATTGATTTAGCAGGGCAGCAATGTTCTCTTCCTGTTTGCACTCTGACTGCAAACACTGTGCTGCAGGTGGTAGGGACACGCTTGTTGAGTTTTCCCCAGGTTTTAATTTAGAGGTAGTTCAATATGAAGGGTAAGGAATATCGCTGTAATAGTTAACTTCAAATTAACAAACAAGAGAGACCATTTTTCAAACAGAGTCCTATCTAGTGCTACCTCTTAAATCTGACCAAAGTTCAATCAAAGTGGTAAAAGTGCATGACAGGGAGATCCTGGCTGTAGAAAATTGAAGGGGCATATTTTTGCCACTACCTAAAACCAATTTGCAGTGTTTATTTGGGGACTCAGGAGCCTCACACAGTTTCTGTTGTGTATTTGGCTGTGCTTTACTCTGACGAAGCAGAGCACTGGGGCTGGCTATCACTTGTCAGCTGAAGATCCTCTCTGCAAATCCCCTGTGTGTCAGTTGTCTTTTGTGCTTTAGTGTCTACTGTGACCACATGGACATTTGTTTGACAGGAGTCTGTGACCCTCAAACATTTTGGTGAGTCATGGAAAGAATGAATTCACCCGTATAGAGTTTAATCTGTCCTCCTCTGATAGATTTAATTTCTGCTTGACAGGCTCTGCTCAGTTACATGGTGTCTGACCTGGCAATTGAAACCGAGTAGCCACCAGAGAACTGCTTACCAAGGACTCCTCTCTGTGGATGGAGGATGAGCATTAACATTCATGAGCTGTTACTCATTTACACTGGTAAATATTAAAACTTCTGTATAACACCATTTGATCTCTCTGAGGAATAATTGTCTTTTGACAGAAATGCACAGACACAGTGTGCTTGGTAAAAGCTGTTTACTCTAAATAATACTGATTTCTTTGAGGGAACAATATATTTTAATGGATTTGGTTTCCTATTTGTAAGCATTTGCCAGGATTAAGTAACAATTCTTTTGTAATTCTGATGACAGCAAGTAAAAGTGGTTCAGAGTTACAGAACTGACTAGGTTGGGAAAGAGCTCTGAGAGTCCTGACAGACAAAACTTTGAAAACTATTATTTAAACAGAATATTCATTATAACTGTATTAATGAAAAATAGTGGGGGAAGTGTGTCCAAAACAATGGTTCTTTAACCACACCATGAGTGAACAAATGAAGTTAAGAAACAACAATCTCTTAACTGCAAGATTCTTTATTTCCAAAGCTAAACAGGTTCTGCTGAAATAGAGGTCTTCAAATAAAAAGCTCGCTGGTTCTAAAGGTGATAATGGGCTCAAAGTATCCAGTGAGTGAAATATTTCTTGTCTCTAAATCCAATATTATCTGCTTCTCCAGGTCCAGAAATACAGTTTTCTTGCTCCTCCATCTCTTGTTTTCTGTAGAATAGTCATACTCTGAAGGAAAGGCACAGACCATATTGTAATGTTAAGCTTTGAAACCTGCATGTGACCCCGTTGCTTTCCCATGGGTTATATCAGTGCTGTCACAAATTAATGAAAATAGGCATCCCCTGGGGCTACAGCAATCAACCAAGGAAATGGCAGTTTAGTTAGTTAGCACTGTTACATCATTTACCGAAGAATGGATAGGCAAAATCCTTACGTGAGTAAAGAACAGGAGGTTGGAGTCATCCCTGCTTGAAGGAGCAATGTTTATAGGGAAGTTGGCAAAAATGTAACTTTCAGAACGAGTAACTGATGTAAAATGAAAAGCAAATTTATAGTTGTTAAATGTCCATAGGCTTTAATGTTCTTGCAGGGGTTTCACTTGACCAAGAACTGCTCTTATGTGAACTAGGAGCATTTTTTCCATTCTTAAGAACTGTAAATATGAAATAAAGAGCTGCTAAGCTATTCTAATTACACCCATGCTGACTTTTTTGAAAATACTAGAGGAAATCCTGTCTAGCAAAACAGGTGCATTTTAAAGACCCAAAGAAACAGAAAATTTTCTTAATTCCAAATACAACATACTGTTTTCTCTCTCTGTGCCTCCAGCTCCATTTCAGTTCTGTTTTGGCTTGAAACTTTTGATACTCTTGGAACTCTTGTTCACAGTACTTCAGGTATTTGACTTCTCTTTCAAAGAAATCAAGTACATCGGCATGCTGTTAACACAATGACAAACAAGGGTCATTACATGCCCAAAGACACAAATCCATGGCTGATGATCTGAACGGTATTATTAGTTTATCTATACTGCGAATATAAATATCTCTATTTATCTCAATAATTTGCAGCAAAACCATATAAATATCTGAACAACTTCAGGCACAAAGAAAACAAACTAGCATACTTCAGTATACATTACTGTGGACTCTATAGCATTGTTTTAATGCATGAAACCAGGTGTCATTTTATGGATGTGGCAAAAAATGCTGAAGTTTTCGTGTAGCGAGGTTGGAGCACTGGAATTCTACCAAATGTCACTGAGGTTTGCTTTAGTTGACTCCTGTCTGAGCTCTTTGGAAAGCCAGCTTTACTACAGGTGATCTTTGGAGAATATGGCCATTCTGATCTCACATTAATTGCTGTCATTTGAAGGCAACTTTTTCCAGGCAGGCTTGTTTCTGTGTTGGGAGTTTTCAGGATAAAGTGTCAGAGATTAATAAAAATTCTTACCAACCTCATTACTGGAAGGATGACTTAGTGTTTGACAGATTTCCAAAACATGCAGTACTCCAAGATTGTCAGAAACAGCTAAAAAATGCTGCTCCGCTGAAAGATATTTGACAAAAAACATATAAACAACCCAAATTCCAACAGCAACGTGAACCTCCACCCAAATACAAGCTACAGAGGGTTCATTTTTGTTCTGGTCATTTTGGCTTATTGTTCACTGCAGCAAAAAAGGCAGCCTTATTGCTCTGTTATTTTATTTAAAAAATTCCCTTTAAAGTTTATTTTTTATCAGACTTTTTTTTTCTTAATTAAATTTTTTTGGTTGCTTTTATGGTGTGATAGTACACTTAGAACTGATGTGTATGCATTTTTTTTATATACAGTGCTAAATTAGTGGAAGTATGTACTTATATAAGAGTTTGTAATAAGATTTATGTGCCTTGGAGTCACGGGTCAGTTTGCAAACAGGGTAGCACAATAAAGTGCAATCACCATCAACATACGTGAGGCAGTCCCGGGGCTGATGAAAGTGATGGCTGATTTGGAGATGTTCTGGAAATGAGATGGCTCATGAGTTTTCTTCAGTAAGTCCCAAATATCTATATTTCCATCATCTCTGCCAATGAACAAAACTCCTGGTCTTGCTAAGGACCATTGTCCTGCAGTGTATCTTCCTGCAGAGCAGCTTGACTGAAGGATTGGTCCATTCTTAATTATGAAAGCAAATCAAAGATAGATCAAACAATCAAACAGTGCTATCAGTTCACTCCTTCAGATCTCTTATCAGTGGAGAACATTCACAATTTAAATTACCTTATTACAAAACTTTTGTCAATGGCAAAATTTGTACCACCTTCTGCAGATAAAGAGAATTATGGGGAAGTGTAAAAACTGGTAGGTCACTTCCAGTCTATTAAGGTAATCTGTCTATCTGCTGTTAAAACCTGTGGTCTGGAGATTTTGTCAGGAATCCTATATGAGAGGAACTGTAAAAAAACCCCGCAGTTTTTTGTCTTCACATGATGAAAAAACTTTGTCCTAAAATACAAGTACTTCAGACTTGTTTAGCCCACATTTCCTTTATTCTTTGTTTTCCCTAGCAGCAGAATTATATAGTTGAGAAGTTACAGTTTTTACAAGGTTAGAAATGAAGTTCTTTTTTTATAGAAGATTCTTTTATACCCGATTTGTTTCTAAACTATGAAGCTTTGGGACTTACAAACATTTCTGAAAATACAGACTCAGAGTCCATTATAGTTCTGTCTTGTATATCTATGACTTACGTTACAGCTGTGTTAAAGTAACTTACTGTAACCCCTTCTTTCCAAATGGCAAAATTCTGGCCTCCAATGCTTAGGAAGGTGTCTTTAAAAAATGGAGATCTCTGGAGAGTGTTGATAGTTTCAGTGTGAAGGCTGTATTTCTGAGTCTGATGCTGACCTAATGGATGAAAAAGGCAGTTGCTTGTAACTTGTGCCTTAGTGATCAAGAAACTAGAATGCAGGACCCAGCACAGGCTTTAAAGATGCTAGCCTCGTTTTATTGCTCACAAGGTACAGGAATTGGAATTACTGCAAATCTATGATTTGTGACAGTAGGTGCATAGTGATGCACTGTGAGACTGGAGAGGGTTGTGCTATTCTGTCATGTCAGCTAAACTGCTTGCACTTTTGAGGGTGTCCTGCTAAATCCCACTGTCATCAGTGAGATAGACTATTAGAGCTGATGAGCAAGAATCTTAAAAAGACAGTATAGATGCAAATATTTTAAAGCTAGTGATATAGTAAGGTTTAAAGAGGTATTGAGAAACTTGAACTTACTAACTGGTTTTGCCGAATTAGCATCAATTTTCATTTTCCAGTCAGAATAAACAATTACTCCATCCTGTAATGCCAGAAAAACCAAGTAAATGCTAATGTTAGAGTTTAGTGGCTTATATCAAAGTGACTTGTTTCTATTTTTACTTAATTACAACCATCATTAAATATGATCTTAGTAAACTAAAACCTGAATTCGCAGCCAACGACTGAAAACACATAAAAATTTTGTGTCACCATTTTTCAGTTATGTATTGCCAAAACAGCTTCACTTACCATGATGATTGTAAGCAGTCCTTCCTGCAGAATTAGGTGCCTGGTTTTTATAGTTCATGCTTTGCTCCAGTACTTGGGGAAAAGGTGACCGGAAGCAAAAAGGTAGCTAGAAGCCAAATTTTCATTTCCATATGAACTCAAAACTGGGAAAGACTTGTGAATTTTAGATGCATAGAGAAGGTAGAGGGCTATGAACATCTGGGACTTCCTAAAGTAAAATTAAGTTTGGGGGGAAACTGTAGTACAAATGTTTACACCTGACATTTGGGAAAACACTAAAAAAATACTACTAATCTTATGCATTCTGGAATAAGGAAATACTGTTTGATTCCTAATAAACTCAGCATATTTTGGAAATGTCTTCTAATTCTACCCTTGAAGTAGTTCATAGTCTACCACATATTGGAAGTTTTTTTTTTTTTTAAGCCTGTAGCTAAAGCGTTAAAATGGAAGTAAAATGTGGCATGTTCAGAAAGATCTTTTTAGTTACATCTGAAGAAAACATGCAAGCCTATACATTTGTGAAAGCCCTGTTATTTAATTGTTCAGTCTTTCAGATATCTCAGATTAACATTTTCCTTGGTGATATATTAATTTCACTTACTTTGTTTCCAACAAAAAAGTTGGTGGATATATTCTCGAGCACTTCTAGATTTTTGCTTGAAGAACTACTCATCTCTGTATATGGGCTCTCTTTGGCAGGTGCTTTTACTGCACTCAGAGATTTCGCCTTCCCTGGGAAACAAGATGGTTACATCTATTTGTTAAACACTGGAATTTATCAGACCAAGCAAATCCTTTGTCTTGTAAAGGTAGTTCATGGATAATGGGAATTTCAAGAGGAGAGATGAAGAAAGACTGACAGGTAAAACAACAGTTTTATAGGTTAACTGTTTCCTGGTGTAATCTCCCCTTTCCTGCTCTGGTCAGTCCTTCCCATACCCAGACATCTACTTAGGGTAGCCCCACACTGTTCTTCTCCTGTTTTACACATCAGTGTCTCCATGGGAAGTGCCCTTACCCATCACCCGTAGCTGCTGCAACCAGGAGCTAACAGCTCTGCTCCAGGGAATGGATTCTGTCTAAAAATAGTTTTCTATAACAGCTGAAAAGGACATACTGTTTGAGGGATAAAGAAATTGTGTGGGGGACTTGCATGGGCTTTTGAGTGAAACTGGGTAGAGTTACTGTGTATGCAGAGCTGCTCGGTTTGGATTCAGTACATGTGCATGTCTTTGTAGTCAGTACATGTAGGTTGCACTTTGAATACCAGTATATTTAAGAAACCTTTCTCCCCAGATGTGTTTAGCTATACGACATTTTGTTGCTCATCTTTTATTATGTATATACCAAAATACAAGCTTATTAAAAACATTTTCCCTAATAACTTTTAATAAAAATATTACCTGAGGTTTTGTAACAATAATGCAGTTCTCTTAAAATAATTCTGGTGGGACCATACTCTGTGTTGGTATCTCTTTCATGCAGACTTATCTGTTCAGAAAAAAGTGAAGTGCTAAAACATTTTGTTAGATCTTTGAGGTGCAAGTCTAAATTACTTTCTGCTGTAATGGAACAGGTCTTTTCAGTTTGCAGTGTGTTTGTAATACTCCACAAACAGTATTTGCTGCTTTCCATACAAGCATGGAGAAAATGCTCTTTGTGTTATCCTTTTCCTGTAAGAATTTTGCTTTGTTTCTAGCAAAAAAATCCCAGCCCAGCTCCATTGGTCATGCTTGTTCAACAACTGTACCAGCTGCAGCTATTCTGAACAGCACAGATCAGCACACCTAAAGTTGTTGGTTTTGTTTTTGTTTTTTTAAACTTTATGCTATTTTCAGCCTCACTTTTTTCACAAAGTGCTATGACCATTTTCCTGAAGTTGAGTGTTGCTATTAATTATGGTTTGACTCTGTTTCACCATTTGGGCCCCACTGCCACAGACAGCAGAGCTGTTGAGAAAGCTGACAGGACCTTACACTAGTTACACAACTACTTTTGTACCTACTGCAGTTTTTTAGAAGCAGTTATACTGTTTCTCATGAGTTAGCTTTTAAAAATGCATTTTATTGAAATTTCAACGGAATGTCGAAGTATTTAATTTAATAAGAAGAAGGAAAATCACGAGGAAATCAATATGCTGGAAAAATTACTCCCTGTGTTCTATATTTGTGTACACTACCTTTATGAGAGGTTTCCATGAGAGATCTAAATGCTTAGAAGTATCTGGAACACTAGATAAAGCCTTTTCCTGATTTTCCATGGCTGGAATATCCCAAAATAATATTGAGCTGCAAAATAATTGTATAATGTTATTCCTTGGTTTTGTTTTGAAGTCAGATGCAGTTTTCCACACATTTTAAAGTCTGGAGTTTTTTTAACCTTTCATCTTCAAACCTTGCATAGCAATAGAGGCTTTGAGAAGCAGACAAATGCTAGATACTTAATTGCTTCTTTTGTAAATGATGAAATATATAAAGCTAAACATTTACTTCCATTTTTTGCATTCTGTCCCCCTACCAGTCTTTCACACAAGATAATATTTGGTTATAACCATCATGACTATTCAGTCCACAAAAGAGGAGAATAATTTTGTCAGCTGAGGCTCCAAGTTTAAATATAGTTTACAGTATTTTTGTGGACTTAGAATCTTTTAACAGTTTTTTGTGCATGTCACACAGCCAAATGTAAGTGTAGGGGTGTGGCTTTCCAGGGTAATGCATGTATGATCAACACTCTTCTTAAGGTGGTATTCACAGAATATGAATGTATACATGCAAGGTTTTTCAGTTAATAAGCTCTTCATGCCATTACTGTAAAGGACAAGAATAGAATACAAAGTGCTTGTCTTCTGCATACAAAATTTCAGCTGTTTAGGATATGCTGATAGGAATCCAGAAGTGTGCTAGTTAAATCATGGATTATGCTCCATAAAGCTTTCCAAAGGAAACTGGAAGACATCTTGTAGAGTATATATTGTATATACCAATCAGGGGAGCAGGTTACAAGCTGCAGGCAATTTTCACCTCTGTTTTGGTTGTCCTGAAAATAACAGTGATAATTGTTACAGGGGAAGAAGATGAGACAAAAATCACATTCTGCCACGTAAGTACTTCAACACATAAAACAGGTTACTAGAAATTAAGTTCCTGTTTCTGCTTGGGTAATGTTTGAAAATCAGAACTTGTTAATTTGCAGTTACAAAGTCAAGCTATTTTACAAATGTACTTCAAGTGAACTGATGTCAGCTTTGCCTGCTACACACCTAAAATTCTAAATTAACCCAGCAGGATAAATACTTACTGGCACCACTGCAAGTCAGGCCCTCCTTAGTTTGCCATGTTTGTAACTTCTTTTATGCAGATTAACCAAAGAGCTAATCACTGAGAAATTTATTTACAGCAGTTCAGTGATAGTGGGAGTGATATGTCTTTGCCAAGTTTACACCATGGGTCATCTATCTTAAATTATCACTTGGCTCGACCTCACTGTGGGATGGTAGTGGTGCCTTCAAATGTTAATTATTAATAGTTTAGTTTGTATGTATGGGGTTCTGCAGGTTTTATACTACTTATTATTTACCAAGTAGTTATTGGCTTATTCCAAATTAATTTTAATTATTCAGAAAAATAAAGGAAAGGTGTCAGGAGTACCAAGTGATTATAGGATGAACCCCAATCAAATATATTTCCAGTATATGAAAAACATATATTTTGGCTAAAACTGTACTTATCAACCATGTAGCAAAATTTCAGCTCCACTTTTTTTATTTTTTATGGCAAGTTGGGCCTACTCTAATTTTCATTCATGAATTTGTCTACCTGGAGTTATAATGGTAGTTTTGCAACCAGGCAAAGCTGAATTAGGTTCTGGATATAACTTTGAATAATTTTTTATTAATATGTAATTCTAAAACTCCTGATTTTAGGAACTGTGCCATAAAAACTGCTCTGCCGTGCAAAGGCTGATACATATTCCATGTTTATATAACAAAAAGTATGTCCCAGTACATGTTGCTAAATACTGACAAAATGATTCCTTTGTCAATGTTATTTATTAAGCAGGGTTTTCTGTATCTGTTATCCCAGATAACCATGAAAACAGCTTTCTCAATCTAAACTTTGACTAAAAAACCCCACCCAAACAACAAAAACCACAACAATGCCTGCTATCCAATCCCTTTCCACATGTTTTACATCTGGTACTGATTAGTATCCATGGGTATTACTGTAGCATAAAATAATAATGAACAGTTGTATGAGCTTTCTTTTTATGACAAATGTGTACCCTTTTCCTCACTTTTCTGGTAATGTTGCTAAGGACTGCAGTATCCTTAAAAATCCTTAAAAAGTCTTAAAAATTTGCATAAACCTTCTAAAGATTTCAGTTTTCTTTCTCTTGGCCTGCTTTTCCACTGTCATTATTTGATCACTGCATTTGACTACCTTTGCATTTCAAATTAGTTTAGCAACCATTTGCAATACTTTGATGGTAATTGAGCACCCAGTACTCCTGTAATGGTGTTGGACCCTTCAACTACAAAGACCCTAAGTACTATGGAGCTTTAAAACCATCACAGAAAGTGAAAATTTTGAATACACAGGCAGCACCTCAAAGAATGAAGGTAACTGCAACACCACCATTCTTGGGTACCCAGATATTTAGGACATTGAAGTTATTTCTCAGAATTTTTGGTGACAGGCTAGATTGTTCATAGTAGAATTTTAACACATTTTAGATGTGGAAGGCTTATTAAAATTTTGAATTATAATTTTCAGTAAAGTTGCAGAAATTTTTTCTAGTATGAGAGGATTTATGTCACACTGAGAACCCAGCACAGTTATAAAGCACAACAAACAGGACAAGAGGCACCAGATTGTTAATCTTCACTAAATGCAGTGAGAAATAATGAAGGCTATTACAAATAATTGACGCTTTAATATTTTCTCCTGAGTTTACACGAGGATTTCTGATGTAGTACATTAGGAATATAATAAAAAGAAGAAAAGTGAATTTTTAAACTCACCTCAGAATGACGTGGCAGCCACTGTATGTCTGTTACTGGCTTTTTATGACTATACTCTTTGGAAGAGACTGCACAGTATTTCACTAGAGGTGGCTCTGTGCTACTCTGCTGGACTTGCATAAGTGACGGCTAGAAATGATTTAAAAGGAGGTGTCAGTGTATTTACAAATGCTAGATCTATCAAACAAAAAAAGGTTACTTTGCATTCTGTTAATGCTGCTTCACGTATTTCAGATCAGTTTATAGAACTTTCAAGGGGTCTAATACCTTCCTCTAGGGAAAAAAAAAAAAAAGTATCAAACCAGCTCTAAAAACAATTCCAGCATACCTCCACAGGCACACATACATCCACTTATTAGTTTCTCCTCTGCTCATAGGTCTCTCTTCTGCTTATCCTCTTTATTGTCTTCTTCCACTGCAATCTTCTTCTCTTCCAATCTACCTTTTCTCTACCCATAAACATCTAAAATACTTTTCATTATTGCATTCAGTAACCAACGCTCTCTGTATTTGAAAGGCTTCATAAGGCAAGAGCAGAGAGTATGTTGGTGCCCATGAAAGAACAGAAGCCTAAGTCACACAAAATGCAGTAAAGCTATTAAGCTGTACTAATCAGGTAGGAATTATATTGTGATAATGGTTTTATTTCATGAACTCATCAGGTTTTGTATCTTTTCTAGTCTTTCATTGCAAAGATTATCTACTCCTCTCTTTTGAGTCAGGATACCTTCACCCATTTTTCCTCCACTGCAATATATTTACAATGGAAGCATTTACCATGTTAACAGCTGTTATCTCAATTTCATAGAATCATAGAATGTTAAGGGGTTGGAATGGGCCTTATAGATCATCTAGTCCCAGCACCCTCTGCCTTAGGCAGGGACACCTCCCACTAGACCAGTCTGTTCAAGCCTTATCCAGCCTGGCTTTGAACACTGCCAGGGTTGGGGCATCCACAATGTCCCTGGACAACCTGTTTCAGTGTCTCACTACCCTCACATTAAAAATTTCTTCCTACTATCTAACCTAAATTTCCCCTCTTTCAATTTGTATCCATTACTCCTTGTCCCATCACAGAGTCCCTCTCCAGCTTCCCTGTGGGCCCCCTTTGGATACTGGAAGGTTGCTATGAGGTCTCTACACAACTTTCTCTTCTCCAGGCTGAACAGCCCCAACTTTCTTAACTGTCTTTATAGGGCAAGTGCTTCAGTCCTCTTATCAACTTCATGGCCCTTCTTTGGACTTGCTCCAACAGCTCCATGTCCTTCTTATGCTGGGGACACCAGAGCTGGATGCAGTACTCCAGGTGGAGTCTCACAAGAGCAGAGTAGAGGAGGAGAATCACCTCCTTCAACCCACAGGCCACACACCTTCTGATTTAGCCCAGGATCCCATTGCCTTTCTGGGCTGTGAGCCCACACTGCCGGCTCATGTGAAGTTTTTAAATCAACCATCATGCCTAAATCCTTCTCTGCAGGGCTGCTCTCAATCACTTCTCTGCCCAACTTGTAGGTTTGTCTGAGGTTGCCACAACCCAGGTGTAGGACTAGGTGCACTTCCCTTTGTTGAACTTCATGAGGTTTGGATCGGCCTGCCTGTCAAGCCCATCAAGGTCCCTCTGGACATCCCATCTCTTTCCTCCAGCATGTTGACTGCACCACACAAGTTGGTGTCAGCAGCAGCAAACCTGCCGAGGGTGCCCTTGATCCCACTGTCCATGTCCCTGACAAAGATGTTGAACAGGATCAGCCCAGTACTGACCCCTGAGGGACACCACTCCTCACTGGTCTCCATGTGGACAAGGAGCTGTCGACCACAACTCTGCGTGTGGCCATCCAGTCAGTTCTTTATCCACCAAGTAGTCCATCCACCAAATTCATGTCTCTTCAATTTAGAGACAAGATGTCATGTGGGACAGTGTCAAATGCTTTGCATAAGTCCAGGTAGATGTTGTCAGTTGCTCTGCCCCTGTCCACCAATGCTGTAGTCCCATCATAGAAGATCACCAAATTTGTTAGGCATAATTTCCCCTTTGTAAAGCCACGTTGGCTGTTACCAATCGCTTCTTTGTTTAACATGTGCCTTAGCACAGTTTCCAGGAGAATCTGCTCCACGATCTTGCCTGGTGCAGAGGTGAGACTGACTGGTCTGTAAAAATGGAAATAGAGCCACCTTTTTAAAAATGGTGGCTATATTTCCCTTTTTCCAGTCATCAGGGGCTTCACCTGACTGCCATGATTTTTCAAAAATGATGGATAGTGGGTTAGCAATTTCATCTGCCAGCTCCCTCAGGACCCACGGATGAATCTCCTCAGGTCCCTGTAAAGCACAATGCAACCATCACCCCCGGACTTACCTTAGCTGCCACTTCTGCCGCTGCTGTCGCCTCGCTGTCTGAGTCAACGCCTTCATCAGCAACAGGTTTTTCATTTTGCATTTTTCCTCCATGTTGAGAAATATCCCACAGTACAATCTACAATGAGAAATGAGTATATTACAAATTATTAATTTGTATATTAATATGCATATTAATACGCATTTTTTTCAAATCATGGAGGTTCAGGGAAAGATAAGAAACTCTCTCTCTGCACTAGAACCTATAACGTCTTTAAAGTATTTTCTCTTTAGTCTGATGCAATCAACTGAAAGGCTACACTTGTCTCAAAAAAACCCCTATTTATCAGTACTACAAAGAAGCATCGTACAATAATGGTTCAGCTATGGAATAACCAGGCATAGCTTTAGTCCAAAATAAGAGAGTTTCTGAGAGTCTGTGACATCTGTCTTCTGTCCCTATGTATTACTATGGATGTTGAGTACGTCTCTTCACCCTTATTTTCATACTGTAAGAAAATACAGAAATATCCAAGTTTATTTTTTTAAATAGTGAATTAACACCTGTCCATTGATGCAGCCAGCAGCAATTATATTTGGATCACTTGGACTGAACTGAAAGCAGTAAATGTCTTCACGACACTCCAGTATTAACTAGAAAGAAGAAAAACAAGGTAATTGAGAAATACAGTCATATTGTTTGGTTTTCTCTTGTTATTTAAACATTTGGCATATTTAAAAGCCTTGGTTAAATACCTGGGGGTGGATAGGGTCAGAAAAACTCCAAAAAAGTATTACTGACTGGTGCAGCAGTGATTTATTGGAAAGTTTAATTTGCTCTTCATAAGAAAGCTGCTGTCTTGCTGACACTGCTATAATCCCTAAGTGAGGGAGAAAATTAATTTTCTCAAAAGAGGCAATTGAAGTTTCAACACACTGTTAATTATTCTAAATGACTTATATTTATTCCTTCTGAATATAGTGCAAAAAAACCCTAAAATAAACCAACCATATTTTTTTTCTTTCAGATCATCTTTAAAGAAACTATTTTTGTTACTTAAGATTAAGTTATTTAACAATGAGACATAGAACCTAAGTATCAAGATAAAATTCAGCTTTTTTTGCTGCTGCTCCTCAATAGTGTAATACTGCCCCTGAAATGATGTGACAGGCATATAGTCCTGGCCACCCATCCTGAAACCAAATCCTTTGTAGCCCCATTAATTTTCTATGCATGTTTCAGTGTTGGCCAGTAGTGAAGCATGGGTATTTACATAGAAGTTAAATGTGCCTTTAAGTCTGGCTGTAGCAACAGAGCAATAATCCACAGCAGGGGGCAGGAGCTGACATTTAGTATGTCTTGTGATGCTCCCTGGCACTCATCAGAGCCACGTCCCATTGTGGCTGTAACATTCCTCACACTTGTTAAGCCTGCTACAAGAGCCAACCATGGGGAGGATGGTGGTATGCAGAGCCATCTGAGGGACCTGGCAGAGTTGCAGCCCTGCTTGAGTGAGCCTCATAAGGGAGAAATTTCTCTTTCCAATGATCTCCATTCACACATTAGCGTGAAGGACTTTGCGTGGCCTGTCTCCTGCCTGAATTCTACAAAGAATTTGTCTGTCTTGTTTTTCATTTCATCTCAAATCAGCAATTCTGACAGTCATAATAAATTAGTTTTGATTTGGTTTTGAATTTGAAAGCTGATTTGATTAATTTTATGAAAGATGCATATTTTTTAGCTGTCATATAATACTCATCATTGAAGACTGAAATCAGTACTGTAACTGCTTTACCAGAAATGGTTGGATGCCAGCAAATACAGCTAATGGTTCTGTCCTTGAGGTACTGCTCGTTGGTAAATGATTGGTATGCTTTAAGGTAAATGTCTGGCTTGCCATCAGAACTGCTTTTGTCTTCGGCTAGGGCCTTCCAGTCATCAAAAAAAGCATTCATAATTTCATTTTGCTGCAATGCAATTTCCACTCTGTTTTGTGGAAAGAACAGTTAACACTTCAATAATCCAGATGTGACTACTCAGTAATAGAATCACAAAAATTTCTGTAAAGAGGCAGCTATTGTTTTACACAAAATTGTGACCACAGTAGTTAAAAACTTAATTCTTCAGTGATGCATTGCTGCAAGGAAACCCTCTTACATTTAAATAGAAATAGCTATTGTACCAAGAATTTAACTCTAGTTCTGTGTGGACCAAGTACAGTCCAATTCTTGTGCAAGAAGTGTCAGTAAGTTGGACGTGTCCCATGACTGAGGACATAGTTATGGGTAAGACAGCACCTTTGCTGACTGCATAACCCTCTGCTTGAGTGCGCAGTGTTTGAAAGATCAGCTTTGCCATTTATTTGAAAACATGTATCACTATAAACTTTAGCAGTTCTAATATCTATTTAAAAGAACAATATTTATATGGCATAGACCTTACATAAATTTTCATAGAAACAAATATGAGATTAATATTTGTTAGTGTTACAATAATAAACAAGGGGGGAAAGTATATAGAAACAAAAAGTAAAATTGGTATTTAACCAAACCAATGATCCCTTCAGACAAGAGTACTTGCTTGTATTCTGTGTTATCTCAGGTAGCCTTTAAGGATATTGCTGCAGTAATTTTACCTTAAGTGTATTGACGTAAGAAATTCTTTCAGCTTCTCAGATGACAGACTCTCTGCTTTCTCTTCCTCTGACAACTGCCTAGGACAATATTGCATGGCTGCATTTTTTGGATAGGTCCTAACCAATTGGAATAAATTTGAATGTAAGTATAGAAACCACTTCAGAGAGAGAACCCATTCAGTGTGTGAAATTAAAACCTAAATGTATTATTTTTTTCTCTTTGGAAAAGAGTGGAAGAAGGAAGATGCAAACAGAGCATCCAATTTTGTTCTATTAATTAATAGTTTGCAACTAACTCCAGAATTTTAGTTAAGAAACAGTGCATAGCTTAATAAATAAACTGATAAATATTTTCTCATACTTACCATTTTGTCTGAGTACTAGCTTCTCTTACTTTTGGAACTATTTGCAGCCCCACATCTTTTTCAAGCATTTTAATACTGAAAGTTTTGTCTTCGTAGGATGTGCATTCAACATAACCGTCTGTTCCGTGTGAAGCGTTCTTATCAGTAAATGCAATTGGTGCACCAAATTTCCTGCGTACTCGAGAAATCTTGAACTTAATCTGGAAAAATATGTCTTTCCGTGGTTAGTAGAAGAGAATGTTTTTGTAAAACTGTAAAAACATTCTGTAAAATGGCAGCATTCACATCATTACAGAATTAGTTCTATTGATGATTTCTGTGCTGAGTTAACTTATATTTCTGCATCTTGAAATTCTGAAGTGCTCTTATAAATAACCTACATATGTAGTACAACACAGGTTTGTATTTCTAAAACAAGAAGTTGCCATAACATTTTTGGATAACTGCTCATAGAATAAGAATAATTTTCTAATTCATCCAATATCAAAATTACATTTAATTGAAGGATTAATTTGCAGAAAGCTTTATGTAATACTGAATTAGGCTTCCAAGACCTAACTTCTCAGCCCTTCCCTCTTAGAGGAATTCTCAATTTGGGTGAGATCTTTCAGCTTTCCTTGCACTACCTAGGGAAAGAAAAGTACTCTGAAGAAGATCCGCAAAATTTTGAGTGAGGAATTTCCTTATAGTGAGAACTAGGAAGAAGGGACGTGGCTTGACTTCTACCCACAAAGAGAAGTAGGCACTTGATCTCAAGCAGTAGAAAGATATTGCTTTGTCTTGGATTCATAGCACTTTTGAGTGGACCTTGCTAGCAATGTAGAATACAGAACACTTGGACTGTGAATATGTTAAATTTGGTGACTGTGAATTAGCTTTAGAACATCTTTTTAAGTATCAGCAAGATGTCCGGTTGCTGAGAACTACCAAAACTTAGCCAGTGTCTCCTGAGCAAGGATTTAGGTATTGAGTAAAAAGTTAGATGCTTGGAGATGCCCCACACGTCACAAGTTAGGTGACAATTGTGAATGGATCTTCTTTTTGGATATATAATTTTCTCAGTATAATCTGTGGATGTAATTAATCAAATATGTCCTCCTGTAAAGTCATCTTGTAATACCTGTAGTCAGTAACACTTAAAAGTGTTGCATGCTACTTAAATGCCATCTGTGGAATGAAACAGAGTTCACTGAACTTCAAAGACACAGACCAGTAACTCAATTTGTAATCTGACCACATTGTAAATTAAATAAAAATCAGCAGAGGTGGCAATGACCAAAGAGGATCAGGACTTTTGAACTTACACCTTCAAAAGTAGTTATGTTCCATGCAGTCTCATGTGCCTTAGTTGCAGGACTTAAATAGAACAGAGTCTAAAAAAAAGGTTTATGCAGCACTTTCAGTTTTTGTTAAAAGTGAAGCTATTTCTCTATTTCTCTCTCTTTGTTGGTTTTCTTGAAAGACCTCAAGCAAAACTAGGATCTCAGCTTCCAGTTTCCTGACTTCTTCTTTTTAAGGAACTTAAAATATGTTTGGGTGTTTTGTATTTATTTGATTGACTAACATCTCTTGATTCTGACCTTTGTAACATTGTCTTTAACAGATTCTTCTTCAACTTCCTTTTCGCTGCCAAGAGAAACCCAGGGTCTGGGGACAAGAGGCTTAAAAGGATCCACAATTTCCTCTATATCTTCTTCTTTTTCTTCTGCAGTTTCTGGAGGCTGTGACATCAAATGGTGAGAAATGTTACTTTTCCAAAAATTTGTTACTGAAATGTAAGTATGAACTAGAAACCCAGTTTTCAGTCTTCATTCACACATTCTTTACTTTTACCTCAATGCAGTGAGGCTGGCTATACTGTGCCCCTGGGCAGGAGTGACTTAGGTCCCATTCAATTCTGCATTAGACTTTTCCAATAAATGTTACATGTTTAATATTTAACTACTAAATAGAGACTATTGTCTTGAAAGCAGATCTCTTTTATACAGTAGGCTCTCCTGCCTGGAACTGCAGTTTAATTTTCTTCATTGCTACTTCTCCTGATTTCCTGATGCTGGATGTCAAACTCATGTTGAAAAATTATATAATCTTACTATAAACCTTCTCCTATAGTGAAGTGCACAAGGGAAATGTTCTATGTATCTAGACCTATTTAGAAATCAAGAACATTTTAATGTATGATTTGAAGACTATATATCCCTACATATTGTGAAAAATAAGTATAATATTTATTTGAAGATACTCAATATATTGCCCTTTATTTTTATGTCTGAGAAATCTGAGTCTTGGCAAAGAAATTAATGCTTAAGATAAAAATGCAGCAATGGGGATAATACTGGCCCTCTGCAGTAAATTACAAAAATTTAATTCAGCTCTGCTCAGTATAAAAGATATTTTTACAGTGACACATATTTTTCCATGCTCAGATTACCCATTAGAGAAACATCAGATGCTTATGATTACAATATCATTCCTGAAGTATATGTTTGAGACTAGATTCTGAAATATTCATAGATAGAACAGTGCTGTGGTATACTTGGATTTTACCTTTACAAGGTTTTCCTTGGCTTCCTCAGAAGCAACAATGTAAAAGTTCTGTCCGTACTGGAACTTTGCATCAAAAACTATCAAAAGTTCTTCACCTGGATATTCCTATTTTAATTAAAACAAATAGTGGAAAACTGAAAACAAATAACATTCAAAACAAACATGAGGCTGTGACTGGAACAGCTACCACTAGTGTAAACTTAGTATCCTAGGTTAATTTTGTGGTCTTAATAGAGAATTTCATGTGCTAATTGAAAAGAACAGATGGATTTTATTTGGTAATAAAAATAAGTCTAGGACAAAACTAATCTTTCATATAGAGAATTAAACAGAAAAGAAACTGTTTTAATGATTCTCAAGGAAAAGGCCATGAATTAGGGAAGCCAAGTATGTGAAGCTCTGCCAGTTCACAGAATCAAAACTAATAGTATTTATGTTACTTTTAGCATATTTTCAATCTAAAATTAGCAAAAAAAAAGTTCATGGAGAGCCATGAGAAACTGAGTTAACAGTGGTCCATGACCTATAGCATTCAGCATTAGTGTATTTACACAGAGTCAAACAAGGGCAGACCTTTTCCCTTAAAGAATATATACTCTGAGAGCATCAAGTCTTAAAGTGAGAATGAAATAAGCTACATACTAGGACAACTTTTCTGACAGGATAGAAATCAGAAATGTTAGCTCTTGTTTCCAGGTCCTGAATGATGTCTTCTATTTTAATAATTTTGAAACAATTTTCTTCTGTGACATCTTCATCAACTCGGCAATTAAAAATTTCTTGGGTCTTTGTTGTCATGGCTAAAGGAAAGATTTCTGGGTGGCCTATAAGAAAGAAAGCAAAATTGCTTGATAAACAGTTTAGAGTGTTGTTTAAGCACACACATATACTTTGATAAGTCTATGTCTTTACTGTTTCTAACAGAATGCCTTTGAATCACTCAGCTTCATTCTCAGTATTTTGGAAGGCAGACAATAAATTATGTTACATTTTATTAATCTTTTAAAATACACAACAGTTCACACTTAATGAATATGATTTTCCTGGTATAAGTGTTTTGGGTTTTGTCTTCTTGATTAACAGGTGATCAAGAACTTTAGTAAAAAGTCATTAATGGACTGGTTTTAATACATTAAGGACACAAATGCATGTCTCTGATTTAAGAAAACTCTAGGATAAATATAGTGTAGTCCTTCCCTGTAGTGCAGTCCCACATTAAGCCAATGTTTAATCTAGAGGAGGCTTCTATACTCTCCCAAATAAGGATGCTTTTCTGATTTTGGACTTTCATCTTACTCTCATTGAGTTCACAGAGCAGTAGAATCTATTTCTCACAAAGCAATTGAGACTAAAGCAAAGTCATTTAAGATTAAAGCCAGATATTTATTTTCAACTTTGCTGGAAAATAGGTAGCTGTTGTTTTCTACACATATGACCTCTGTTAGGTTCATTCATATTAATTCAGAACAAGATATTTTTAATTCTAGCTCTAGCACAGACATCTTCATTGGTTTTAGTGAAGCTGGGCACAGTTAGGTAATCTGTCTACTGTGCTTTGCAAACACTCAATCTGAAGATAATCTACAGTGCTTCCTGTTAAGCGTGTGCCAGCTGTATGTACATAAGGTAATGTATGCAATGCTGGTCTTTCTCATGTTGCATGTTCTATCTTCCAGCTGACATTACAGCTGTGATCAAGACCACTCTAGGCCCAGCTAGTTGAATCCTGCTGCCGGGAGAATCCTCCTTTGCAGTACTGCCATGCTGGCAGACTCATGCTCAGCATCTCAGCTGCCGCTGTAGGAGCATTCTTCATGAAGGCCGCTGTACTTCTGCCTGAGAAGGTCAGCAGATGGTCATCTTTTTGGTGAACTGGAAACTGTAAAGGACTTAGGGACATGTATACTATGTACTGGTTTATGTGCTGAAAGGGGCTGGCTCTTGTGACAATAGCTGATACTTTCTATCAGCTTTGATATAATTTTTTTTCCTAGTTTAGTTACTTAGTATTTTATCCTAATTCCCAGCATCTGTGGTGTTTTTCCTCTGCGTATGCCTTAAAGAGAAGTTGATCTACCTAAACAATGATTATGACCAGCTGTGTCAGCATGTTTTGAGAAGTCATCTCTAACCTAAGCCAACAAGGACTGACAAAATGATAAATCCACCTTAATCTCTGTCATTTGGGAAGCTAAATCTCTGTATAATCCTATCGCATAATGCATAATGTTGGATGAATCTGACATTTATCCTTTAAAATCTTTCAATGCTGCTACTCCACTGCATCTGCTCTGCTATAGTCATCACTAAAATTAATTACATGCATGATGCTTCTGAGCATGCTAAACTATGCCAAGTATGGATTACTTAGTGTTCACTAGTCATTTTGTAGCTCACACAATCTGTTTGTAGAATGCATGGTCCATTTGTTCACTTTCCTCACAAGCTGTAATTAATATTCCGTGACTTTCCTTTTTGATATCTTGGAGATTTCCAGGATTTCTCTGTGGATGCTTCCCAAAAATACAAAATCATAAGGATGTTGATTGAGAAAGACCTTAAAAGTCACCTGGTCCAAACTCACTGTTGCTAATACCAGACCTCAAAAATCCTAACCAGGAGTAATGGTTGTTTATTCAAGAAGCATGTATGATGTTAGTTTTTTTTCAATGCTGAATTGTCTATACAGCCTTGTGTACAAATGCTAATGCTAAAAAAAATCTTTTTAAATAGATGTAGGTTTCAGTGTCAAATGAAACAATACAAGCATGAATTAAAGTTGAGTAAAAATAGAACAGAAATCACTAAGAGAGGAAGCAGAGTAAAACAAATAGTCTATTTTTTTCAGTGCTATATTGCTGTAAGTTCAAGTTAAAAACAGAGTAATGAACAAAATTAAAATATGTACACCTTTTATTCCAAGGAACTAAAATTCTAAATTACAGAATATTATTTTTAACAGAATCTGTAATATAAGGAGCTGATGCTGGAATTCTTACTATTGTAAACATTTTTATAGAATACTCCTTTCCATTAAAAGGTGTGCAACATCTGATCATAGGCTTCACATTGTTTTTCTAATAGTAAATTGTACTTGTATCATTCGTAAGTCAGCAGCTCTTAGTGCTATGAGAACTTCACAAAGGCCCAACAAACTCTAAGCAGAAGCAAAGAACACTTACAGGTCTTATGCTAGGAAGGTACCATGCATGCAGTTTAAATCCTGCACAGACGCTGTCTGCTTACCCCAGTGTTATTGTCCTGTTTTAGCAACAGGTTTCTAGCAGCAGTTTAGCTATTAGAGGTCTAACCTTATTTGCCAGTAGGTGGAGGTACAATTCTGTCTTACTGATTAAGTATCTCCTGGAAAACTGGAAGTATATTTTTTTTTAAAGGAACATTTTTATCATCTGAGGGATCACTTTTGTGCATTTTTATTAACTGCAGCTTAGCTGTTTCGGTGATGTTAATCAGAGTGCAGTTTTCACTTCCACCCATGTGCTCACAGGATTATGTAAGAAAACAAGTGATCTACAATTTCTCTTAAAATTAACTAGTTTGTATATTCCTTGTTTGCCACATTGTTTCAGCTCTTAACAATAAAAGCTGTACAGTTACAAACTAATTAATAAGACAACCCTTTGGGCTGTTCCTGTAAACCACAGATAAATTTTACATTGACATTAATTTAAGTAATATCTGAGGAATAATTGCACAAATTAGGTCAGAAGTAAAATCCAACCAGAAATATGAAAAATAAAAACCCATTGAAAATAATTTAGTGTCTAAGAAAAAAGAATATCTTTACATTCAAATAATTACATATTTTTAGCTCTTAACTATGGCCATGCTTAAAACTGAACTTTTCTTGCACATAAGCCAAAAGAAATGCTTGCTATCTTCTGACTTTTAAGTGGTGAATTTTTTTCCCTGCAAAACAAAAGATGCTAATCAATGTCTATTGGCATCTATGATTAAAAAACACAAGTGATATGCTAAAATCATCTTCTTACTAAATTTAATAGTGATTTGACAAAAATCAAAGACTAAAAAATTACACAAATATTTCATGTTTTTCTTTCAATTGCTCAACTATTACTAAATGCAAAGATTTTGCACCCTATAATTCTCCTGTGATGCTTTTTATTTCCCCTGATCCCAACTCCACCCAAGATAAAAACCTCTTCTACAAACCCATACCTGTTTCCTGCTGCACTGGCTGCTACTCAGAGAGCCACTGCAATCACTGTGCAATAGCTGTGTTTATTCACAGTTTGTAATTGTTCACATTCATAAAAAAGCCCAAAACCTTCCTTATTATTCCCTAGCATTAGTAACAATGAAGCTTCAAAATGCTTTGAGTATTCCAGAACTACTACTTTAAAGCATAGTCATCATAGCGCTTACCTATACTAGCCATAGAAAGATCAGCTTCATCTTTTTCACCTGAAATATAATGACATGGTGTTATCAGTAATGTTCTGTATGTTGGTTACAAAACTATAACCAGTAGCTCTCTTGGTTATTTATAAAAAATAGAATATTCTACTTGTTTTTTAATGCACAGGGCCAAAATAATTAAGGTAGCTCTCATGGGAGACCAGATTGCTGCTTGTTTCATTACTGCTGTACTTTACATACCGAGCTGTTTTCCTTTTCCTTTTGAGGATTCCTTAGCTTTGTTTCCACCTTTCTGTTTCTTTGCCGAAGCTTTTGGACCTTTCAAAGTGGTCTTGCTGGATGTGAGATTTTCTGACATTTTTTCAGATTTCTTTGGAGAAAGATACGTATCATCAGTAATTTAAAATAGACAACAGAATGCACCATGTATGAGTGAACATTTGGTTCATGATTTTATGTAGCTTATCATTATAATAATATTTTCATATGTAGCTAAACATATGTTTCATAATTTTAAATCATAAGCTGTCTTTTTACGTAATAGATGGAAAGAGTTCATCTGTCCAGGGTGATTAAGAAACAACACTGATTATCCAAAACAGGGGAAGGTGAAATTAGGAGAGGGGTTTCCCTTACAGAAAGCTAAGGATCTGAGCTACAGTGGGAAGAGTGTGGGTGAAAATTCACCAGTTACAAATGTTTGTCCAGATGTCCTTAAGTGTAAATCATTACTCAGCTGCATAAAGCATTTCTATTTCCAGTTTATTTTTCAGTGTAGGTCTGTGGGGGACAAACTCGGAAAGATGTATGCATAATTACATGTAGCAACCACACAACTGGAGACGATACTGCATAGCAGGCTACTCCTGTTTCATTTACTCTCCTTCTTCCCAGTATCTAGAAAAAGAATTAGAATAGTCGTGCAGGAAAGGCTCAGTTCCACGGCAAGAAGGAAATGCAGTTCAGCCTGCCTGCTGTACAGACCGGACAGCACCATCGTGTGGGAGGTGCTCACATAGCAGCTGTCAGAACCGCTAAATCGGGATGGCCCAAATTCTCTTAAGAGGTATGGAAAATTGTTTGATGGCATTACTGAACAGCCAAAGGCGTTCAGCTGGGACGGGGACAACGGGGCTCTCACTTTGTTTGTGTCCCACCTCTTCCATGTTCACACTTCTTAAGCCTGTAAACTGAGTGGGAGAGGAAGAATTTTTTAAATGTCTACAAAGCACCTACAGTATTTGGATGCTATTACAGTTTTAACACTAACAAGAGGAAAGTAGATGCATTCATAGGACAGAAGGAGATGGCACCTTCAAGAACTGACATAACTGTTTCTAATGATCTCTTATAGGAGCTACTACCAGTCTGCCCGTGCACGTGAACAGCACAATTACTGTCGAGACACTAAAGGTGAAAATGTGAGTTTATAAAATAAATGTTTTACCTTGGCAGTTTCCTTAGAAAGGCCTAAAATAGTGTAAGTGCTAAACAAACACGCCATGGCTGTGCATTCTCCATTTCAGTGGCATAACCAGGCCGAGAAACAGTGTTTCACTCTTTTGTAACAAAATTTTCTAATACTCCAGAAGCAGATAATATAATTTTAGCTTCTAATCTGAATTTTAGTTTGGAGATGGCCACTAATAGCAAGATATAGGTCATGGATTATAGCCTAGTTGTATAGTCTGGGTTTGGGATAAATGTTAACCTCCCATGAATTCAAGGTAAATTTTGCTGTTGACTCTGATGGGAGCAGAGTCTGACACTCATATTATAGTTACATATTTTTCTTTTTCACTCCAATCAAAATAGAAAAATATACTCTATAAATCCTCAGACTCTTTTCTGTATCATACTGGATCTTGCAGATCACAGGTGACAAGCTGCACCCATGGCATGTTAGTGCATTTCTCTGTTATTTAATCTCTCTTGATTATGGCAAATGCAGCTCCCTTCATTAATCTGTTTGAAGAACTGGAGCAATTTGATCTTCTGCTTCTTCCAAAAAGCAATGACAATACCAATGCAAAATAAATTAATGTTTCAGAATTCTGAAACTTGTGTCTTGCACTGGATGATGTTTTTGGAAAGTTAAAAACTCCACAAGTCATATATAATGAATGTAAGGAGAAAGTTAGGAGTTTTTTCTGCCCTCATTCTCACAGTGTTTTCATCAAATACACGACTAGAAGCACTTAATATATTTTTGCGTAATATTCAATATATTTTCACGGTTACAATCTTTCAAAGGAGTCTCTACTGAACAATGTGCTTAGTTTATAATTCTGAAACACTTAGGCCTACCTCACTTAGAGTGCATGTCAATTCAGATGGTTAAAAGAGACTAATTTTTTCCTTATTTAAAAAGAAAAAAAGGCACAAAGCTATTTCTTATCCAATTCCTTGTCTATTTTACATACAAAAATTGTGACCCATTTTATAAATGGATTCTGTGGCCGCTCTAATTTGAAACCAACCTTTATGCCTCTGTGTAAGAGAAGCCCTCCAGAACAGGAGAGGACAGCTGCTTTTGAAATTACTTGAAGGACAATATGAACCTTCTCATATGTATTCTGGTCACAATGTCTGACTTCACCATTTCGTGATTATACACTACAGCAAAGCTGGTTTGGAAATTTTGAGTGAGTTCCTCTGAGTATCCGAAACCCTAAGTCACATGAATGGAGGAAACACTGAGAAGGCTGAGATAAGTCACATGCCTATGTTTAGCAAAATAACTTGCAAGTAAAAACATCCCTTTTCCTTCAACTGACTTCAAGTATATTTTACTTATAAAAACAGTTAAAACTTTTGAAAATTGTCTCCTAGGAATCAGTTCCTCCTCCTTCACTGGAAAAATGAGGTATAGAGGAACACGCAGCACTACAGGTAAGAGCAGTGGTGGTGAAGCTGTTGTCAGTGACTGGTGTGTGTATTTGCATATGTTAATGTGAACAGTACCCCTGTTTAAGGGTTGCAAACGAATACAGCAATCAGTGGGGCTGCTCGTGGTTTCCTCTGGGATGCACAGGACCTCCCCAGCTGGAAAGCAGATAGAGAAGTACAACAGTAATTATCTCCTTTTACAATATCCCTAATACCATATCGCCTCTGCCCATCTGCCATCCTTTGGGCACATGATTGTCAGTGGTGAGGAAACGTGTAAGGCCTCCAGAGAAAGCAAAGGCAGAGCTTCTAGAAAGTTCTCTGGAAGCATAGTCAGGCCCATAGCCATTTACAAAGTATATATGCAAAGCATATATATATGTTTTTTATGCAGGAATATGGTAATCCCCAGGTGCTCCCTTCAGGAAACCAACACACACTGAGAGCTTTAAAATGGGTACTGAAGAGCAGCCTTTTGCACTCCTTCTCTTCCAGGAAAGAAATAAAGGAACAAAAGTCCTAATGCGTAAGTTAAATGCTAGTACTTTCAGAAGTTACCTCTTATTTCAGGGGTTTGTTTTTTTCACTAAGTTTTGCAGTTTCTATCAACACAACCATGAAAAAAAACCAGGGTCTATATTAGTGGACTGTCTGAAAATATGACAAAAAAATTAATTCTTTAGTCTATTGTTAGTTCCTATCCTCTAAGGGATATTTCTATATTGCTTATTTAGAAAGGACTCTAATACATGTACTTGTTCAGAAACATGCAAATATATTATGTATTTCCATTATGCTTATATAAATTCATGATTCTGTGATTGAGAAGAGGTTGGAAGCAACATTTAAATTAACATAATGGGAAAATTTTAAAAGTGCAAAATCAATTGTCATAAATATTACCATATGTTTTATTTTTAAAAATAACTATATTAAGAATTTATTATAATTCAGTCTAATTTTTCAGCCGTATTTCAGTGGAACAGTGTTACCTTATTTAATTGGTAAAACATGAGTAAATATTTGGCAATGTTGACATTTTATAGACTAATTTATTTACAGTTGGCTGTAATATTTTGAACATTAGGCTTAAGAGAAAAAATAAGATCACAGTGTTCTCCTAATCATTTAATGTACTGAAACATTTACAGTTATGAAACAAATCCATGAAGTTGCTAGGTACTGCAAAAGGGGAAAGTTAATTAGCTATAAGTACTACAAAAGATGCTGTCTGATTTGAGGACACAAAATGATTCATTAGTTGCCTAATTGAATGATATAAGGTCAAGTTTGTGTGCATTACTAATTTAGAGCTGTAATTTACTATAATTTGGAATGACAGAAGAAGTAAATGCACATCCACTTTACAAAAGCACGACAAGGAAATGATCAAAAACAGGTGCTACTTGGTTTTTTTTTTATTGTTGGTTGTGTCACTGCCAAGCTAAAAATCACATTTCTGGCAGTAAACACTTAGGAACATTAAGATGTTAAAAATACCATCTTGAGAATTACTTTGTCTCTCCAGAAATTCAGATACAGTGTTCCCTTTAATTAAATTTATTTTACTTTGCTCTACGTGAAGAGCAAGTAATACAAACACCTAAAGTTTGCATTATTAATAATGCTTGTGCATATTTGAACTCCACTCCATTGTATAAGTTGTAGAGAGTAAAGCTGAAGTTTTGGCAACTGCCAAATCATTTCAGCAGAAAAATAGTTCTATTTAAATGTACCTGATTTCACACATAAAACTTCATTAAATTAGACTTACTTGAACGAGGTGTTGATTTTGTTATTTGATAGAAATCAGTATCTGGGATGGTAAGTAAAATACATGTAAAATTAGGTTAAGAATTAATGAGAAAGGCATAGAGAACAAAATGGAGAAGTTCATGAGAACATTGGCTAATACCATGTTCCACTTTTTTCCTTTCTTTCACTCAAAGATAAACAGAATAGAGTTGGAAAAGGTATAATATGGATGATTGAAGATATAGAACATAGTTTGTACTAGGAATAAACCAGGATTCTTTTTAGCCTGAAGAGGATATGACAGAAGTCAGTGAAATCAAGAGAGGCATGGAGAAAGTGACTAGGAGATGCTTATTCCTGGTCTTTCCCAATACAAGATCTAGCTGGCATCACATGAGCTTATGGAGGGACAGGCTGGAAACAAACAAAAGGATTGCAGAAGTATTTCATTGCACAATAGGTGGTTGAATTATGGAATATACTGCCTGTGGACGGGACAGCTGCCAGAAGTGCACAGTATCAAAAAGTAACAGGGCAAACTGACAGATGAAAAACTGAGGGCTACTGAAAACGATGATAATACATCTGGCTATAGAAACGAAACCATAAATCCAACAAAAGAGGGTGGAAGTATGACTTTACTGTAATCTTGCCCAGACAGAACTTCTGGTATGAGCCAGTACAGCTGGCCTAGGTTATTAAAATTTTGTAACAATGTGGTTGGCACTTCAAAAGTTACCAAATATGATGTAGAAGTTGCTGTAACATGATCAAACATAACAAATGGTAATATATGTTGCCTTGTCATGACTTGTCATGAACCAGAAACGTTATATTGTAAAGATTAGCACTAGGTAAGACTTTAATAATTTATTTTTTTAAAGAAAAGATAAGAAAAATAATAATCTTGTCTTCAAAATGTGAGAGCTGGGTCGCTTGAACAAGACCATGAGGGAGACGAGGACGGGGGGCGGATTTTCGGGGGGTTTGCAGCAGCACGGAGGGGCTGGGGGAGTGTTTGCAGCCCGGGTCTCCTCGCCAGCACCGCCCAGCCCCTGGCACAGCCGCGCTGGGCCCTGCCCGCCCCAGCCCGGGCGCGGGGAAGGCGCAATTCCCTTCGCTCCCTCCGTTCGCTCCCTGCCTTCCCTACCTGCGCGGCCCCGGCTCGGCGCGGCCCTGGCGGCGGGCGGTTGTCATGGCGACGGGCCGGCCATGATTGACGGCTCGGGCAGGCAATCAGCGCCCTGTCCTCCCAGCCCGCCCCCGCAGGTGGAGCCGCAGGGACGCGGCGGACCAAAAACTACCTGTCCCAGCCTGCAGTGCGTGGGAGACGCGCCGGCAGTAGCGCTTTGAGGCGCGGGGCATGATGGGGGCTGTAGGCGACAGCCGCCGGCGGCAGCTCCTGCAGCCAAGCCGCCCACGGACCCCCGCTCCGATTTCGCCTCGGCATTATCTCCGGGCAATGCTGGGGCCGTCTCCAGCTGGGATGTGATTCGATGCGAATATGAAGATTTGTATTCTGCATCTTTTGTGTTTTTGATATATAGGAATAATTTGGTTTGCTTTGCAGCAGTGTAAAACACTGGAGCCCCCGATTATCTTCCTCTCTGTGTGCAGCACCCAGTGCTGGTTTTTGGTGCCACTCCGAGGTCCATCCACCCTTCTCGTGGTTGGCAGGGTTCCTTGCTGTCTTCTGTTTAAGTCTTTACAGCCAGAAAGTTCCCTCTGTTAAAAGGCGTCTATTCTCCCTGTTTTGGTCTTGGCGTTATTTTACCTCCTCTTTTTGTACCGGTGCTCACAGGGGTACTAGCAGCACGAATTAGGCAGCTGAGGACTGCACACAGTTATCCTCTTGTAAGGCAGCAATGCCAAAGGGATCGTTTCCTCAGTGCAGTGGGACTGGCCCAGACCCAGGGCAGGAGACCGTTTTCTTTGAAGTCCAGTTAATAACTTTAATAGCTTAATTGTGTGTAAGTGGAATGACTTAAACATGTCAGCCATTCCACTCAGTTCACTGTACTACTAGCTGCCCTTCGTAACTACGGTTCTGTGACCTGAAATGGTTTTTATTCGTTTATTTTGGTTTGGTTTGTTTTTATGATGGTTGGGACACAGCTATTTATAACATAAACATTAACTTTATTTCCCCCAGTGCAGAAGCCTGGGTCAATAAATCTGGAGCGGGCACTGCCATCCTATAGAGAAAGTGTGTGTTACAGCGCGGAGAGCCGCCCCTCCCGTGCGGCAGGAGGGAGATACGCAGCCGAAGGTGACAGACGCCGCGTGTGCCGGTGTGCACGGCACAGCCCAGCCCCGCACAGCCCCGCATAGAGGCCGGGCCGGGCTGGCGGAGGCCGCGGCCCCCCGCCCATCCAAGCGGAGCCGCGCCGGCCGGGAGGGTGCGGGAGCGGGGTTTGGCTGCGGGCACCGGGCTGCGGACACTCACGGTCCCACCGCGGCGGCAGCACCCCCGGGGCCCGGGTGGCAGGTACGGCTGGAGCCGTGAGCAGGGTGGGGCGTGGAGGGATGCGCTCTCGGCCCGCAGCTTTTGGGTTTGGGGTGCCACGGTACATGGGCGCCGAGCCCGGGAGGGGCAGGGGCCGGCGCTCTCCGACCTGGCCCGCCGTGGGGATGCGGCGATGCCGGGGAAGCAGCGGCGGCTCCGCGTCCGTCCCCTGCGCCACCCGCAGGGCTGCGGCAGCCGGGCTGGGAGCGGTGTGCTGTGACCGCCTGCAGCGGCCGGGAAGGGAAGGGGAAAGGGAAAGGGAAGGGAAAGGTCCCGGAGCCGGCTGCCCTGACAGCCCCGGCTGCGGAGCCCCTGGCGCGGGCTGTGGGGGAACACGGTCTGGGAGCTGTGCCTGCCTGGAACGGCACCTCCAGCCCACTGTGAGGGTCAGAAGCGGGTTTAGTTTTTTAGGGTTTGTTTTTTGTTTGCTTGCTTGTTTGAAATCCAGCACAGGACTATTGCAGTAGCAGAGTAGGGGTTAACTTTAGGAATGTTGGATCAGCTGTGAGAAAGATGAGTGAAATACAACACAGCATACTGTATTGTATCCCACAGGACAATGAAGACCTTCTAAAACAGTGGCTGAACTTTTTTAAGCCTCTGTATGGGCCTATTCTTACTGTTAAACTGCTGACTGAAAATTTTCTTGCCTTCTCTGACAGCTGGGGAAATTGAAGGTCTTGAATCAGACTGGCTGTGGTGTGAGCAGGGGCTGCTGGAGGAGACTGGATGTGACAGGCATTTTCAAAAATCAGTGAGGATTTTTTGTTTGAGTTATATAAAAAACTGTTCTTATGCAAACAAAAAACTATTTGTCTAATAAGGCACATCTTTAAATTTATTCACAGCATAGGCTGTCTCCTCTCTTTTTAATGTCAACAATATTTTATTTGAAATAAATATTCCTGGCTATCTCTTAGGTACTGTATAAAGCATTTATGAAATGTTTGGGACTCAGCGAATTCAGTAACAGATCAAAATCTAAACATGCTGAATAGTATAGAGAGTAATGTCTCAAACCATGTTTATAAAGTTCTCATCCAATCTTTACCCCTTGTACTTAACTAAAATGGAGCCTCATTGGTTAATCACGATGCTTGAATACAATTACCTCTTGGTCTTTCTGCCTGGTTCATGATCATTGTTGGTTTGGTTTGGGTCTTTTAAAGATGAAGAAATAGACATAATCTTGCTAAATAACAAGTCAATGCTCTCTGCTAATTTATCTGAAGTGCAATTTGTCATTCTGCATCTCCAGTTCCAAGAGTGAACAATGCTAATACTAACATCTAAGAAAAATGCTGTCTGTCTTGAAAATTCCGTATCTTTCAAGGATTGGACATAGGCTTGTAGATGTGGGGGAAAATACTAGCTACAGCAGTAGGTAAATTTTTCAGAAGAGTGAATGCTTGTGAGAGGCTTTTGGTGTTCTCCTGGATGCAGAAGGAAATGAGTCAGGATGTCTTACATATATGCTGTTTTGTCAAGTGAGAGAGGAAGAACTTTTTAGCAAGTGACCCTATAATTCCAAATGGTCAGAAATTCCACTATTAAGTGTCCTGACAGTCTATCTGCAAATTTAAGAACTTACCCAAACTTTTCTGTGGGTTCTGCAGAACATGTGCAATAATATGAGAAAAGCTGGCAATTCAGTGTAATGTGCAAGTGCCTTTCACAGAAGATAAATATCTTTGGAGTCCAGGTTGTTAGTGCAGACCAATCTGGTACTACTATATCCATCCTTGCATGTTTTTCAACTGACATGGACTGCTTTTCATTTCAGAAATGGAAAATCCTGAAGTGGCCGTGAGCAGCTGCAGTTCTCATGATGATGAAAACCTTTGCAGCTACAAACGGCACCCATCAATATCACAGGAGGGGCTTTTGGAAGATCAGCTTCGAAGGCAGTTAAAATTTTTCTTCATGAACCCCTGTGAGAAATTCTGGGCCCGGGGCAGAAAGCCTTGGAAACTTGGGATTCAGTTGCTCAAAATAGTAATGGTTACAGTTCAGGTGAGTACCTGTGGAAGCAGGGACTCTTCTTAGCCTATGCAAAGTCAAATGAATGCAGGTGACATGCTGTTCATGGTGTGGTGCAGAGAAAGGGAAGGAATAGACTACAAAACTATTGTCTTTGCATGTATGTAGCTTAGATCTTAGGTGCCATCATTTTCTCCTAAAACTACTGACTGAAAAAAATAGCTTTCCTAAGAGTGGAGATGAAATGAACCATGTTTAGGGACTCGACTTTTTACTTAACTTTTTTTTTTTTTCATTCGCATTTTCCCCCCCAAACTCTTGCATTGAAAAATCCTCAGAAATTCTTCGCTGCTCTTTCTCTCACCCAACCTTTCACCATACATTTCATATAAGACATTTATCTGCTGTCCAAAACACAATTGTTTGTCTCAAGGTTCAATGGTTAAGGACAAAGAAAGTATTTCATAAAAATTTCTAATGCCTCAGATGATGATCCTGCAGAGTTGCCCATATGTGATTTACCTTTATGGTGGTGTCAGTCTTATGACAATACACATATAGAGCAGAATATTTTCCATGGTTGCATGAATTATGGGACAAACTGCAAAAATTAGAGCTCTTCTGCTGTACATGTGGCAGCACGTTTGTGTCCCTTATTGCTTCAGTTTTAGATGTGTCATCATTCTCTGATTGTGATATCTCCCATTTTGCAACTAAAAATAAAATTTGATGATGGAAGAACCCAAATAAGAAAAAAACTAGTGCTAGTCTTTTCAGAGAAAACCTGCCTGTAGGTAATTCAATCTTAGCACTGTTAACTGCTGGTGTATTCCCGTGTGGCTGGTGCACTGAGCTTGCTCACAGAACATTTCAGTATCTCTGTAACTGAATTACCCTTATCAAAACCTACATATCCAGTTTGCATCATGGCCATAAAACTTATCTGTAGACTACTGATTCAGACTTATCTCTGATGAGCTTCTTCACAATACACCTGACACCAGATTTGAAACAATAGTCAAGAGAATTGTGAGCTCCCAGAAACAATACATCGCATACTTCTATAAACCTTTTCCAGCCTGGATAATAGCTAGCAGGGGTTTTTGCTAACTTTTCAGGAACAGTTGCATTACGTTTTTTTACCAGCTTCAGAGGTTATCCTGTTACAAGTACAGTTTTGATCAGTTATTCTCATAGCACTTTTCACTGAGACTTGAAGGAGAGATGTTTGTTTTTCTGAATTGTCCTCAATTTGCCTTTTGTGCACTGGAGTAAGGACTTCAGAGTGGGGTCTTGTTAAGTCTCCTCCTGCCTTTTTGGCTGAGGAACAACGATGCTCTCCAAGGCAATTCAGTTGACACCAGGTTGAACTAACAAAACAAGTGTAACAGTATATAGGGAGTTTGAATTTGAGATGGCACCCTTTTCTTTGTAAAAGTGAGAGCCCTTGGCCCATATGCTGGTAAACATATTAAAGGAGCATTCTTGAAACCCACTGTTTCCTTAAAGTCAAACTTTCTTTTGACCAGCTGTGAAATGGAGCAGCCTGCATACAACTGCCATGTCTACCAGCGTGATAAAAGAGTGGCTGTTTGTAGCACAGGATTCATACATTAATCCGGAAGCAATTTTGTCTTTGAACAGGAAATATAAATGTCTTTTTCAGCTGGTGGTTTTTGGATTGAGCAATCAAATGGTGGTTGCCTTCAAAGAGGAGAACACTATTGCATTCAAACACCTCTTCTTGAAAGGATACATGGACAGAATGGATGATACCTACGCTGTATACACACAAACAGATGTCTATGACCAGATATTCTTTGCAATAAACCAGGTGAGGATTGTGGCTGCAATATATACAATATATATGCCCTTTGCCTGGCTACCTTTTCTTGAATTGAACTTCTGTGCAAGTTGCTTAAGACTAGAGCATCAACTCATTTAGGTTTTCTGTCATTGCCAGAGCATTGTACTTGTGGTGACATCATTAAAGCTCAGTGATACTAATTCTGCACTAAAAGCAGTCCTTGGATCTGAGCCAGAATTCTGTGCAAGGCTTTCTAGTGAGGACCATAAAGAGAAAAATATAATAAACAAAAAGGAATTTAGATCCAAATCCTGTACTTACTATTTTTGTCAAATACCTTAAAGTATTTGAGGATTCAGCGGAAGTGTGGAGTGTGGTTTAGGTTTCGCAGTTCCTAAGGTGATCTCTTAAATAAAGAGGTCTTAAGAGAACTTAAATAAGATAAGTTATGACACAGTTCCAAACACTTCTAGGTTTGCTTTGTTTTGTTTCGTGCTGTTTTTCTCAGAGACTAATAGTTTTGGTGCCATTTAAGTTTGTTTGTTTGTTCTGAACTGTAGTACTTACAGCTGCCCAACATCTCTGTTGGAAATCATGCTTATGAGAAGAGGGGAGCAGAAGAAACAGCTCTGGCCATTTGTCAGCAGTTCTACAAGCGAGGAATCATCTGTCCTGGAAACGACACCTTTGATATAGACCCAGAGATTGTGACTGGTGATGAACCTAATCTATTGTATCGATTCTTTGGGAGGAGGGACCCTACAATTATGATAAATTCTTTAAAAAAAATTAAAGTACTGTACAGTCTTATCACATGATCCATATTGAACTTACTACCAGCCAAAACTGGTAAGAAAATTACTGTGTGACCTCTAGTCCTCACCTCCGAGGTGACAGTCTTTTATGTCTAGCACCACAAAAATGTGATGAGACATTAGCACCAATAGGCATCTAATACAAGTTATTTTGGAATAATTTCAGGAGCCTTCCCTGTGAATTCATGATGATTAACTTGGCTCATGTTCAGGGAAGCCAGTGTATTTGTCATCTAGCTTCTCAAATGCCTCCTCACTCAAGCATGCTATCTTGTCTGGTGTAGCCAACAGCTCATTACAGCCTGGGCGTGGGACAGGCAGATTACGGTTAAAGAGCGTGATAACCCATGAGATATTGTTGTGAGTCCTTATCCATTCCAGACTGCTTGTACATTGAGCCAATGACGCCGTTAGACAACACAACAGTGGGAAAGCACAACTTGAATTTCACTCTGGATTTCCACAGGTGAGGAGGAATGAGCATTTCCTGTGTTTGGGTGTTGGTGCATTTTCCCTGTGGAAAGCTAATCTGAATCTGTTGCAGACTGGTGACAGTGCAGCTCATGTTCAATCTGAAGGCAATCAACCTCCAGACCGTTCGTCACCACGAGCTCCCTGACTGTTATGATTTCACTCTGAGGGTATGTGGAAGCCTGCCATGTGTCTTTCTGTTCAAAACAAGAAATTGATCTTGCTGGTTTACTGTACGCAGTCAGCACAGATATTTTCTGAAGAGTGTTGGGCACCACTGGGTCAGTGGTGCCTGGATTACTCTGTCATGGCCTAGTGTACCCTGTAAATAACCATCAGTTGTGACTGTGGCAGGTTAAACTTTGAGTGCTTGTGATGTGGTCCTGAAGCACTTGCTTGGCTTACAGCTATTGTGTTCTAATCCATCTGAAGTATAATGAAAGCATAAATCTCTTCCCTTTAGAGAGATGATTCTGGAAAAGATTGTTTTCAGATCATAGAGGAGTGAGAATGCAGCTTAAAAGTATTTCACCTAGTAGCTACTTAGTCAGCTAATTTGTGGCAAATGCATGGTTCATCAGATTTGTCTTTGACAGCATTTATTTGAAGAAATTTGCATTACCTTAAGCTTAAACAAGTTTTGCAACTTCTCCCCTAGGAGAATTATTCTAAATCATTATGCAAGCTTGGCAATACATATGGGCTACAAATATAATGGTTTAACTTTATAGAAACATGCACCCTTTTGTTTGTTTGGTTTTGTTTTTAAATACAGATAGTATTTGATAATAAAGCACATAGTGGAAGAATTAAAATAAGTCTCGACAACGACATAGCCATCAGGGAATGTAAAGACTGGCATGTTTCTGGATCAAGTAAGTGACATAAATGTGTTCAAATTTTCATGCTGAAATTTTGCATCAGCAGCACAGTTCTTGTCAACCTTTTTCTTTCTTAAAAGATAAGGCACCATTGATATACAACCTGATAATACATGAACTTTAAATCCTGATTTTCTAAGGAATTGTTCTTCCACCTCTGATCTGAAATCCTGGGAACCCAGCCACACCATTACTTTCCTTAGCAGTTCTCAAAGCTTGCACCATTGATAATGTAAACCAGAAGTTGTCCATGGCTCAGTGTGCATCCTTCTAGCTTTGCTACTGAACTTACACTGCTCATTTCTTAGGGCAGGGCTGTGAACCGTTCTAGCCCCAGGCAACAGGACACATGATAGTGGTTGAAAGTTGAAACTGATTTACTCTTATTTCAGGACTTAGCACCAGGAAAGATACAGAAACGCTGTTGTTAAGGCTTGCTGGAATTAAATGGCTAGAAACACTTCTAACTGTTGTTTAAATGTCATTTGCCATGTATCTGAGATGAACAGTGTGGTTCAATTACCCATATAGTGACTCACAAGAGTGAGCTGCCTTTCTTGGCACCTATTTGGTCTGGTCAAAACATCATATGAGATCCTTTTCGTTAGTGAAAATAATCTCTTTGATAGAAGCTTGCCAGGACTCTAAATTCTGCTTATTTCTAATTTTTTTTTCCGAAGTGTACAATATTCCAAGTTCTTTTTTTTCCTGCTTTTGCCGCTTTCCCCGTTGCTGTTCCTGTGTCAGACAATGAAGAGCTGGTAGTGAGAAAGCAGGATAGGTGTTTTTATTTTTTAAAGATCCAGACTGGAATTAATTTGGGGGGCGTTTACTGAAGTGCATCACAAACCCCGCTGCACCGTGTGCTCGCTGCCGTGCAGGGAGCGCCCCGCAGGTGGCGGTGCCGGGAGCGCTCCCTGGTTCCCCTTCCCTGCGGGCCCGCGGTCGGGGTCTGTGGTTTGCCTCTCCCAACACTCTTCAAAAACCATCTCCTGGAGTACTACGTATTATTTTCTAAAAGCCAAGGAAAAATAGCAAGGTAATGGTCGCAAGTGGACAGTAACGAGTTGTTCCTGTTCTGGGCTATGCTGCAAAACCAACTTAAACGGCAGCAGTACAACAAGCAAGAAGTGGGTGGACTTTTCATGAGTAGTGTACTTTGTGCAGTCAACGGGAACTTCAGTAGCCCATTTTGTAGAACTGCTGCATCTTCTTGCAAATTTAGCATTAAGTTGTTTGATTTTTTTTCTCAAACAATCATTCTTTTATTGTCATCCTTATACTGTTTCACCTAGTTTCAGCTGTATGATAAGTATAAAAACAAACAAAACAAAGAGATCCAGTGGTAGATTTGGTGCAAAATTTGACCTTAGATGATCATGAATGTGAGTTTTAGTAACAGAAGAGATGGAGAAATGTCTAGCTTGAGGTTGATCTTGGCTAAGTGAGCAGCAGTACAAATTATCTGCTCTGTTCTAGGAAAAAACCTATCTGACAGTCAACTACTGGCCTGAAAGAGAAGAAGATATGTACTGTAAAGTTCCTAGGTTTGGGTTTGGTTTTTTGGTTTAGTTTCTTTTTGTTTGTTTGTTTGTTTGTTTTTAAGAAGTTCTGTTACTCCAAAGGCCATTCCAATGCTTGTAAATAGATCAGCTCTCACCTCTAATTCTGCAGGGCTGTAAGAAGGACTCACACTCTGGTATATCAACCTTCCTAAATTTACTGAAGTGGTATCTACAGTGAAGATCACTTGTGTCTCTCATGAAAATATGTCCTATAAACATTTGTGGGGAAAATGCTAATCTTTTCTTAATTCCATTGTATAAACATAGTTAACATCAAAATTTGGTTCTTACTTCAATACTTAAGATGGCCAACAAAATGAAATGCATCTGACTATAAATATCTTCATTTTTGTTCTTGCAGTACAGAAGAACACTCATTACATGATGATCTTCGATGCTTTTGTCATATTGACTTGTCTGGCCTCATTGATCCTTTGCACACGATCAGTGATTAAAGGAATTCGGCTCCAAAGGGTGGGTATAACTCTTTCCTTGGAAAGTCTTGTCTTATGTAAGTCTGATTAATTGTTTTCTTTCCTCCTTTGCCCTAGGAATTTGTAAGCTTTTTCCTATATTATTATAAGAAAGAAGTATCTTTCAGTGATCAAATGGAATTTGTCAATGGATGGTACATCTTGATTATGGTTAGTGATGTCTTAACTATTGTTGGATCAACTCTAAAGATGGAGATACAAGCCAAGGTAAGCTTTTTACACTGTTAGGTGAAAGCAAAACTGCTTCTGTCCCACCTAGGTTTAAATCTCTCAGAAGACTTTAGGCTGACTATACTTCATTCTGAGTGGCATGAAATTTAGAACTCTTTCCTCTTCTCTGTTTTAACTGATATATGTTGTTTTTAGTAGCAAGATATAACACCTCCAAATATCACTAAATATTACAGTTCTAATTATCTCTGTTCCTTGTGACTCTGAGGAATAAAATGAACTTCATATCTGAAAGTTTAAGACTGTTGACTTTCTCTCTTCTTCAGTTAAGGACACTTATTTTTGCTCATTTGATGGATCTTTTCAAATTTAGAATTTAAATTTTTGAATCTTGTTTAACAAGTGTTTAACTAGCACAGAGTATCTCTCCTTAAACATCCCTTTGCTGCTTTCCCAGCTTCTGTTTTCCAGCATATTCATAACCACAGCCAGGTTCTAGGCCTTCAGTTTCTAAAATAAACTTGATATATAAAAAAAGCAAAACATGTAAAAGCAAGAATTAGGGAAGAAAAACTATATGCTATTCTGAAACACTCTGATATTCAGATAATGTTGTTCTTCACAAAATCTGTAGCAGACTTTGAAGTGTGACATTGCAATATAATGGACTTTGGACAGTAGTGATGAAAGGATGGGTCTGAAATCCATCTGCTGACAGCTTGACTATCATAAACACCCTGTACAAATTGCAAAATCTTACCTTAGGAACTGTAAACTCAGTTCTTAAGAATAGAAAGAAGCTATGAGGAAGTTGGCTAAGATAAGTAATCTTGCTTTGGGAGAAGCAAAGAAGAGAACAAGATTGGATAAAGATCTGGCATTTGGGATTCTGATCTTACATTTTAAATACATCTGTTTATGTATGTTTCTTTTCTAAGAGATTATTTTACTAGAACTCTTATCCACAGGTACATTTTACTTCATTTTGCAAGCCTTGTGGAACTTAATAACAAGATCTTGTTCCATGTAACTGTATGAAAGTCGATGAATAACAAGTTTACAATAAGGTAGCCAAGTTCTAAATGAATTATGTTAATAGAAAAGATTAGCCAATATCTATTGTCAATATCTATCTATAATATCTATTACCTATATTTTATTCTTAGGAGAATAAAAACTGAAAATAATAAAAACTTCTTACTCAAGTAAGCTGTCATGATCCATTTCAGAGTAGAGCTGCAATTCAGGAACAGGATATATGTTAACTTGGATGAAAACAGGCCAGTATGTATAGGTGGAAAAACACTGAAGTGCCAATAAAATATAAATGAAGTTCTGGTTAGAATTAATTAGGAGCTAATTAGTCTTGTCTATGATAGCTTTCTACATCTCATAGTTCCCAGCTACCTAACAAGATCCTCTTTAATATTTATCTGAGCAATGCTGACAAGTCATGCAACATTTTACAAACAGCTTTTCCTACGTACTGGAAGAACCTTCTTTGCTCTCTGGTTCTAAATTCATGTCTACACTGTCCATGGGGAAGCAGTGGAGAGATTCCTAAGCTGCTCTGGGGAATCTGTGGATGCAGATTCCAGGAGCAGTTGCTGCAGGCCTGGAAGCAGCATAAAAATGTTTGCAGTGCCACTCTAGAGATCTTTGTGAGCCAGGTACAGAGCAGGTGTCTCTGCACTTGCAGTGCACCTGCGCTCTTGGCCTTGCAAACAAAGCTCATCTTGTCAGAGTCTGTTTTACAAACAGCCCTGTGTAAAGGCATGTGAAATGAGTTACACTTTAAAGGGCCCTTGTTCTTTGGTGAAACCTCTCTCTAATGCATACTGCCTCAAACTAATTTCCAGTGGGAGAGTTTGCCAAGGAAAAAGCGTTTCTTTACAAATCTTTGTAGTAATGAGAGTCACAATTCAGAACTTGTTGTTACAAAATTTAATATTTTTTTCTTTCTTATTTTTTTCTTTGTTTGTTCTCTTGGGTTTTTTTAGAGTCTGACAAGTTATGATGTCTGTAGCATACTCCTAGGAACATCCACTATGCTTGTGTGGCTTGGAGTCATTCGCTACCTAGGTTTCTTTCAGAAGTATAATGTAAGGATCTCCTGGGATCTTCGTACTGTTGGTATTTATTCTGTTTGTTGCTATAAGGGGACTGGAAGAAGTGTCTGGTTAAATTCTTACTGTTTGCATTGCTTCGTACAGCTTCTCATCCTAACCCTGCGAGCAGCACTACCCAATGTAATGAGGTTCTGCTGCTGTGCTGCTATGATCTACCTGGGCTACTGTTTCTGTGGATGGATTGTACTGGGACCATACCATGTGAAGGTAATGCACTTACATGAAAAAAGACAACTTGAATAACAGAATGAGAGGTTACTACTGTTGTTTTCTAAGTTTCCATGTCAAGACTTCCCTTAATATAAAAATAGTGCATCTTCAACATGATGCTGCTCTGTTTGAGGAGCCTGACTTCCATGAGTCAATCAGACCTTCCTTGAGTTACGAAAGCTCTGAGTCAGAGGTGGAAGCTGCTGTGACTCCCAATCATATGCTGATATTTTGAGAAATAATTTTCATTTTGCAGAACACTCTTGTCAGACTAAAACTTTGGAAACATGCTTATCCCTTTTTTAAAAGAAATTGGCTTATCTGAATTGAATGTGTATATGTACAGGAGGTGACAAACCTTGGTCATTCATCAAATGTTTTACTGTTTGCACTTCATCATACCCTGGGTATAGGAAGAGATCCAAGGCAGCCAGTTATCAGCTGTGTATCTGCGTGTTATGTACAGGCTTTGTATCCAAATAAAGCAGTGACAGATATTCTTGTCTTCTTCCCTCCTCTCTAGTTTCGCTCTCTGAACACGGTTTCTGAATGTCTTTTTTCACTGATCAATGGAGATGATATGTTTGCCACCTTTGCAAAAATGCAGCAGAAAAGTTACTTGGTTTGGTTATTCAGCAGGATCTACCTCTACTCCTTCATCAGTCTGTTCATCTATATGGTGCTGAGTCTCTTCATTGCACTCATTACAGACACGTATGAAACAGTCAAGGTAAGCACAGACTATTCATCTGGAGTAACAGTGCAAACTTGGTGCTATCAAGATTCTCATGTCCCTCAATATTTTAAATTGGAGTGCATGCCAATCTAATGAATAAACATAATGACTACTTTTAAGGGTGTAGAGGGATGACAGGAGGGTTTTTAATCCCCCTCTACCTCAAACTGACAAAGTCTCTCTGTTTTCCTACTCCAATGAAAGCTAAAATGCTACTGAAAAGCAGTATTTTCACATTAGGTTCTGTGAATCATCTAATTTCAGACTTGAGCAACATCTGAAATGTGGTCTGGTGAGAATTTGGGTTATTGTACATTTTAGCCTTTTTGAAGGTTTAACTAAATATCAATTTTTAGCACTATCAACAAGATGGCTTTCCAGAGACAGAACTTCAGAGATTTATATCACAGTGCAAAGACTTACCGAACTCCGGCAGGTACAGGTTAGAGGAGGAAAGTTCTACATCTCTCTTCTGTTGTTGTAATGGTATGTATCTATACTAAAATTATACATTAAGGTATATGCAAAAGTGACACACTGCTAAATGTCCCTGGTATAAAGTTTATGAAGAGTCCTTCAATTTTGGGGGTGGAGAGAAAAAAAAACAAAACACAAAAATCCCAGATTATTTCTAATGCTCTAGAACGGAACGCCAGCAAAATGTCAGCAGCCAACAAATTCCTTAGAAGAAGTGAGGGACCTTTCAAATTAAGAATCACTTAATGTGTGAAAAGTGCTACAGGAAGTTAGATAATATAGACAGTAATATGTGTAATGTGCAAGACTTAACATTTCTTGTACTCACTGCAACAGGCAGGACTTACAGAACTCATTCGGTGTTTTCTTATCCACTTTTTAATGATACCTTGTGCAGTAAGGTCTCCTAACTTAAATGATAACAGGCCTGAAACTTGGGGACAAAACGAGCTTGTCAAGGTTTTAAGACAGCATGCACTTGGAAAACATGGCCTAGCTTTCACTATGGAGAACAAATGCTTCAGTTATTTGAAGTTTTGTTTCTTCAGGAATACTGATTGCAGGATATGTGGTTTATATTTAACCAGGCAGGCAGCAGCTCTGAGTCTTGCTTGCTGAAGGGCCTTTTAGTGGGGGAGCTGAAAAATATTTGTCACTTGATTAAAAAGATCAAAGGTGTTTGCAACTCCTTGGTATTGTGCTTTTCTGGTGTGCCAGATAGAATATATTTATGAGGGGGAGGAGATGGGGCCATATCTTGAAGCAGGGAGATGACAGAGCCTGCTGTGAGCCACCCCCCATTCTGACCAAGTGCCTTACTGGAGATAAAAGTGAGGGATGAAGCAGAGCAGGGCATCTTGCTCCTGGGTAAAGGGCACAGACATGTTAATATTTCCTCTTCTGCACACACCTCTCAGTTTAACAGGAAAGAACGCCAACATGAGGCAGGACAGGGTGGGGATGTAATAATTTTCCCACTGAGTGTGCAGTGGGGATGGGACATCTAAAAGAGCATTCTCATGTTCAAAATGTTTTATAGTGGTTCATAGCACTTTCTTATTGATCTATGTCAACTTAGTAATTAGTTGCATTTTTAAGGCTCCTTGTACAATGAGACTATTACTTTGATGCATGCACCTGACAACTTTCCTCCCCTCTCTTGTACAGGTTGTAGTGAACATATTTAATGGATTGTGGGAGTGTATCATAGAGCCTTTAAAGCACACATTGCAAGAACTGGACAACAGACCTGGTGGAAAACCTTATATCTAAGGCCTGAATTTGCTTTTCTTGAGAAACAGTGTAAGCCTGTGGCAGAAGCTTATGCTAAAATTACAGATTTTTGATTAGACACTCACCTCTAATTCAGGAGGTTTGGGTATTTGTTTTTATTAGCTTTATTCTATTTGTTTCCTCAGTTAAATTCTGCTAGAATGCAAAGGGCATCAAAAAGCTGTCTGTGTTCAGAGACTTGGCTAGGTTATAAGAGTAGATCGGAAATGTAGTAACTTTCAATTATAATTAGAACTAGTTCCAGGCAACTGCAGCTTTGAACACCAACCTAACCCTCAGTACTGCTGCCATTATCTGTCCATGGCTGACCTCTTACTGAATAAATGAAAGCTCGCTCTAGAGCCCTTAGAATTTTTTGTTTATTTGCACTCATAGTAAAAATAAAAACTATGAAATTTGGTGTAATTTTTTTCTGGAGTCATTATAGTGAGTTGATACACAAACCATTCAAATATAGCTAAAAGCATAAAATAAATATTTCCTTAAACAGAAATACCACTTGATGTGAGTGGCAGTCTCTTCTCAGAGAGGCCAGGGATATGCCAGGCTGGACTGGAGTTTGAGGGGTGAGTAGATTGGAGAAATGGAGATGTTCTCCTGTATCTAGCACTCAGTAGGATCAGTGACAGCCTTTGGCTTTACAGTGTGTGAACTTTTCAAAATATATATTTTTTTACTTTGAAATCTTCCTCTGGTTTACAAGTCTGTGGTAAAGTCTCTGGTTTACAAGTCTGTGTATTTCTGTGTATTTAACTTAGTTTAGACCTCTGGTTTACAAGTCTGTAAACCAGAAATCTAAACTAAGTTAAATACACAGAAATATGTCTCTGAGAGTCATGTTCCTTCACACTTTAGAAACTGGATGTTTCCTATCAGCTTAACAACCTGCTACTGTCAATGGCCAGCTGAAACCTTAGCTCTTGTAGAAGTTCAGTTTTAACAAGTTAGTTTATATACTTTGTTGATTGCGATACCATTTAATTGATGGCTTGTTTTCCATAGTCTATTCACTCTGGGAGCAGAACAGAAAACCAAAGGGAAACATATTTTTGATAACTTGCATTTGTGAGCAACATTGCTGGAGCTGTCTGTGACAATGTAAAATGTTGTGGAGGACACTGAACATGTTCTGCCTGAATGCTTACACATTGTAAATGTGCTACAATAAACAGTTCCAGCTGCAGTAAGTATTGGATGTGTCAGTATTCATCCTAAGAGTAAATATATTGCCAGGTTATAGGAGCTTTGTTTATTAATGACACTATACAATTTCTAGTGTGCAACTGTGTGGAGTGTGTGGACTTGGATTTCCTGTAGTCAAGACAGCTCCTGTGGACTCTTGTTAGGACCTGTTTCCAGCTGATCCCATTTAACAGCATTTCAGAATTTGCCATAGAAAAAAATATTCAATCATTAAACCTTACACTAAAAACACTCCTCAAATTCAGCAAAGGCGAACCAAATACAAGGTGCAGGCAGAACAGATCTGAACGGTATATGAAAGTTTTGTGTATTGAGGCCCTTGCCTTTTAATGTTCACCTAAGATTGAAGACTTTTGAAGCTTTTCAAGAAGACACAAGGCAGTCTTGCCTCAAAAAGCAAATATTAAGTGATCATGTTTTCTCTTGACACATTATATTCCTTATGGATCTTTGACAACACACAAAATATAACGTGCACATCGCTATTGTATAAAGTAGTTTGTGCAAGAAATTCTGACAAGGATGGCAAGCACTTTCAGATGATGAAATGCAGCAGACTGATTCACAAGGCTTTTTTATGCAGAGTAAAGAGAAACCTGAGATTAATAAATCACTTAAAATGTGGGTGCATTTTGTAAACAGCTGTGGAATACATTCCAGTACAGGTGGAAGGCAAGAAGTAGTCTAATTTCATTTAAAAATGGAGACAGAGCAAATGCTTTGTCACTGTTAACTTAAGAAACTGGCAACAAATTTCAATAAAATTTGGCAGAGCTCTAAAATACCAAATTCTTACAGTTTTATAATACCAGAGGGAAACCATGTTAATAGAAGCCTGCAGTATAAGCATAAGGCATGGAAAGCTACAATGGCTGACCCCAAAGCAAGAAAAGATACTGTATATAGATTTTTTCTGTTCCTAGCAGAAGCAGAGAAGTGTGATGTCAAAACATCTAGATTGGTTTCCGTTGCCTGAAGGGCAAACTTCACTGTGAAGCATGTTTTGCAGTAAAATCCCTAGTAGGGTCTTTTAAGTGATGACCTGTGCTTGTGCTACAGCTAAAAAGTCAATCAACTGAGATGCTGAAATTAATCAGAAAACCATGCTCTGTTACTTCTGCTGGACACCACAGCTTTGAATTTAGCGTTGCTGGCAGTTGTGTGGGTTTGGGGAGGAAAGAGCTGATGAAAGACAACTTGCCTTCAAACAGTTATGGGCAGGGGCAGAGTGTGAAGCCAGAGGGGAGGACTCTCTAAAAGTAGAAGGATGTGTACCAAAAAAAAGGATCGGATGGGGTGGGAGGAAAAGAAGGGACAACTGCTTATAAAGTTAGCAGAGCAGCAATTGCACATTTCTGGCTATGGGTGCAGGCTGATACACTGGGAAAGAAGAGCAGTAGCCTGGAAGGTTACTGGATTACAACTGCTCAAAATGTCCACTTCTGACTGGAAAAATAACTGCTACTTGTATTACTTATCTGATACATATTTATATTTTGGGTTTTTAAAGAAAATAAACAGACATAAACATGTGTTGTTTGCCTTAGTGCTACTGCTGGCAATCTAAGGGCTCGATGTTGAGATATCTGACCTGCTTGATCCTTGGTGTTTAGGATCTTCATCTGCCTAAGTATTTCGTTCACCTGAGAAGAAGCCAGTCAATGCTGTGTTTTCTAGCCTACTGGCTGCATTTGAGATGAAGTACAGCTCTGCCAAATCTGTGGCTACATGTGTGGTGAGGCTTTTTTATCTTATTTTGTGTCAATATATTATGTGCTGGTTATGGCTTTGCAGAGCCAAGATGTGTGACAATGATCTTATTATAAAAAAAACCCTTGTGACTTCAGCAGTATCAGTGATCTCAACGTTAGCAATGCTAGTAGCACATGTAAAGCGGCATCCTGGAGACGTCGGTATCTTAATGCTGATGCAATCAAGCAGGCACAGATAGAACTGTAAAATGCAGTGGGGGAGAGCAAGGAAGCAGATAAAGCATCAGATAAACTCATGCTTAAAAATGCCATCCTAAGGAAAACAGGGCTTTCAGCCTTGACCAAGGAGTTGGATGGGTAAGAGTTTCTTTGTTCTGATTCTCACTGGGCTCTAGAAAGAGTTGCCTGAAAAATACAGATATTCAGTATTTCCTCGTGAAAATAAGTTGCAGGGTGCTAAACTGGGTAACAGCTATTTTCATACGGAGGCTTATTTCAATGCCAGTGTTTTGTATATACATACAGGAAGAACTTCTTGTTTTCAGCAGAGCCCAGACCTCTCTACAGAATGAAACTATACTGAGAGAAAGACAGAGGTGGGGGCCTTACTTGTTTCTAAGTACCAGTTTTTATGTTAGATTTAAGCAGATTCTCAAGGGAAGGTAAACAGTGTGCACATAAAAGAGGAAGAAATCAAATTCATATATGCTAATACCTATCCAATATTAAAATGTGTAAAGGCATAATTTATCTAGGGGATGGGGATGGTGATGGAGACAGGATGCAGGACAGCACACAATGCTGCTGTAAAAGACCAAACCTGTGGCTGCATCTGTCAGGAGCATATTCCTGCCTGAGGCAGTACCTAATACCAGATGCTTCAGAGGAAACCTTAAGAAAACTTTCATGCATGAGCTGACACAATGCTTTTGCAGCTAATGTTGAGTAACTCCATATAGATGTTTGTCTGGGCATTTGTTCCTTCTTCTCTCTTAAACTGTGTGACCATAACCAAACTCAGAATCATCTGAGAACATTATGTAAGAATCCTATGCTACCCATCCCCGTCGTGTGGGCAGGTAGAGAGCTCAGTTGCTGCAATGAAGCCTCTCATGAATCTGCATTCTGTTTTGAACACCCTAGTTGGGAGTAACTGCATTAAGCCACATCCTCTGAGGAACCAAGTACCTCTTGAGCTGCAAGACGACCAGCTAGCTCTGTAGTAGCTAATCTCACCTGACAGTCTTCGCTGCACGTTATCTCCGTGCCTACAACTACCAGCTGGCAGTAAAGCGACTACAGAGCCTTACTCTCGTAGCAAGAGCCCGCGCACCGGCGGGCGGCGGTGGGGCAGGGGGAGCCGGGGCCGCAGGGCACTTGGGGGCGGGCGCCCTCCTCCGCCGGGCCCATAAAGGCGGCGCGGCCCGCGGGGCAGCGAGTGGGGTTTGCCGGTGGGACGGGGCTGCGCGGCCCTGGCTCCCCCCGTCCGCCCCCACGGATTGCCGGAGCCCTGCCCTGCCCTGCCCTGCCCGGGCAGCGGCCGAGCCCTGCGGCCCCATGGAGATCTCCCTCAAGTACCTGCCCGGCGGGCGGCCGGCCGCCAGCGGGTGAGCGGAGCGGGACGGGATGGGGCGGGCGCGGCGCCGTCCCTTCGGGTCACCCCGCCCGGAGGCAGCGGGGTCAGGGCGCTCCTTCGCCAGCGGCTGCGGGAGGGAGCGCAGCGCCCCGGGGTGGGGGTCGGGCCCATCCTGCCCGCGGGGTCCGCGATAGCGGGCGTGCCCCTGCCCCGGCCGTGCCCCTGCCCTGGGGCGGCCGCTGCAGAGCAGCGCTCCCGCAACCGCGCCGGGCGGGCAGCGGTGCTGCTCCAAACCCTTATTTGGGTCTGCTGCACAAGGTAGGTCCTGTCCTCCCGCCGGGGAGGCGGATGAGCGGCGGGGAGGCTCGGCCTGTGCCGTGCCGGTGCACCGAGCGCACCGGAGCGCTCCGTGTGTTCTCCCGGTCCGGCTGCGCGGGGGCTGCGGCGGCTCCTCCCGCGGCAGCCGAGCGCTGGTGACCTTGGCAGCTCTGCACAGGAGGGCTTCCCCCTAAGTTTCCGAGTTCGCTTTCTTGAGAAGGGCGAGGCGATGTCCTCCTTTAGGCAAGTGCTGAGCTTAGTAGAGATCGTGAAGGTGAAGCACAGGCTGATAGGTAGAACTCAGTGTTGTTTGTTTGTTTTTCCCCGTTTTTCTCTCCTTCTTCCCCCCTTAACACTTCATCAATCTCGTTAATACCTCCTCAAGAGGTAGAGCTCAAAAAGCTAAATGTTTCTGATCTGGAGCTCTGATGGACACTGTTACTGGTGCTTCAGTAGTGAGTTACTCATTAAAAAAAAGCGATTGTGCTCACTAAGTGTATTTTAGCTACTTGATGCAGTCGGGCTTTTTCTGCTATGTGAAAAGCTAAGTATTAAAAGCGTATTTCATGAGCAGGTAGCTGCAAACTGTAGTCTTTGCTGTTGAAACCTCTTCCTTTAGTAGAATGCTTAAATGCCTAAAGTGCCTCGCTACAAAACGCTGTCTGAACAGACTAACCTACCAGCCACAGCATTGCAATAGTGATTAAAGTAATGCAGCTGTTAGAATTGATTTAGTAACAGTTATTATATGTGACACATGACACCTGGATATGCATCTAAGCATGCATAGTAGAGTTAGTCTTCATTCACAAAAAATGTTTCTGTCAATGCTTTACAAAGCATACTATGGAAACCTATTGAAAGGTGTTAATTACACTAGTACATCTGAATTGAATTGTTTAATTTCTCTGTTTTGAGCCAGGTGCTGTATTTGAATTATTTTTAGATTATCAACCTAATAACCTTTTGGTAGAACTAGATAGTTTGTTTTAAATGTGATGTCACTGTTACTCTTTTGGAGTTTTTAACTTCTTTAATGCTTTGGTTGAAGGTTCCAATTCTGCAGATTTTAGGCAGTCTATTTAGATGTAATTTTGAATCTATCCTGGAAACAAACGGATTGAAAACCAGTTGCTGTACTTTACCAGTTACCAGATTAATTATTTCTTAAATACTACACCACAGAACACTTGTTCTATATTGGAAGACAAAGTCCAACAGTTTTTTGTTTGTTTGTCACTTTTGATATGCTGGAAGCTTAGAGGGGAGGGTTTTGCTGGAGTCTTGCAGTGGTCCCTATGTCATACCCTCATGCTTTAAATCTCAACCGGATCCAGCTTTCCTCTTTGTTTCCCACTTACTCCTATGACTTTCTCTCTGGGTTAGCTCTTGTTCACTGTGTACCCACACAGAAGTTTCTGCCCATTCAAGAGAAGCTTGCACAGGAGCAGTGATGTCTTTGGGTGTCAATGCAGGACTGAAGTACGCATGTACCTGTTTCCTTAGACAATATTCACAGCAATAATTTTCATGTGCTTTTCTGTCAGGTGTGTTTACATTTTTCAAAGTTTTTGTATCTTAAACTTTATTTAAGCTAGTCCAGTATGTTTTTAGTATATATTCAGATAGGGATGGAGTTCACATTTTGTTTTTCTTAAAAACTTCCCATGTTTTTCCTATGAAAATCATCTTACCTCCCATCATCTTCATGATCGATTGATTTAAGGCTGTGTAATAAAGATGACTTTGGAACTTCTAATGTTAAAATAGATTTTTTGCTTTTTTCACTTCCTCTTCTGAGGAAACACCACAGCGTCAACTTTACTGTGTTTTCTTAACTTAAATTTCTCTTCTTGTGGGACAGCTGGTTCTAGCAAATCAGATGTGCTTTGTGGTCTACAGTTTTGGCTTAAATAACTGTAAACTTCAGACAGATGAGGACACAGAAAGTAAAAATGCATCTGGAAACTTTTGGTTTTGACCCTGAGAGAAAATGTTATCCTTTATAAAATTCAGAACATCGGGAATGATTTCTGATTGGTAAATGGGACTGATAATCAGTCAGTGTCAAATATAAACCTCTTAACACGTAAAGGGAGGAAAAAAATTACAGGTTTCTGATCTGTATGTCAAACAGGAAAGTTCTGAAAATTATGGTACTGGAAGATAGGGTTAAAATGATTAGGAGAAGGGGAAAGTTTTCAATGTCCCATTCAGCTGAGAAGGAGAAACATAAGATGATTTAAGACATCTACAACAACAGTCCTCTGTGCTTGGTCCTCTGATTTTTACATGCCCAGATATTTAAATAAATAAATGGCTGTGAATTTAGCCCTGAAAACTGCATATTAATAACAGAAATATGTGCAAAGCCTGCTCTGGTTGTTTAAGACACTTTTTTTCTGCATGTAGAATGTGGATGTAGATGTGTTAACATATTTGAAAGAGAATACATAGTTGTTTCAAACATGTATTTTTAAGAAAGAGAGAAATGTAGACTTTATATTGCTATTACAGATATTTATGCCTGTTTCCTGACAGTTATTTGTCTAAATGCTGTTCTGATGACCTAATGTGGTTGAATGACTTTTAATGATGTGATCATAGGGAAATATTTTTTGCATTTTGCTATAAAACAAACAGAAAACTATTTCAGACCTTTTATGTCAGGTGGTGATCTGAGGTGAAACTGCAGTGAGGAAATTGTCTGCCAAAGCATTCTGATTTCTAATTAATATGTTGTTTATGGCAGAAATATGATGACTCAGTCAGATTTAGATCTGAAAGAGACGGCTCTAAAAGAGGATTTGAAGTTTTACTTCATGAACCCATGTGAAAAATACAGAGCAAGACGTCAGATACCATGGAAACTGGCTTTGCAGGTTTTGAAGATACTTATGGTTACTACACAGGTAATGCTCTGTTTTTACTCTTAATAAGAGTAGCAATGGTGTGCAAGAGAAGCAGGTATGTGGTTCTGGGCCTTTGCCATCTCTGGATATTTGTTACTGACTTGAACTTCCCACTTCAGTCCGTAAAGAAAAAATACTATGAAAGGTGTTTCAAGGGGAAAGAATAACATAGGTTACAAAAGCCTCCTGGAGATTTTGGAGCAGTGTTTGACCAGATATTTTGCTTTTTTGGCATAATACTTTAAAGCAAATTACTCTTCCCATTGAATCCAGCACTGTCTTCAGGCTTGTTGTCATGTTCTTAGATTATAGTTTCACTGGACTATTAAAAATTTTATGTTTTCTAATATCTAATCAGAAACTTGAAATGTATATGTTGAATATGGAAATGCTGTGGTGTGTGGTGATGATGGGATGACTAGGCTACAGGAATTGGATGTGCCCCTTGCTTCTGTCATCAAATAATGCATTTGAACAGTTGGGTTCTGTTTGAGGTACTAGGTAGAAACAAAGAAGAGGGCATTCTTAAACTGTGCTGGTATCACAGCGTAGTTGGTTATTTTACAGTCCACTAATAAATAGTGACTGGATGTGGAGGGAAGCAAAATGGGACACTCATATAAGTAGAAATTACTTTTTCTGAACATTTGAAATGAAAGACTGACATCTGACAGTTTGCAATAACAGCTAAATATATGCACTGAATTGTAGGATTCCAGGTTTGTGTCTGACTGGCCCACTAAAATGAAGCATAACCCTGGCTTATGTGTCCAGTGTTTTATTGACTGTGACAGGCTCTCTGGCCCCACTTGGTGGGGTCTGACCTCTGCTGCTGCCGTGCTGTGCCCAAATCCTGACAGGCTCTATCCGCAGGCACGCATAGGATTCAATGGTTGGTCTTTCTAAGCAAAACTTCAGTTATTTTACTTGCAGTTTCTCAGTCTTGCATTTTCCCTACTTTTGTCAGATTCTTGTGGGGCTTGGAAACTCGCAGCAGTAATGAGACAGTTCACCTTTGCTGTTTGTAGGCATTTTAAACCTAGGATGAAGGGTGAGCTGTCTGGGGCTTGGGATATCCTCCTGCTACTGCGCCTATGAAGAAACTCTTGTTGCTTGGTTTTTCAGATTCTAGTCTCTGTTTGTTTTCCTTGGTGATGGCAGGGGAGAATCGGAATGTCCATATGGTAGGGCAACACATGGCTTCAGTAGTAACTCTTCTGTCTGCTGTTGCTTCTTGTTATAGCCTCCTTAAGCAACATCTGGGTCAGGCATTTTTGTTGCCGTAGGGTACCACATAGATCTGCTCTAATCCTGTGCCCTGCCAGAGGTAGAAAAGGTGCAGGAATTTGTCCCCTAGCAAAACAGAGCATTTCAGGGGCAGCAGGCTGTGCTCTTAAGTAGCTCATCAGCCATTTGCATCCTCCACAAATGTTTTGGCAAGTTCTGGTTAGAGTTTTTGGTCCACAATATCTAAAATTTGCGCACGATGTAGCTGTGCATTCAGTTGCTGTAAGTTTTGGAATCAGATTTATGGTAACCTTGACTTTAGTAGTCTTATGGCATTAGCTAACAGGTTCTTTGCTCTTATCATAGTGGAGTTGCAACAACGGGTACCTGCCTGCTTTGTATTTACTATAACTGAGAGCTGTTTCCAAAATGCTGCTGCTTGACCAGGGTTCAAAATACAAACGTGTGTGTCATTTTCTTTTTTTTCCTCTTGTCAGCTTGTTTTTTTTGGTTTGAGTAACCAATTGGTGGTCTCATTCAAAGAGGAAAACACTGTTGCTTTCAAACACCTATTCCTGAAAGGCTATTCTGGAGTTGATGAAGATGACTACAGCTGCAGTATATATACTCAACAGGATGCTTATGATAGCATTTTTTATGTTATTAATCAGGTAAGAGTGTGTGTGTGTGTTTATAACTATGTTAGGGCTGAAGCTATAGCTATAAACTTCTGCTAAGGTTCTCGTTTTCTGTTTCCATTCTTGGATTTCAGTTTTGGTATTTCAGTGAATCAGAGTAGATCTGGTGTCCTGAAATTCATGTGCAGCTCTCTGCAATTTTGTCTCTGGGAGATGAATCCAAACCAGAATTTTATTTGGGTAGTGCGTAATACCAAAATCCAGAAAGTTTGAAAATCTGTCATCTTGCATGAACTAAAACCTTGATTTAGGTCTTACTTTGAAGACCTATGGGCCTGAATATACCTATGCATGGTATTCAAAAAATTTATGCTTACAGTTATACTGAATTGCAGCTTTGTATTGAGCACCAGGGGCCTCAGAATGGGGAATACAGTACTTCCAGGAGTGTAGGGGCACTTGCCCTGGTTAAGGATGGTATTTTAAAGAACAGTCCCTTTACAATTTTCAGAAGAAAGTAAAAAAATCTAGCATAAAAATTCAGTAAACATTTTCATATTTAATATTAATACATTCAGAAGTTATGACGTGAAAGACTGCCTGTGGAATATGAAACATCTCTTGTGTTTGGCGATGGTGATAAGCCCAGAAATTATTAATCCTGGATGAATGAAAAGTGGCTTTAAACTTCCTTTCCTTTTCACTGGCCTTGGGACATCAGCTCTGATGCTTGGATTGCAGCAGTATTGCCACTGTCAGCCATGCCCAGCAGCATCTGGGATTTGCAGGGGAGCAAAGGGCTGTACCTCATTCTTAAACACCTGCTCATGTTGGGGCTTGTTGCTCTCCTGCGCTCTCTGCGCTCCAGCAGAGCCATCAGCAGATCAAATGTGCTGTCTCTGCTGTGCTGGGCTCTTGCTCCCGGCATGTTAAATGAGCGGTGAAGTAGTTTTCTCACTCTCCCTTTGGACTCTCAACATTGCCACTGTTTCTGCAATAAACTGTGCTTTTTTTACTTCCTTGCTTGCTTTGTCTCACTTTCCTTCTTTTGTAGGCACTAAGGCTGAGGTGAAGTCCAGATACAAGACAGTAGAGAAATAATAGCTTTGTATCCTCAAGAATGAGCCAATGTGTGATACAGGCATCACAAAAAGGTCTCTTCATAAGATGTCGATGTGGTATAAATGTAGTCATATCCTTTAAGGAGATTTAACCTGTGAAATCTGTGTGCTTTAGTGTTGTAACAATTCAAAAATCATGCCTACAGGCGAATTTTATGACTAGTGTTACTTTTGCTTGTTTTTTTGTTTTGTTTTGTTTTGTTTTTTTAAAGGGTGCCTTCTGGGAAGAGCCAAGCCAAATGACTCCTAAACTAAAAGCAAGGGTGTTTTGTTTTCTGTTTGGGTTTTTGTGTGTTTGTTTTTTGATTGTGGTTTTGTTTGTTTGTTGTTTGAGATGGGCAGCTAGAAGCCATGGATTTTGGTGTTTTGTTTTGAGTTTTAATTTGAAATGCTTGATTGGGTGAGTAAAGCAGAAAAAATATCATATTACAGAAGATAGTGATAGTGCACAGCTACAAACCAACAACATAAAACCCCAAACATACTTTTACACTTGGAAGAGTACACAGGTTTTGCTTGCTTCCCTACTGGGTTCAGTTTGGAAGATTCTATTATGAAGAAGCCATGTGAAGTTGTTACTCTTGTGCCCTGCCCTGTGGCAGAGGCTGTAGGACCAGGATGTCCTGCTGCCTGCTCTGTCTGGGGCTGCTTAGAAATGTATAAACAAGAATATTTCTTTTAGTTTTTCACAGTGGTGTCTGAGTTACCCAGTGCCAGCTGCTGTGCTGTCAGGAGGGCAGAGCCTGAGAGCACGTGTGGACAGAGCAATGGCTGCTGCAGGCAGTGATCTGGAGATGTCCTCAGATGGGTGAAGAGCTGTGACTAACTACTGTTTCCACTCACTTGACCTGCCTTAGTCAGACTGACAGGGTACAGAGGCCATGCTTCTTCTCCTGGGCTGTCTAAACTTGTTGCAAGCTCAGCTGTAGAGTACTTGAAGCAGCACTGCAAGGCAGAGCTTTGGATAGAGGTGTGGTAGTTTCGTTGCAGTTCCTTTTGGACATGGAGCATGTGGCTGTTAATGACTGGTGGGATTTTGTACCCCACAAGATGGGCTAGTGGCCATAATGCCCACTGGAAGGGGGGAATAGGATGACACTGAATGATGCATAATAAAAAAATTCATGTTGAAGGGGGAAATGGACTAATCTGTATCAAAGCCAGCTGAACAATTTTTTTTCTTAAGGAATAGGAAACCTTGCCTGACTTACTTTAGGCCTCTGAAAAGCTAAATGCTTTCTTGAGAGCAGACCAGTGCTGTACACTGCCCTAAGCTCTTTCAATAGGTGTGGTAATGATAAAAAATAAGAAACTATTGTGTTGATGCCTTCTTCCTCTAAAGGCCATGGGTCTGTCTGGCTTCTCTTGGACAATGTTAGCTGATGGGAAGTTGAGCTGGCAGGCAGCTCCCTGCATGGTTAGTCATTGACCTTCTCAGCTGTTGAGGAGCCAAGGGCCACCAGAAGAGCTGTACTCAGGGGTTTGCCCCATTTGTGCAGGACTGGAAGGTGTGAGTCCAAGGATCAGAGGGTAGACAGTAGACACCAAGAATGTGTGGAAGGCAAGTCAAGAGAGGAGTGGCCTTAAATGAAGTCTTGGTGATACTCAGGACTGATCCATGTTTGCACAATGCTTGCTTTGACATAACTTTATTTGCTTCCACTTGTATTCCTCATTTTCCAAGTCTATGAAGAAGGTGACTTGTTTTGTATTTGGAGTAAGTGGAAGAAGTAAGTACCTTCCTCACAAGCATGTTTTCAGCTGCTTCTGTGCTTGTGTAAAGCAGGCAGGTTAATTTATGTTTGGAGGCTGTTTGAGTTCTGTCTATGTTCCTTGGTTGCTGGTTATGTAGTGAACACATGACTTTCCTCTTCTGTAGTCACACAGGGAGCAGCTTTGGTTTTGATCTTGGCATGGATTTGATAAGAACTGTGACTTGGATTGTATGTAAAGTGATCAAGTTTCAAGTGGTGTGAAAACTCACGATTATGGCTGGGCTTCGTGAACGAAGATTTGAGAAGGGCTCTACCCACGCTTGCTGCAAGCGGGCTGAAAACTAGCACTTTCACAAAAGCATAAGATGTCCCTGGAGTGTGTGTGGTCAGCAGCAATACTGCACTGAAGTCTCTGCCAGGCATCTAATTAAAAGCTGTCTGCTGGCTTGCTGTTTGGCACATCTGTGATCATTTGCATGGAGCCCAGTAGGTACAGGGCTCGTGGTCACTGTGTCACCAGAATGGCTATCACTGCTACTTAGTGGCCAGTAGCCCTCTAGTCTGTAAACTGAGTCATGAGACTTCCATCTCATGGGAAACTTTTATGTGAAAATAAAGATTTTTTTTTTAATGCAAAAATCTGTACTGATACGCAAAACTTTGAGGTTGCAATTGACTATATAATGCAAAAAAGATGATTATCTCTAACTTCCACTTCTGTTTTTGTTTCTAAAAAACTAGTACAGGCATTTAAAGAACATATCCTTGGGGATGCTTGGTTATGAACATGAAGGATCAGGTTTAAAAATCTGTAAACAACAGTACAAGAGAGGCACAATGCTTCCTTCCAATGATACGCTGAACATAGATGTTTCTACTGAAACAGGTATGATACTGTTGTACTTAAAAATGTCTTGCTGTGGAGTACTTATATTCTAATGCTATATCAGTAAAGTTTAAAAGCAATAGCTTTTTGTGTGGCAGTTACAGGAAAGTTCCCACACCTCTTGCCTATTTCCCTCTTGGCTTTTAGTACCTAGCTAGAAATGGCAGCTGTGCAAATTATAAGAGGCTCTCTTCAGCCACTGTCATTGGTTTGTAGAGGTCTTCAGGGTTGATGGTGGTGGTGTGTTGGTGTTTTTTTAGGTTGTTCTTTTTTTTTTTTTTTTTTTTTTTTTAAACACAGTTCACCCCACTCTGTGCAGAAAGTTCAAATACAGAATTCTGGGTGCTGCTCAGTCTGTACCATCAGTGTGTGTGTGTCTTTACTGCCTCTCAGAGCTGAGTCCTGACTGCTTAGAGTTAATAACAAGAGTTAATACACAAACCTGCTTCTGACCACACTAGGTGGGCCTCTGTATGGATAGGTTTGCTCAGAATTAATGTTTTGCCTCATTAGGACTGTACACTCTGATTATCTCAGTTTTGTGCTATTTTTTATGTGAAGTTTTTAACATTACATTTTTTTCCTCTTCTCTTTCCAGAATGTGTCTTTTTAAAGCCAGAGGAGCTAGCTGATAAGAAGGCAGAACTGAAGCTGAATTCTTCTTTTTTCAATCTTGAATTTTACAGGTATGGGGATTTTTTTAATATTTCAGCTTGTCCTTTCTTATTAATATGGTGGATTCTGATTTGTGCAATTTGTGTATGTGTGTACATTTTTTTTTATATAATATTTATGTATAAATATTTTTATACACTTTTTCGAACATCCAGGCTTATACAGGTTGAAATCTCCTTCAAGCTGAAAGGCATTGCTCTGCAGACAATCCATGCCCGTGAATTGCCTGACTGCTATGCATTTCAAAACACTGTAAGTGAATATGGGCTATGGCACTTCCAACACTGGGTATGTAATGAGAGCTTAAGCCCAGGTGCAGGTGTCATGCTCGTATCGAGGCTGCATGAGCGATGCAGTTGAGCATGTCCTGGCCTTTAGCCCTCCTTCCCAAAGGCTGCTGAAATGGTGTCGCTGTGGGACAGTGTTGTTTTGGAACATGTTCCAGTTGTAACTTTATAACCTGGTAAGGGAATAAGAAATTGTTCTTCTGCTAAAGGTTAAATGTGGAGTTGGCTTCTTGGAATACTGTTTGTTATGCAATGCGTGTCATGTTCTCAAATTACGCCTACACCATCTCTTACGGTGACAACTTTCTTAAAGCTTACCTGACCAACAATGTTAACACATATGTCCAAAGCACTTAGCAGGATTTGTTTTCTGGAATGAAATCTTGCTAGTCTTGTTTCTGATACAGTTCTGTATTTTCAGATAACTTTCAATAATAGAGCCCACAGTGGAAAAATCAAAATCTACTTTGATAGTGACACTGATATTCAGGAATGCAAAGACTGGCACATATTTAGCCCTGGTAAGTATGGTGCACGTGTGTTTGTGTGCCAGCAGTTAGGCATCTCCCATGACTTTCCCTGGTCTATAACAGTCTGTCCAGCAAGACATTGGGCATCCTGTTCATCCTCCTGCTGCCCTTTAAACAAGACATTGCAACTTGCCTAATGCAACTTGCTGATTAAGAGTTAGGAAATAATTTCTTTTGTGAGGGTGTTGTGGTGAGATGGCCAGTTCATCTCTGTAGACCATTGTGTGTTAGCAGTAAGCTCTACCTGCAAGGAGGGTGTTCCTTCCATAGATTTTTAATTGTCCTGCTGCTCTGAGATGACTCAAATAATTTTATCCACTGACACAGGTAAATTTGCAACTGAAGCCTTCTGCAGCTTTCAAATTTTTATTTTCCCTCTAACTAAGTGAAGCTTACTATTTCTTACAGTGGATTTTTTTTTTTTGCCACTGCTGCTAGATTTAGTGATGTGTATGAGCAAAGGCAAGCATCTGCCATGTATTTGTAGTGTTAAGACTTGGTCTGACAGCTCAGGAATGTGCACTAAAGGTCCCTTAGAGGAACAGTAGCTGTGACAGCGCTGTGCAGCTGCTTCTCCCATGTGCTGACTTGCTGTAAAGGACTGTGATGGAGCAATGTTTTTCAGTGGTCTGTAGAGTATCTTGATTAAAAAATATGTCAAGTGGCCTGCCTTTTGCCTGGGCAAAGCCAGCTTTTCTCTGATGACACCATGTTGTACTGATATTAAAGTGGTATCTTATTGTAAATTCTGAATAACCACAAAGTGTCCTGACTTGCATCTGTGTACACTAATTTTTTGTGACTGTCTTTCAACTAGTTGTTCCTTAGTAGTTTATTTTGCATCTAACAAGTAGCTGAGGGAGCATGCATAATTCTGTGACACAGGTGAGTTGAAATGCTATTACAACAACTGAGTTTTGGCCTGTATTTCATATAGTTAAAAATGTATGTTGTGAAAAAGATAGGGACAATTGATGTGAGGAAGCAAAGGAAAGCACCTAATTTGCATTCACATGATGGCTTCTAAACTTGTGGATGAACAGAATACAGTACAGGAAGTCAAGCAAGTTTCTTATTACAGACTAAGTTGAGAATTTTCTTTTTAATTTAATGATACAGGCCAAATCTGCATTTCTTTTAGCCCATGTAGTTGTAACACTGTGAGAACACAGATGGACAGGTGAAAAATGGGATACCTGTATTAATTTTGGGGTTTATTTTGAATATTACAAACTTGTTTTTTGTTCTTGTGGTCCAATCTCCGTGACTGCCATGATCTAATTCTCTGCTCAGTTGTACTTAAGATATGCTTGCTGGAAGAATATATCTTACAATCCATCTGTTTTTGTGGTGAGAGTGTTTGAGCACAAATTGTTACGAAATGTCACATAATTTGCATTTAAAGAGATGTGAAAAGATTAACCTTACTTCATTTCTTTGACTCTTTACAGTTCTCCAGAAGAACACTCAGTATATTCTAGTCTTTGATGGATTTGTCATTTTATGTTGCTTTACTTCTCTCATCCTTTGCACACGATCCATTGTTCTTGCCTTGAGACTACAAAGGGTAAGCACAGTGCTTGTGATCTCAATACTTATTTGGTCTCTGCCTTCTTTGCTGATGGTCTTTTGAAGGGTTGTGTTTGGAAATGTTGAGTAACATTTTTTCAGTAAACTGAAAAAAATCTATTGCGAGATGTTCTTCTCATACTGTTATCTCTGAACAATTGCTAGCTGAATTGGGTTTATTTCTGTTTGCATAGTGCTGTAATATGAAGTTTTTGTTGTATCTCTCAAGGGCAAAAGAAGGATGCTTTGTCCAGAATTTTACACAAAGAAGACTTCTGGGCCTTTGTGCTGTGAACAGCTAGCATGTCCTGCACCTCCAAAACATAAATTCCTTCTTCCTTGGTTCAGAGTAGAATTCCCACAGAGGTTTTGTCATAAAGTAACGTCTTAATGAACATCCCTCAAAGCCAGCTCTAACTGGATGGAATGTAAAGCATAGCATATAGTCTAACTCTGGCTGGGTTTTTTTGTTTTGTTTTGGGGTTTTTTTGGTGGTTGGGTTTTTTTGTCTTTCTAAGGCTGGAACCACCCTTTTTCAGTTCTTCTTTCCTTCTTCCCCTCTTATAATACCTGATCAGTCTGCTGTCACCTTCTTCTCTTCTCACCTTCCTTTGCAGACTGGGACTAGCTCTGTCCAGCTTCCTCTCAAGCTGCTTGCAGAGCTTTATGTAAGCAGACTTGGTTTTTCTGGTCAAAATACTGTGCAGAAACACAAGCTGGACCCTGAGATGTGCCAGCTTGTACCTAGTAATTAGCACAAACTTTGTAAGCATGTGGCTTATGAGAGGAAAGAGTCCAGGGTAGATAGGATATGAAAGCACAGATACTTGTTTATCCTGTTCAATATATCCTTATTGTAGCTTGGAAACAAGACCAAGGGTGAAGATGACACAACTCAACAAATGCAAAGTCAAACTGCTGTCAGGAATAGGGGCAGCACATCTATTCATAGCAAAAAGAGCATGTGAAAGCAAATGGGCAGTGTTGGGCATGGAAATGATATTGTTTGCTCTATTGGAAATGAGAGCTTTTGTCTTGTAGGTGTATTTGAGTTATTGCCTTTTTCCTTTCTTTAGTTCAGTGGCCTTGCTCTGTTGGAGGGGGATAGAAACTATTGTAAAGGCCATGGTTAGGCTAGGGGGGATTGGTTGTGAAGTCAGCTGTCCAGTGGAAAGTTTGTTTTCACTGACTTAAGCCCATCTTAATTTTTTTTCCCTGTTTATTTCTGGTGCTATTGAGAATTAGTTTTAAACTATTATTCCAGCAAATACTATAGGAAAAGGGGGTATGTGAAACTTGAGCATTGCTACACTAGGGCATCTGTACGTATTTTTCATCTAAGGGGACCTGTAATTAAACATCTACATTCTTGTCTATAGAGATTTGTGAATTTCTTTTTGGAGAAGTATAAGCGTCGTGTCTGCCATGCTGATCAGCTGGAGTTCATAAATGGATGGTATGTCCTGGTAATTATCAGCGATGTGATGACAATCATTGGGTCAATCCTAAAAATGGAAATAAAAGCTAAGGTGAGAGTTTAATACTCAGCTAAAATACTAGCCTTGTTACAACAGTATGTAATATGCTTTAACTTGGGGACAAATGAAAGTGAGCTATAATTGTCAGTAGTCATCTGTTACTTTGCTGGGTCATTTCCTAGTGCTGCTTTGACTAATAGCTGCTTTCAGTCACTCTTCCCCAAAGTCTTTCAGTAAGCTGTTTAAACATCCTACTTCCACAGTGCTAAGACCCCTAATCCCTGGGATAGGACATGTGGGGAGACAGTTCCTATCAAAAAACCCCAACAATTTGTGTTGTTAGTTCTGTAAGAAGTAGTAGCACATAACTAGTACAGGGAAAACAGGAGTCATCCCCTTGGGTCCAACAGGGGTCTTTGATGGCTTGTAGGACTGCAAAAATGGCTGTTACAGCTTGCTTTCCTCACAGTCATAGGCACAGACTGTCACCTGGTCATTCCACTCTGGGCTTACTGAAATCAATGTACTTTGTCCAGCTGGCAGCTCTTCAGGAGGCTTTTTGGGTTTGTTTGGTTTTTGTCTAGTTTGTTTGTTTGTTTTCTTCAATGCCAACAATGCCAACATATGTATGCCAACAACTCATGTGTTCACAAAACTTTGTATTCTGGGAAAAACAGAGTAGGTAGCGTGCTGCTTCTGTTTCATGTGTACAGAGGCTCAAAGGGCAGGTGCCCAGAGTGGCCTTCAGAGGAACACTCAGAATCTTCTGACTATATGGTGAGGTGTGGATTGAGGATAGGAAGACAGTGAGCTAGATGTCTATCTTGTGCTTATTGCAACGAGTTCTAGCCTTCTAAAGTAAAGTGCAAGTAGACTTGGTTATAAACTTCACTGTAGTAAAAATGACGTTCAGGTTCTGAACATCTGATGGAGAACCTATTCAGAGATGTAAATACATAGGGCATGAAAAGGGTTGTAGTCCCAAGGCTCACTTTTCATTTAAATGATGGCTTATGTTTTTCTACATAGTGAATAAGAGCTTCTTTGCCTAACGATAGCATATAGTAACCTTTTTTTAAACAAAAATTGAGTTATTAAATCTAATTTTGAAACTGTTGTAACCAAACTAAGGGCTGTTGTTCTTCCAGACTTTATGCAAAACTTAAAAATTATCAGCATAGGTGTACTTTCATTTGCAGCACGGTTGCATTTGAATGATCTCAGTAAATAAGTGCAGTTCACATTGATCTGATTTTTGTGATGTAGCAATATCCTTTCAATATTGAACTGCCCTGCTTTGTTTGTTTGAACTGCTGGAACTTGAATAGCTGTCAAGCTGACATACCTACTGCTTTGTAACTTGACTACCTGCTCTATTTGTATCCCTCAGAACCTCGCAAGTTACGATGTCTGCAGCATTTTACTTGGAACATCAACTTTGTTTGTTTGGGTCGGAGTCATCAGATACCTGGGATATTTTCAAACCTACAATGTGAGGCGGAAATTAAATGTCTAATAATTAAAGCATATATATATATATATATATATATATTTATGTCACTTATATTCAGGTCTCTCTAATTTTTTGTCTTTTTTCTCTTCTCTTTTACTCCACCCCGACTTGTAGGTACTCATTTTAACTATGCAGGCATCACTGCCAAAAGTGATAAGGTTTTGTTGTTGTGCTGGGATGATCTATCTTGGCTATACTTTCTGTGGTTGGATTGTCCTGGGACCTTATCATGAAAAGGTATGTCAGCAGTATCACTCCTTTTCTGGTCTAATGATGTATCTATGTGTTTGTATAGCTCCAGGTATAACAAGAGAAATGCATCTTGAATTAATATTTCTGTATAAAAGCTGTAATGTGAAAATGGCAGTGTTTCTCCTTCCATGCATACCTTCTGCCACCTGCTCCTTTTAAGAAAATAACTGTATTACTGCTTTTACTGTGTGCTTGAAATCAGTGTTATCTCCTACACCAAGCTGTTTTTGTAATGAGTGGATGGTTTACCTATGCCTGGAGAAGACTGAGGGGAGACCTCATTGCAGTTACAACTTCCTCGTGAGCGAAAGAGGAGGGGCAGGCACTGATCTCTGCTCTGTGGGAACCAGGGACAGGACCCCAGGGAATGGCCTCAAGTTGTACCACGGGAGGTTTAGGTTAAATATTAGAAAAAGGTTCTTCACCCAGAAGGTGATTGGGTGCTGGAACAGGCTCCCCAGGGCAGTGGTCACAGCACCAAGGCTGCCAGAGTTCAAGAGGTGTTTGGACAATGCTCTCAAGCACATGACATGAGTCCTGGGGATGGTCCTGTGCAGGCCCAGGAGTTGGGCTCGAATCCTTGAGGGTTCCTCCTAACTCAGCATATTCTGTGGTTCTGTGTGATCTCTTTCGCCCTCTTCTGGCAGTCACAGGTCAGTTCACTGGTTTGGTTTGGTTTGGGGTTTGTTTTGTTTTGTTTTTAATCTCCTTGGCTCTGGCTTTGTTTTTCCAAATCTTTCCCATGCCATGTAACTTCAGCCCCTAAATTATGACTCATAAAGGGGTGGATGAATGCTTGTCTTATTTACTTTGCTTCCTGAGTGTGGGTGTGTTGTGGCTTTGTTTGTTTGTTTTCCTCAGGTTAGTATCAAAGTGTGTGCCTGGCATGTCTTGTCTGAAACCTGGGTGCAGGAGCAAGACTTTGTACATTCTAAAACATAAGCGAAACCAACCCTAAAGCCTGTTCGTTTTTCCTCTTGGCAGATGCTCTATGTGACAGTTTGCAAAAAGGCAGATTCCTGTTGTGTCAAATTCTAGATGTCTGTTAAAGACTGACAGACGTATGAATTCTCGTTCTTGATCTCTGGTTACACACACTATATATGTAACAGAGAGACATGCTGCAGTGCTTGATTTGGCTTCTTGTGCCCCACGTCCCCCTGAGCTGTAATTCTCTCCTTTGAGCAATGCAGGTATTCAGGCTGCACATCTTCCAGGTTAATGACAGTATATTTCTCTGTGGGATGCTGGATGCAGTGGGATCCTCAGCCACGCTAGAGGCTCAACAGTTTAAAATAGGCAGCTCATGATTATTGTTGTAACATCCCTGCAACAAGTATGTTAATCATCTGAGCAAAAGGAAGTGGAGTCAATAACATGCTTATCTCTGAAAATATTACATCTTGTCAAAGCTGTAGCGGGGGGGGTTCCTGTTCTTGCCAGTTCCCCAGTGTCCCAAGGGAAGGTGATGTGATGCTGCCAGGGCAGGGCTGGCTTCCTGAGCCTCTCCAGCCATCCAAACTGGCCCTGGTAAGAAATGGGAAGAGCCTTCCCTGATGTGCAGAAACACCAGAAAGCTCCTTATGCTCAAAAATGCAGAAATACATATGTTGCTTTTTCTTCTACTACAGTCAGAGTGAGGGGGTATCCTGCATTTTGTGTTTTGTCAATTCAGGGTCTTACAGGTGAGCAGTCCTTAGCAGGTCTCTGTGTCTGCATCAAAACTCGTGGGTTGCTCAGAAATGCCATGCCCTCTTTCTTCTCAGATAATGCACTGCTGAGTTTCACATGGCTTTAAAATTCAATAAAAACAATAATAACAAAATAAGCCATAGGTGTAAACCAGACCCGCTGTTCCTGTGCAACAATAGGTTCTCCTTACCAGCACATGCCTCCTGACATCTTCTCAATATAGGGCTACAATTCAAGTGAGTGTAGTCATGTTACTTCATTGATAATAGTCACATTAAAATATTATGCATTAATTTGTATTGTCTAATATAGTTAATGAATCCAGTTACTTGGAGAGCCAGGGCAAGAGGGGAAGGTTTGCTTACTGGCTAGCTGAATGGAATTTAGCCTCAGGACACATTCCAGCTTGGGGACATGGAGTTTAGAATGTAAGAGAATGTCCTTGAAATGAAACCATGATTTTTGTGCAGAGTGTATTTCAGTAGCTTCACAATCCAGCTCTAGATTGTACCTACAGCTCAGAATGGGCTTTCTGAATAGATTATGTTATTGCATGGCAAATTTAGTTTAGACCATTCAAACTCTGAAGGCCATATGCTATCACTAGTTCCTTAATACAGTATTGATTTATTACCCATACTCCAGTAATGCTGCAGAGCTGGGAAACCAAAGGATGTGGCTTCTGTTCCCAGCATACTACCACTGATTTACTGTATATATTCTGTGAAACCACTTTTTTCTGCTGGCCTAAAATTGCTTACAATTCAGTAACTTTAATTTTCTGTGGTGGTCAGATATTGACTGTTTTGCCTGTTAAGCATCACAAGTTTATTTCTTGATAATAAGTCTTATGTCTGATGTCAATATCATGCTTAGTCAAGATTATATTTCTTCATGGTTCTATTACTGACATGTATGTTTTGGCCTGAATGTACAGTAAAGTGTGGCAGCATTTAATTATCTGGGTTGGATTTTCTCTTCTGCTAGGTGTAAAACTCAGAGTTATAAAAAACAGAAGTGGGGTGGGCTTTTTAACTTTCCCTTTAAATATGGGTGATTGGTCTTCACATTCTACTAAAAACTTGTACTCTTTATTTTCTAGTTTGAAGATCTGAACACAGTGGCTGAATGTCTGTTTTCTTTGGTCAATGGTGATGATATGTTTGCAACATTTGCTCAAATCCAGCAGAAGAGCACGTTGGTGTGGAGGTTCAGCCGGTTATATCTGTATTCCTTCATTAGTCTGTTTATATATATGATCCTCAGCCTTTTTATTGCACTCATTACTGACTCCTATGACACCATAAAGGTAAAACATTTGTTTTCTGTCACACTTCTAATCAGATTTGTATTCATTCTTGTTAATCTCTCAACACCATACTATCTGGTATTAGTTACTATGAGATTATTGAAATCTTTTAGTTTAGTCTGTGTCAAAATTGGGAACATGACTGGGTAGTCATCCAAATGACTAAGCAATAATTGGTTTGAAAAATTATCCTCTGTGTGTCAACATTCTATTTACCACTACTTCACCTAGCTTCAAAAATGTAACAGCTAATGGAAGTGTAAATGGAAGGATGAGTGGAAAAAATTAACCTTTAAGTATAGATACATAGAGCTAGATAAGCCTTGTTTGGAGTGAATGTTTCTTCTCGTGGCATCAAAAGATGAGGTCAGGAAGGCTTTGCTGATATCTCAGAGATATGCTTTTGGCAGGATTTTGGCAAGGCTCAAGCAGATAACTCAAAAATCATTTAAGGTTGTCATTAAAACTCATCTGGCTTGCTTAATGTGCTGCTTGGAAATGTATGGTTAAAAGGAAATGTGTTCTGAAAGACCCTTCTCATTCAAGTTAAAATTGTGCCATGCATTTCCAGTATGAACAGTCTGAAAGTGAAGCCAAGTTTTCGATAATTACCTTTTGTTTTTGACTTCAAGTGCTGTCTCCCCTTTGTGCTCCTGGTAGCTCAGTGACCAATGGGAAGGCAATGTGGATCATGCTCTTCAGCTCTTGTCTTTCTTGTCTTGGTGTCAGAGAAACAAGCCAGCAGAATAAGACCAGTCTGACATGAACAACAAATTCCAGAAAGCTCCACTTTCTAAGTATTCCAAATATAACTTTAGCGTCTGTGCTTCTGAGTTTATTGGATGATCTGACCTGCAAAACAGTGTTTTACTGTTACTCTTCCCTCTGTGAACCTCATGTGGATCAATTGGGAGCTATTTCAGTATGCTGAACTTGTGTTTTTCATAGCATTTCTTCAGCATGGCGATGTTGAATATCCACACTAGGGCCCCTCAAATCCAGCATTACAGTTCTTAGGGAAAACGATCCCAGAGCACTCACAGTGAGCACAGTAGCTCCCCATGAGCAAAGGAGAATCAATTAATGCCAGTATGATCTGAAATCACTTGCTTGGCCTTATGGACAGCAAACAAAACATAAGAAAGTCTCTGAACAATATGAATTTTCTGTCACTTAGGTTGCTTTGTTCCACCAGCTATATATGTGGGGTTTCTGGGGTGGGATTGGGCATTTTCTTTTCTACAGCAATACTGGACAAATGAACCAAATAGTTTGGTTTTTCTATCACACTCTACAGGAAATTTTAGAACATTTTGTGCCCAGTAACTTCTTGTGTGTTATAAATAAAAAGCTTTTTCTTTCAGAAATACCAACAAAGTGGTTTTCCAGTAACGGATCTACACGAATTTCTAAAGGACCATGACAGTGCTGGCTACAGAAAAGACCAGACTTCTGTGCCATTCATCTGCTGCTGCAGGAGGTCAGTAGTGTGTTTTCCTGAGAAGCACCCCAGTTGGCATCTCACTGCAGAGTGCTGTGTCACAAATGCTGGAGCATCCAGAACTCAGCCTGTGTGATGTTTGGGTGCTTTTGTTCCTATTGTACTCTACATGGTGTTAGATCTTTAGTCAGCTGATGATAGAACAATTCTGAGCAATTCTGAGCTTAAACACGTTTTAAGTGTTATACTCTTACGAGAAATACCATGCAGAAGCTGATGGAAGGACTGTGGGGTATAGCATGAAACTACCAAGGATTCAGGAGCATACAATCTCTGCTTCTTAGGGTTTTGCAAGTCAAGTGTTTCTAAAAAGCTTCACTACTAAGCTTGGAGTAGTAGCAGAAAGCCAGAGAATATGTGATTCAGCCAGGGATTGGTGCTGCATTCCAAAGCTATGCTTTGTCTATAAGGCAAACCGTTTGAATACCATCTGTCAGAATATTGGAAACACACTGGTGTCTTGTTGCTGCCAAACTCAGGCCTGGCAGTGGTCCTTTTTAAGGTGGTGGTGGTGAGAGGTGAAGCTCTCACCTAGTGTTTGCTGGTCTGAGAGTTGATTCTGAGAATTCTGTGTCTGAGGACACCTCACACCTCACAACCAAAAAGGAGCGTGTGAGGTGATGGGCAGGTATCCCAGCAGTTGTGGGCACTTGAAAGCCAACTAGTTAAGAAGAACTCCAGCCATGTGCAGCTTCAGGTTTCACATGCAAGTCATTGTTCAGAATGAGAGATTTTTGTCTGCTGGACCATAATAAATATACTTCAGTGTAATACACTGCACAGTATTGAGGGCACAACCCTAGTAGCTGGAGTGAAAATCTAGAGCTTTTGCTACTGCGCCAGTTTCTGCTTGATTGTCCCAGTGCAGGTGTTGGGAGTTGCTGAAATGGGAGAGCATAGAACAGAAGGATCAAAACTCGACTTATATGGGTAAATGCTTCCTATTGCATTTCTTGCTGAATAGAGAATTGTGAATTTTTTTCTTTTGCAGACAACAGAGCGATGATGACTTGATACTTATTAACTGATTATTGCACATTGAAATTCACCACTAATAAATGCCAAGAGAGCCTAGTGGTATGGAGAAGAATAATTCTCCAAATTGCAATGAAACCCACCATCTGGACCTGCCTCATGAACAGAGTAGTCTTACCTAATTAAGTTTTTTTTGGAGGAAAAAAGCTATAAATGTGACATCAGCTGGCTAACCTTCAGGAGAGCCCAGAAGCTGTGTCTGGAGGAGAGCTCTGAAGAACTCTGTATTCTTGCTTCAAGTTCCATCACATTAAAGAAGACTTATTCTTGAGCATTGTCTGTGGGAGCTTTGTTTGCTAATCAGCTCTAGGAGGAAGGAACGTGGCCCTAAATGAACTGTTGTTGTTAATAAGGAAAAGAATTATATGAAAACAACTTTTATAAAATAATTCTGTGTTAAAAAGTATTAAATAAAAGGTAACTGAGAAAAGAGGAGTTTTTCACTTAAAGTGATGCATTCAGCCTGTCATTTCTACTTGGCACATTTCATTTATTTGAAATAAATTTATGTAAAACTAAAAAGCTGCACAAAAGTGCAAAATAATTGTGGTTCCCCCTCTTGTATATCATTTTAACACAAACCACTTAAAGGTCACAGTCTATTCTTTAATAGCTTTACTAAAAAGCAGTTTGTTATCCTTTTTTTTTTGGCTGTCTGTTCTATTATACTCACAATATTTGATTTGTACTGTGTCTGGATTAAACTTACTGCTTTAGCACTTCCAGTGTAGTAGTGCATAAGTATTAACCAGGTACTTCTGGAAACTTTCAGGGGTGCTAAATGCCCCTGGGGTGGGTGGACTATCATATTAGGTACTTCACTTTGTCCACTATCTGCTCCCTAAAAATACTCTTTAGTAGATTATGTCAGTGTGTTGGCTAGGACTTGGTCTTGCTATGTGTTCTTTACTGCTGATGGTCTCTGCAAGTTCTGGCTTGTTAGTGTTTTGAATGGCAAAGGCAATTCAAAACACTGCCTTGGTATGAGTGAGGTGAGTGGCAGCTTTTTTCCTTCCCTATTTGTTTTGTTTTGTTTTTTAAATCTCCTGCCTCGTGCTTACATTCCTAACAATGAAGCTTTTTTGATGAAAGTGAATGCCATTTTGCCTCGCTAAGGCTGCAGCCAGGTGTCTAGAACAGGTATTTTTCCTGTCAATATTTTGATGCATCCAGGCTCTACAAATTTAAATGCTTCTCTTGCTGAAATGTCTTTGGGACAGAATCTTCTCCCCATTCCAGTCTGAGCAATGCATTGCAGTGGCATCATCTGTTACTAGAGCTTGTGACTATAAACAAAATTGCTACCAATAACCAAGAGTTTGTGCTGTTAGGAAGGATTTTCTGCAATTGTCTTTTCATCAGACTGATGCTAATTGCATGATCTAGAACAGAGGATTACTATCTTCCACTCAGGACAGAAGAGTCAACTTTTCTCCTAGTGTTCATCTGCAAAACTTGTTTGGGTCAACGTTAGCCTTCTAGTGTATGCTCTGGGGCCCTGGGTAACCCAAGTGCTCTTCTGCAGACTTCAGAATGACGAGCATTAACTGATTGCCAGCAGTTTCTTGTCCCATACAATGTGCAGTCTTTACTTTCTTGTGTGTAAGATGCTGGAGTTTTCTGAATTTGCTGCCATTTTACTGATAGCTTTCTGGAATGTCTCTAAATCATACAGTTCCAGCACATCTGAAAATGAATTGTATTTTCCTTACTGCTCTGCCCTCTGCCAGTACTTAGAGAAATCTTAGGTGAGAAACTTGAATTTAGAAAATGCAGATACTAATTCTCTGTATGTGGATAACTAGTCAACTAAGGTAGGAACAGTATAACAGGCTCATTGCCTCCTGAGGCCTTGTGCCTCTCTTCCCTAAAGCAGGTGAGGTACATCCTGTACCCTTGGCATTGTAAGCCATAGTGAAGGAGCCGTGGCTCCTCGCTCAAGCTCCAACTGTCTCTTTCCAATTTTAGTAGGACATTGAATGCAGTCTGCCAAAACCATTGTTCAGATAAATATTTGTTTGTGAGAGAATCCTCAGGGAATGAGGAAAAGTATTATCAACATAGATTATAGTAACATACTTGAAGAGAATACTTACAATTCCTAACTCATTTTAATACTTAATTTCTGTAATGGAATCATAAAGCTTTCTTGTCCAGTATTGATTTTTTTTTTTCTTGTTTAAAGCATATGAGCTGCTTGCTAGCTAGACTGCTGCTTCAGCCCTACCATATTAGAGCAGGTCACTAATGTGTTGTAGAAACAGAAAACTAATGGCACAGAATCTAATGTGTTGTCTTCACCATCTGGTGTTCTGTTTTTTTTTTCCTCTTGGAAAAGAAAGATAAGAGCCACTTGCTGGAGGTTATTATTGGCTCTCTATTCCACAGAGATTAAATTTAACAGGAAATCTGGCATATGTTGACTCTTAATTCTGCACATTAATACAGGTTTGAACACAGTTGCTGATTGATAGGTGGTCTCACTCCAGCTGCTGAGGTGGTGATGCAAAGTAATGGAAGCAGAACTGGATCATAAACTTTTGCAAAGTGCTCTCAAAAAAGACCTGTTGTCTTGTTCTCTGGGAATAAGAAGCTTTTGCTAATTGCTTATAGGACTTAACCAAAGGAGGGCAGAAATGGATGAGGGATTGAAAAAGCTGCATTAGGAAGAAACAGGCAGGAAGGAGGAAAATTTCCGATGCCATCTTCAAGGTGAGCATTCAAGTGAGGGGGACAAGGTGAATAAGAGTTTAGGTTCTTATTTTGGGGTTTTCCTTTGTTTGGGTAAAATAGGAAAGGTGCTGGAATGGAGTCTGTTTGGCATTTCACGTATAATGTTCATGTGCAAGGCTGTACCTAGGCTTTAACTCTGTCTATGTGTCATGCTCTAATTGTTACCAGGATTTCTGAGAAGTGGGGCAGACATGTTCTGCTGATATTTTGTCAGTTCTTCAGCTCTGAGCAGGCACATGTGTTGCTGTACACTACTTGGATATATGTCTGCTCCCAGTAAATGATTCAGGTAGGTGGCAATGGGTCAGATCCATCTGATCATGGTCCTCAGATAAATTTGGTCTTGTACTACCTTCTACATTTGAGTTTGACTTGTCCTTCATTGCAGAGCTATGTGTTCTTGATCCTGCCCGTTGGAGGTGACATGAGCCTCAAGGTTTCTGTATTGCTGTGTTGGGTGTGAGGTGGTTTTTGTTTGCTTTCTACACTATGTTTAAAAGAACAGCTACATGTGATGCTGCCTGAACTGTCCAGATCTACTCCCAGAAATTACTGCAATTTTATCTGAGTCTTTCTTTTGCTTCCTAATGCGTGAATGATGATGGATCTTCTGATGGGCTTTTCGCACAGCGCAGTCCTTTAGGTTTGTGCAGCTCCCGGTCTCGCTCATGTGCCCCGGGGGCTGTCCGCGCCTCGGGCAGAGCCAAACTTCCTCACCGGGGAGGAAACAAGCACCTGGGAGAGCTTTCCTGCCGGTCTCGGCGCGGGCCCGGGGCAGGTGCGGAGCGGGCGGGCGGTGCCGGGGCGGGCAGGGCCGGACGGGTTAAGGCGGCGCGGGGCGGGACGGGGCGCGGAGCGGAGCGGGGCGGGTGGGCCCGCTCTGCGCGGAGGCGGCGGTGCTGCCGATCCCCTCCGCTCCGCACCGCACCGCACCGGGGCTGCCGGTGAGTGGGGCCGCGGGGGTGGGCACGGGCTGAGCCCCCCGACAGCGGGCCCGGGATGGGTGGGAAGGGGGCAGCGGTGGGAACACCATTATGGGGGGCCGGGCGAGCTCCGTGCGGACGAGCCGCTCCCCCAGTAACCGGGCAGGCAGAGCTTTCTGCAGTTCCATAAAACTGTCCGGAGCGCCCCCGGGCGCGCCCCGGCGCGGTGCCGAGGAGCGGAGCGGGGAGAGCTCGGCCGGAGCCCGGCGGGGCAGAGCCCGGGGAGCGCCGGTGCTGCCGCTCTGCCGCGGCGCGGTGCATGCGAACGTGGATGTGCATAGGCAAGAACAGGGGTACTTCTGGGTGTACACACGTGAGTTTCCATACATCTGAGACTCCGTTTGCACACCTCTGGATGCGCGTGTGCCGTGCCTTGCGGGGTTGCGGGCTGCTGATACGTACCGCGGGGGGCTCACGCAGGCTCTTCTCTGAGTTGATTGTTTTTAATAAAATTTCCTAATCTGTGCAATATACAGAAAAAATACACTGCCGTTATTAGCATTATATCTTTTGATTAATTCTTTCCCTTAAGGAAAAAAAAAAAGTCGGGGGAGGGGGAGAGGTGTGCGTGAAGGAAGCACTTTTGTACACTTGTGTTTCCAAAGACCATGTATTTAGGTCTGTTCTCCCTTCGTGATATGAACCTAGAAAGATATTTCTGCTTATAGACTGGTAAGGTGCATTGCTGTATCTCTGTTCTTTAAGCTATGCTGAGTATATGGCTTCTTGGATATTCTTATGGTCTCCTAAGAGGTGCAATACAAAGCACAACTCAAATCCAGTTACATGGTGAAAAAAATCTGATTTCACTGAGCTTATCTGTGTACTGAAAATGAAAGTAAAAGCAAACAAATTGAACAACTCCACAAAAAATCTGCACAATCAGTAAAGAAGCAGCAGCTCTTACCAGCAAGTAAAGCTGAAAGATGTGGTTAGCTTTTTTTTTCCAGAATGCTAGACGAAAGTTTCAGACAAGTTAGACTGGTTGCGTTCTTATCCTTTTGTACTACACTGACCATTAACCATTTTGGAACATTCTCCAGCATAGTCTTTATGCTGTCAGATAACGAAATAAAATCTCTGATGTATAAGATTTGACACTGTAGAGTATCTATTTCTCTTGGGTATTAGTCTTAGAGATTGACATACCTGGATTCTACTATTATACCATTAGATTCACTTATATGTCTCCAGCAAATATTTTTTTGACTTTGCCATTTCTGATGGTTCCACTGACATGTTTGCTGGCAAACCCAGGCTCTGAATCTGTTAACAGATCAGATACAATCAGGTGACTTGTTTTAATCAGCAGTTGTGTAATTCTGGTCCTCATCAGCTACGTGCTGAAAATAAACAGTAAAAGTTGACTTGGTTGGAACTGTGCTGAAATAGTCTGTGACCTACAGTCACATTCTGTAGGTTTTGTGAAAGAAAGCTGATTTGCTGAATGGTAAGATGGAGCTGATAGTGATCAACGAGTGGACCTGGAAGTTCTGCAGAAAAGGGAAACTTACTTTAGAAGCAGAACAGGTATTTTCTTCTAGGTATGTTTCACAATGTATAGGTTGTTCGAGTGACTTTTAAATATTTTAAATGCTGTGTCTGTTTCCACATTATAGGATGACCTGCCAGCTCCTTCCAGAACCACACTTAAAGGAGACTAAATGAAGGCTTTGCAATGAAGTTTTTAGTTTGAACTCCATATATAGATTTAGTAAACCATAATTTCAGAAAGTCTTAAATTACCAAAGTCTGAAGTCTAAACTTGTGGTTACTAGTGAGTTACTTGCTATCTGTCCCTAACAACTTTCTGCAATGGATCAGAGCTTTCAAAAGTAATTTAGTGTGGTAGAGCAGCTTAGTACTAAAGGGATTTCAGGAGCTGGAGCCCAAGCTTTGTAATACCTTGGTGGAAGTGTCCCTGTATCTCTGTGATTCAGAGTTCAACTGTCAGTCTGTAGCAGTTTGCAAAGGAGCAGCAGCGTTGCATAGATGCACAGGGTGACACTTCTGTGCCCTGACAGTGATTTTTAAGCCTCTTATCAGACTGTGTGTACAGAGCACTGTGGTCTGTGGCTGGCGGTACTACTTCCTCTCTCTTCAACTTTAAATATTTAGTCTTAAGGCTCTACGTTTTTGGTAGGTTTAATACTTTTCTTAAGCCTCCTTTTTTGTACCATATAGCATTGGTATTTTATGCAGGATGAATGAGAAGTAAAAAAAAAACCTTAAATGTCTCCATCACTGATATCTAAGAGTTGCCAAAGGATCCTCTTGATTCCCTTTACCCCACTCCCTTCCTAGTCCAAAAGATGACACCATCAAAATGGACTATTACTGGAAATATCTGGAACCATGGTGTAAGTATAAGTGGTGCTGTACTTTCCATCAAGTTAACATTGCATAGATGAAGCAGGCTTGGAGAGAAAATGGATGGGGCACTCTGCTCTCCTTATTCAAAAAGATATTGAACACCAAGGTAATGGGGTAATGCTGCTTGGGAGTACTTGATTTGAGTTCAGGCAGTTATCTGAAATTTGGGATAGTTAAGTTTATATATAGATATGTATGTATGTATGTATATAGATAGCTATATATATACCCCCAAACAAAACCTCAAGTAGATTTGCTTAATAATAAGTAAGTTCTTGAGATGAAAACTTACTTGATGAGCCTTATAGTTTTTTAACATTAACTTTTTATTCCTAATTATTAAAGCTGTATTTTTAAAATGTTTTTTAAAAAGTATATTCTCAAGTCCTTGAAGTCTACCATGTAGCACGCTGTTTCAAGTATAAGGCAGCGCCTGCAGAATTTCTGTAATAAACAAAATGTAAAACAGTTACTTCTGAGATAATTCGTCTCTGTAAAACCTATTAAATGAATGTTGGCTTCCATTGTATCCTCTAATAGTACCAGATAAAAAAAGCTTTAGTTTAGATGGAGATATTTCTGCAGAACTTTGTGTTCTCTATGTGCTTCTTTTCAGTTTGTTTCTCTAAATTGATTTTGGTTATATTATCAATTAACTATTAAAGACAATTAAAAGTGAACCAGAATACTTACTTCAAAAAAACTCCTCCTCACAGTTACATATTAACATTTTTGGCCTCAGCTGTGTTACACACCCTTTTCTGCACTGGTATTTCTTTCTTAGCTGAGGTAACCTGAATGGGTTTCTTGGGTTACTGTGCAATCACTTGGCTGTGTTTTATTCAGTGGCCATACATGTACTCAGGGTGTGGAGGGGAACAAGGAACCCATTCCTTTTCTGAACTAGAACTACTTGTGTATATATATACATATATATATATATATATATATAGCTTTGGCTGCCCAGCACTCTGGCTTCCTTCTACCTGTTTCTTCGTCTTGGGAATGAGGTGAGAGAGAGCTTTTCAGTAATGAGAAAAATACAAGCAGCACTGGTGGTTATCCATAAGAAGCAGATGGGACAGAGGGTGTAAGTGACTGGCACAGGGTGTGGGCAAGCACATGCAGTGCTGCAGGGAGCCCGTGGCAGGGGCTGCACAGGCTGCAAGCTTGCAGACACTCCTTTTGTGGTGCTGTGTCAAGGGCCATCTACTGCTTGTGGGATGTTTAAAAAGCCTAAGCAGTATGTGCAGGTGGGCAATTGCTGCTGCTTGATATTTCTCTGCAGTAACAGCTTGAATGCAAAGAGAGTATTCCAAGTGACTCTTCTTGTTCTGCCACATATGCCTGTGATCAGCCAGCGTGATAAACTCAGCTTTCTGAAAAGCAGCTTTTCTAGTAAGTTTCAAAATTTCTTAGAGATCTGTATTTAATGCTTCATCCTTGCAACTGGAGAAGGGGAGGCAGGGAGGTGAAGTGCTCAGGCAGAGCTGGCAGCCTGCCTGCTTTTCAGGCTGAGCCTGGGCACAGCTTGCTCCTCTGTGCCATCCCACGGACCTGGCCGGACTGTACTGGCTTTGTGATCTCTCCTGTTCCAGAGTGTATCATTTTGGATACTGAACTGCCCTGAAATTCTGCACAGAAATTCCTGTGCTAGCTCAGGAAAACCAGCAGTACACCAGGCTGGGGTTCTGCCTGGGCAAACATCCCTCCCTCTGGTCTAAGCTAACTTTCAGCTGTGCTGGAGAGCTTCACCACTATTGTCCTCCTGTAGGTTCAGTCTTACTCTATGGACTAGTCAGTCCATTTGCAAACTCAGCTTGAATCCTCTCACAGTAGCTTTCTGTGCCAACCCAGCCCTGTCTCTTCCCTCCCTCATTTACACAGGAACAGGGCAGAACCCATCAAAGTCCCCCAAACTGACGCCAACCCTTCAATAAAGTTGTGGCCAATATATTGAAACAACTTGGTTTTTAATGGACAGGAAAGAGGCAGAAAACCACAGGGGAGTGCCATGAATCACATTATGGCTTTCAGGGTAAATTTTATAATGACCTTCTCATTAAAATGCTATTTGTGTTTTCCTTCAGAAATGCCTGCATTAATAATGAGTAACTCAATTTAGAGTTGATTTACAGGCCAGATTTAATTTTGAATCAAAGTGATTAAAAAGGTAATTTTAATCACAGTTTGGATCAGTAAAACCCTTGACTTAAATAACTGATAATAAATTTCAATTTAAGTATACAGATTTTTAGTAACTTTATTGAAGCCAACTAGATTCTAATTGAATAAGAACCATTAAAACATATTAGTTTGCAACTAGCTGAACCTTTTGTTCAGCTTTTTTAGGTAAAGAGTTTCACGAACTCTTTACTTAGGCAGCTAGTGTAATATATTCCTACATATTCATGCAAGTTCTTGAGTTTTATTTTAGGAATGGTAAAGAACATATTCTGACTTGATATGACTTACATAGAGGAATTTAAAATCAATTAAAACATACAAGCTGTCATTAAGACCAACAGCTCAAGAGGTGATGGGTTGGGAAGAATTCTTAATGTGTGCTTTTACATTTGAAAGCAATTTAACTTAAATCTCAAATCCTTTGAGATTTTTTGGAACAAAAGATTTCCCTCCCCCCTCAAAAACAAACAAACAAAAGAAAAACTTGAATGTTTACTCAGCGGTAGAGGAAGACACACTTTGCAGTCTATCAATTTCTGATCCTTGCAGCCACTATGGGTGGAACTGAAGTAATTAAATAGACTGAAATAAAGAAAACAATCTTTTAGACAAGGGTATGCTTTTGGCACTTGCAACGGTTTGATGTATTTGCCTGCAAGTGACTTATGGCAAGCTGTTAGCTCAACACAGCGGTAGAATGTGCACCATGTGATTACTGCTGGAGGTCTGTAGGGTGGGATATGAAACACTGAGTGGCATGGAAGAGGTGAATAGAGATTGTTTGCTGTCCTTTCCCATAAAAACCCAAGAACTATTGAACTCGTGAGAGCCAATTTCAAAGCAAAAGAAGGCAATTCTTCATAGAGTAAGTAGTAGAACTGGGAAGCTCTCTGCTGCAGACTCTAGGAGACTCTTTTGCCTTTAGAAGTCGGGACTGACAAGTTTAGATGTTTTCCAGCAAACATTGAACAATATTTTGCCTGAATATTCAAATTTTTATGCACTAAATAAATAGATCTGAAATATGTAATATTTAGGGGAAATTTTTTTTCTTCTGAAGTTTAAACCTGTCCTGATAAACATCTCTGATTTTGCCACAGAAGAGAAGACCTGGAGAAGAAAGTGCTGCAAGGACATGTGACATGCCAAGAAATATGGGATATCCTATCACACATCTTGTACCTAGTGTGGGCTTGGGCAGGATCACTGAGGACTCAGCTGCATAGCTCTGTCATGGCTGCACAGCTCCCTTGAGACCAGGCTAATTCTGCTGGGACGACTTAAAATGAAGGCGTGAAGTAAACCACTGTCTGCAAGGCCCCTGGCATTATAAGTGCTTTCCGTACCCATGGTAGTACAGACAACCAAGTGCTGCATTTCTGCTCAGAAAGACTGGCATGTAAATGAGCTCCAGTTCAGCTGCTGTTTTGATGCAGCTTCCATGTGGAAATCTTCACAGTCTGCCCTGTGACCCTGAGACCTCAGCTGGATGGTTCTCTGCTCCTTCTTGCCTTACCTCAACACCTCAAGAGATCTCTTTCAAAATCATTTGTCATTCGAGCTCTACTGTGTGACAGTGAGTGTTTGTAATGTTATTTTGGTGAAGAATTATTGGATGTATTCATTTTTTTTTTCATTGGGTACTGCTTCAATTGAGGATGGGATCTCAATAAGTTGAAGTATTTAGAATAAGTTTGTAGTTGATATCTTGGATTTCTTTAAGCTTTTCTCCAGATGAGAAGCAAAAAGCATCTGCAGATTTCTTTACTCTCCTGTCACTGCAAGCAAGAAATTCATCTGTTGAGATGATTACACAGTAAGATACAACATGTTCAGAAAACCTTCCCTATAATTTTCACAGTTTTTTGGGTTTTTGGTTGGTTTGTTGTTTTTTTTTTTTTTATCCTGCCATTCTTACCCAGCCCAAAACGCTGCTTCTATTTGCAGGCATTTGGGCTGTTCTGTAAAAGCTTCATGTCAAGCTCAGCAAGTCCTTTACTGCCTTGGTGGGTTAGAGCTCCTTAGGGGCTTCTGGTCACTTACAGACTGAATTTGACTTTTGAGTACTTCCTAGGTGAGAATGGAGAACTTACTGACTGCTTAACTCTGACATACTGCCCTGAACAGGGAGCCGTAGGCGTTGAATTCCAGTTGACTCATTGCAGCCGATCTGCATTGCTGAGGCTTTTTTATTTTTAGATGGAGGGATGCTCTGTAATATTTCAGCAAAAGGGATGATTTACTTGTTTCCTTCCACTTCTTGTCCTTAAGTAATTGCTCTTAGTTCTGACTATACTTAAATTTTATGCTGTAAGTAATATATTTCTTTATTAAAAAGTGGCTGGCTAGGTTCTTGAGGATAATGGACAACAGTGACACGTGACCTGCTTTCATGTTAACTACTAGGGTGGGAATCAAGGAAAAAAAGGCTGAACTATTTCAGAAAAATGAAATACTAAAAAATTATCACTTTGAAAGTAGTAATTATGAAATAGTGTAATTTGATTTAAAATTAGGTAATATAAATATTGCATTAGACAAATAACACAAGTAGCATAACATAAATGATAAAAGATAAACCTTTTTAGCTTAAAGCTTGGAAGGAACCTTTAATATAAAACTGGCATGTCAGGCAGCCTGCTGGGGATTGTTTAATTTCCTTCCCAGTCCCTGGAGAGATAAGATATAACTGTAAAATAACCACAGGGTAATTAAAAATGGACTAAGTGAACCTGATGTTTATCTGTCATCAATTTTAGGTGCAGAGGTGAAAAGCTTATGTTTTTTGTATCTTTCTGCCTGTATCCGCTTCTTCTAGTTTTTTATGGTGGGTTTTTTTTTCCAGCCTCTCTTAGTCTATCACTGGCACTCATGATGGCCTGAGGCTCACGAGGAGCTTTACAAAAGCTATTAGCCTTGCTGCCTCTCCTGCAGCTCTGTATCCCTGTACTTCCTCCTGCCCATCCTTACTGTCAGACAGGTTTGCCACTCTGTATAATATATAACGTTATTAGGATCTTGTGCCATGGCTGCATTCCTGGGTTTTGCTAAAACTATACAAGATCTATTAATGAAGTAATTGTTAAAACCCTTATTCAGACACTGACAACAAATGTGAGGGCTAGTGACAATCAGACACAAACTCTGCCTACTAGGCTGTGAGACCCTGCATATGGTCCAGCAACCATGAGTAATTGCTGTCAGGTCTCCTGTGTAAATTAGTCCAAGTTCGGTTCATAATAAAAGCAGTGAAACTGCCAAGGCAGCTGACATTGACCTTGCCAGAGTAGCTAAAGTATGATGTAATCTGGAACACAGACTCCCCTTTCCATTGTCCTGTTTAATAGCCCTATGTCCAAGATAATGCTGAGTGGGTATAAGAAATAAACTCCAGCACTGCTGCTGTTTCTGGGGCTTGCTTTATCCTGTGGTTGGGTGGGGAATTGGGTTTTGGTTTTGAAGATAACTGGGCTATGTGGTGCTCACAGGGCTCTGGGTTTACAGGCCAGTAAAATAATCCCTGGGTTTAGAATAATGAAATATCTAGAATATATTTTTCCTTTTTCAGCACATTTTCTTAAATCCTCCAGTAGTAAATAATAGGCATCTGCTCAGAATATATATGCCTGTAGTATCTTACATACATACTTTTTTTACGTTTATTAATATATAATTAAAACCCCAAAAATATTTTTCCTTTTATTGCTTAGTCAGTAAAATGAAAGAGTTATGATTTATGCTTCCTTGTCCTGACTGGATACACTAAGAAATGGAAATAATGATGGGGCTGTGGCTCAAACATGGGATTTTACAGTAAGAATGGCTTGGCCGTTGCTCAGATTTTCTCTGTGACCTCCAGAAAATCACTTTTAACCTCTTAACTTCCACTCTGTTGCCTGTACAGTATGACTGATAGTTCAAAGGAACTGTGCTGGGGTTTTGTAAGCAGGTGAGTATTTTAAAAATTCCTGATTCATCCAAGCATCATGCACTGTGGTCCTCCAGTAGGCAGAATATTCTCTTCTGCATCAGCCCTGTACAGTTTGAATTCTTGCTGAAGGCCCCAAGACATATACCCTCTCGTGTCCCTGTCACAACCCCCTGTCCCCACAGAAAGAAGCTGTTAGGTGTGGTGATTGAAGCAAGGACTATTCCCTGATTGTTAATCCTTCTTTCTTTTTACCTTCCACACTTCCTAGGATGCAGGGGCTTTAATCCAGGATGAATGAATGCTACTATGATAAGCGCATGGACTTTTTCTATAACAAGACAAAAACAGACACAGCGGATGAGTGGACAGGGCCTCAGCTCATTGTTGTTCTGTGTTTTGGGACATTTTTCTGCCTCTTCATTTTTATTTCAAATTCATTGGTCATAGCAGCTGTGGTCAAGAACAAGAGGTTTCATTTTCCCTTTTACTATCTTTTGGCCAACTTAGCTGCTGCAGACTTCTTTGCTGGAATTGCCTATGTCTTCTTGATGTTCAACACTGGCCCAGTATCCAAGACATTAACTGTTAACCGCTGGTTTTTGCGTCAGGGTCTCCTGGACACCAGCCTGACGGCTTCCCTGGTGAATCTCCTCGTCATAGCTGTTGAGCGGCACATGTCGATTATGCGCATGAAGATCCACAGCAACCTCACGAAGAAGAGAGTCACCTTTTTAATTATATCAATTTGGGCCATTGCTATTTTCATGGGTGCTGTTCCTACCCTGGGTTGGAACTGCCTCTGTGACATTACTGTCTGCTCATCCCTGGCGCCTATTTACAGCAGAAGTTACCTGGTATTCTGGAGTGTCTTAAACCTGGTTGTCTTCTTCATTATGGTGGTGGTTTACATAAGAATCTACATGTACGTCCAGAGGAAAACTAATGTCTTGTCATCACACACTAGTGGATCCATTAGCCGTAGGAGAACCCCTGTGAAGCTCATGAAGACTGTCATGACTGTCTTAGGTAAGAGATGGCAAACCATGGTGTGGAAGGCTGGCAGTGCCAGTGGATGGGTTTGTGCTGGTTTGGTTTAGCTGCCTTTTTTTTTTTTTTTTTCTCAACAAACAAAAATCCCTCAGCCCTCAACAACAGAAAAAAAAAAAACAACCTCACTGAACTTGAAAGTGCTGGAGGTATTTAGACTTCTGTTTGCTTTAGACAGTAAAACAGCTGTTCCACTATGCCAAAACACGAAGTAGAGGACTGGTCAACACCTAGAAGAAAAGTGTCTCTGTTGTGTAGGCACCTTGTTACAGAACAAAAATTGTTGTGTTGGTTTTTTGCCTTTTAGGGTTTTTTGAGGAGGGAGATACAAAATCACTTTGGAGGAAGGCTTCCGACGATTCACAGCTACATAGTAGAACATTTTCAAAATTGTGTTCTTTAATATTTGCTCAAGGCCATAAGCCCTAAGGTTGGATGTGGGTAGTTATCTTTGCACGTCTTTGTCTTGACTGTCTCCTGAACATAGAAACTTCTTCCCCCTAGAAATGCATCTTCCTTGGGTAAAGGACGGGATGCCTGATGGGTCTGTGACTTTGACAGAGATTTGCTTTGCAAAGGGAAGATTCACCTTCATTCTGTGTATATTTTCAGATGATGGTGATACAGTATAACCTTAGATCTCTAAATCATAACAGGAGATTTTACCTGGATTCTGCTCTAGAAACACTGTTGGTACTTGAGCAGCTCAGATCACTTCCTCAGCCAGTTGTGATGTAGCTGTGTATTAAATTAGAGATGGACAGAGTAGGCATCTGATTGTTGGAACAAATACCAGCGGTAGCAGTCAATTTTCCCCAGAATGACTTGAATCTGAGCAAGGTGTTTTCTGGAAACCAGGCATCACGTGGGCAGGGCTTGTGCAGCTCACTGCAGGTGGAACTGGGGGTGCACTAGGACATTTGTGAAGCTGGGCTCCGGTGGTAGGGGACTCTAAAACCACAAATATGTCTTTATTGCTCTGACAACTCTTCTGATGTTGTATGACCAGCATTGGAAAGCTGGCGTCCACAGCTGGGACACAGATATGTTGTACTGCAGCATGGTAGTGCTAGAGAGCTCTGGGAGAAAAGTGTAATTTTTCATGGAGGTAGAAGTTGCAAGGGTAGGATGTTCCGGTTGAAGACGCTTTCTTTCCCTTGTGGTTTTTGGATGCTGTTTGCACAGTCTGGTATCTGATTTTATTATTTTCTTCTGAAATAATAGTGCTGTAATACACAGCACCTTTGTCTACCAAATGGTGTTTTAAAATGCTGTAGAAGCTGAAATCAGTTAAACGTTACAGTGCCCAACCTTGGGAAAAAAAGTGGACTGATGGTTCAAACAAGTACAACATTCTCACTTATACTTCTGTGTCTTGTGAAGTTGGCTTGTCCACTACCAGAGCCTTTCCTTTCTAAATCCCTCCACAGCTGTTCTTCCCTCTTTTCCCCTTGATTTTATGGCATCTATAGAGAGTCAGTCTGGGGGTTGTGCCTGTCCTCCTGCCCTTGACTTGCAGGGGCAAGACCAAGTCTTTAGCCCCACCTAAGCTCCCATGCAGTAAAACCTAAACCATTCACCTTGAAGGAGAAAACTCCTCAGAAAAACTCTGAATTGCTCCAAATATCATCCTGCTCTAATGCATAAGCATCGAGTAGACTGTAGTTAACTGCTGCATTGGAAAGAGACAGAAAACACAGCACTTTTAAAAAGCGGTTCCCTGCGCGTTTCTGTTGAAGGCAGAACTGCACCCAGCCAGCTGACATGGGAGTTGAAGGGACAGGGATGGTGGCTGCTGTTTGCTCATCCCTTGTGGTCCTTTAGCCTGTGGCAAGCCTTCAGTGCTCTTTGTGCTGTTGTGTGGAACTAAACCTCAATTTAAAATTAGTTTTCAACTTAATCTTTCTTTTACTAGAGAGTGGGGCCTTAGGACTGTGAGTTGAAGTTCAGCTTTAGCTTCCTCTTACAGAATAAAGGTTTTCAGCCACAAAATTAAACTGTAATTCAGGCAAAGCATTTAGTGATGTTGTGTGCTGGGCAAGGCAAATTTAACTTAGAAAGCCTGAGTGCTACTTCAGAGATCATAATTTTGTAGATTTACTTTGTCAGTCAGAAACAAAACCAAAAAAGAGCCTGCCACCAAAGAAGTTGAATTACTGCCCATGTTGCTGGGTGTACAATCTACTCCAAGCTCCTGTGTCAGAGGAAGTGTATTTTGGCATGTTCCTTCTTATCAATTCTCTGAATTTTGACTCTGAGAGGCTTTTTATAAACATTTTTATAATAATTTGTTTCTAAGAATGAGAAGTTATTTTTTTAAAGAGTTTGAAATGTGCTCTCCTGGCCAAGTCATTCAAGCACAGTGTGCAAAACCCAAATAGTGTGTTTTCTGGACTTCCCAATTACCACAGGAGTCACCAAGTGAACAAAGTGATTCTTGCAAAATTCTGCTTACATCCACTGATGCAACAGCCTACAGCTATATGCAGCACGTGGGTTTTGCCCAAAGCAGTTATTTTGAATGACTTGTTCCAAAACATCTGAAATTGCTTTGGAGTACATGCCTGATACACTCTTCACTAAAAGCCTATTCCAAAATGCTGTGCTGGATAAAACATGATAAAACCCAACATTCTTATTCATGTGCTCTATTGTTTTTATGGGAGATTCAGGATAAAATCCTGCTGCCCTACTGCTGTATGGAAGGAGGCTGTGTGTAGCTGGGTGCTGCTGGCATGCTCCTTCTCCCAGCCTCTTCCTTGGGAAGGCTGGACTTGGCTGCCCCTCCAGCAAAACATCCCTGACGTTTTTGGTTGTTCTCCTCCTGTGGCCCTACATTTAAGAGTTAGGGGAATTGAGATTTCAGTGTGATTTCATGAATTTATGGTGATCACAGCTGCAGGTGGCTTTTTGCACCACCCTTCAGCTTGGATAGCCCCTTCCAGAGGCTAGGAGTCAAGTCCCTGTCATCTGTGTATTTCTGCCATAACCCCTAAAACAGTCCCTTATAGCATAAGAGTAAGGCTTTCCCTTTGGCATGCTGAACCACAGGTAGTTATCTAGTTAAACTGGAAGATGTGAAACCTAGCAAAAATCCTCTTGTGATGACCTTGTGGCATAATCCCAGCTAAGCCTGTAGCTTTGAAGAAGGGTGGCTGCAGGTATGTGGATATGTGATTTTCAGGTGGTTGTGTATGTGCTAGCTCCTCTGAACCTGGCAGTGAGATTCCTGCCGAAATAGCAGCTTTGGGGTGGATGATTTTCAGTTTCAGTGAAATTACAGTTTAATTGGTAACTTGCTGTTTTAACTTGGTCGCACATGTGGCAAAGGCAGCTGGAAGCTACTGCACTTTTTTTTTTTTCCTCTCAGTGTTGGCACGCTCAGGGACAGCTTTAATGAGCTGGGTTTTATGAAATGATACTGTTGAAGCATCAGTAGTTCTCCCAGATCCACGGGAATTAATTATCAAGCAGAGAAGATGTAATCTATAGGAAAACTCATGGTTAAATCTAACGCAAATCCTCAAACTAACCTTGAGGCATTGTGGCATCTGATCTCTCATAATCTGGTGGGAAGACTCAGAGTTGTTCTTCTAATCCATATTGCAGCCAGGCTGTATTTCATGTCACTTCTGTGAATTTTTAAGAGTCCCAGAAGTTAAATTATTTTTGGAGTGTGGCTTTTTAAGGGAGAGGAGCTCCTATGGGATAAATAGTCTTCAAACAAGAAAATCACCAAAGGGCCAAGACGAAGGTATATTTTTATGCTTAACCATGGTTCCCTCTGAAAGCTCGGTGGTAAAAATAACAAAATCTGAGCAAGTCTGAGACATGCCTTGCTTTCATCTCAGCAGTGCTAAGAGCAGGGTGTGAATCACTTGTGTTGTCTCCATAGACAGCAAAATACATTTTTGGAGTGAAAGCAACAGCCTCATGAAAACATTAACTTGGACACTTAGCCAGTAACTTGGACACTGTCACTGCATTGCCCCTGTCCTTGTCTTCAGTCATGGGAAATATGCAGAGAGATGTCTGCAGATGTCTTTTATCTTCCCTTACTTTTGCAGCTGAAACCTTTTAGGGTTCTGCTTATATAGACAGGGGTATATCCTAGGAGTTCATGGACTAATCCTGCCTGCAATCTTGGGATTTTGTTTGAAGGAGAGATTTCTACGTCTCTTGTTAAATGTGGCTTTTGGGGTCTCTTTCATCTCCTGGTGACTTCCATAAAAGAAGGGTTGGACCTTGCATGCTTTGTGGTACAAGTGGTCAAAATGCTGTCAGTGCCTGTTCTAAGGCGGGTTTGTTACCATCTCAGTCTCTGCATGGAGGTGGTGTATCGGCAGCTTTGCCAGTGACCCTTGGTAGGCAGCGAAAGCTTCGTGTCCAAATACTTGCTGAGACACTTAACTAGGCACAGTATTGTCTGGGTGGTTGGGTTGCAGTGCTTGTTAAACCTGATGGAATTTGCTGGTGAAGCCCAGGGCAATAAATCAGTGCAGTGTTTTCTCCGTTGTAAACTATGAGAGTGCTGGTGTCACAACTGCTTACTCAGCACACAGGAGCCAAACCAGCGTGTAGTATAGAGACTGACCAGGGAAAACAAGTGTTGTGGTAGCAGCATTCAGCTCCCCATGCCAGTGGCAATGGAGGAATGTTACTGATGTTAACCAATATCTTAAAATTAACACGATGAAATTAGTACTTAGCATCACAAAAATCTTGGAACAGCAGAGTAGAAAATTCAGTTCCTGAAGGAAGTGGTCTCTTGCCTTTCTGTTCAGTGTTGCCTAGAACAGAGTAAATTGGTTGGTTGAATTTTGTCTGGAGTCCAGGAGCACAGTTTTGCAGCAAGATCCATGATACCTTGTCCTGGATACATTTTTCTGCAATCCTAATGCTTACTAAGTTACACTGATTCCTTTATATACCATTATGACCTGCCCATCAGATGGGCAGTCTGTTCAAGTCCTCGATGGGGAGAATTGTCCAATGCTGGTGACACTGGCCTGTGTGTTCAGCACAGCTGATGGGTTGGCTGAGGTGCTGCTGAGCACTGGCTCTGGCACTGCCTGGGTCCTGCTGTAATCCAGGCTGCCCTCCCACTGTTTGCTTGCACAGCTTGGATATGGGAATATCAGCAGCTTTACAAGAAAATGAGGTGGGCTTGCTTGACCTACCAAAGTTGTTGAACAGATACCCACACCTCCAAGGAGAGCTTTTTAGCATGTAGCTGCTTATCATCTTTATTTGTTGGATTATTTTCTTCTAAGCCCCAAAATGGGGAATCACTGCTGTGATAAGTGATTGGAATTTCCTCATTACATTGTTCAAACTGTGACTGCTGGGCAGAGTTGTAATTTTCTATTTCTGTATGTCAGACAGCAATTGTGGCTTGGGCTAAGTTAGTATTATCATGCGTATGGCTACTCATTCCCTGGGCTGTGGGCGAGGGATCACGGGGTGCAGTGCAGGGGGGAGACCAGGGGGCAGATGGGGCAGTCCAGGGCCCCTCTCCAACTCGTGGCCAACGGCTGCATTTGGTAGCCATGTGCCCCCTCCTCACCTGTCCTGCCCACACCCCTGAGCTTGTGGCAGTGGTGTGGAGGAACATGGAAAGATGCAAATGCAATGTAGAACTTCTTCTAAGCTGTGGTTTTTATGCTTTGTTCATGTTGTCTTCAGTCTAAGATCTCTTCTCCCTTCTTTCTCTCTTTTTTTTTTTTTTTGAGGGGTTGGTGGGAGAGGAGTGTGTTGTCCTACTTTCTCTTCCAGCTTTTATTATCACGTTGTTTCTTGCAGGGGCTGTTGTCATTCCTGCCTTGCAGCTGAAACACAAGAACTCTGCTGCTCCTGGGCTTGTCCTGCAGTTTCTTGCTATGTTTTGGGGAAGTGCCTCTATTGCAGAGTTTTTTTGTTTCCCCACTACTATATACTTATTTCCTCATCTTTTTTGTGTTCGGCTCCTTCCCTCTGCCCCCTTCATTTCTTTGCTCTAACTGCTACAACCTTTGGTTCACCTTTGCTGACTCATCTATTTGCTTCCTTCTCTTTTTTCATGTGTAACTGAATTTTTTTTCTTACATCTGAGTTGTTGGGTCTGAAGTACCCAGCATGCAGAGCCTGAGAGGGAGCAGTGGAAGGAGGTGGGCTCTGCTCTGACCAGGGAGCTGGCAGTGCTCATGTGCTGCAGGCAGTGGCATGCATCCTACATTAGCTGTGGGTTTCCAGCTAGTGATGGCTGTTTTATTAATTAGGCAGTGTGCCCATAGCTCTGCAGAGTCACCTGTAGTGTGACAGGAGACTTGTCTCTTTGGATCATGTTGTGGCAGTGGTGGAAGTGAACCACCTGGTATTTTCTCCTCCAGCACATGAGAGAGATGAAGAGAGGAAGTTTGTGTTCGAGTGCAGTTCTCTGCTTGTAAATGCTCAAGCTCTTGTTTATTTATCAGCATGGATAAATCCCTGTTGTGATGGCCTTTTCCCACTTGTGTTTGAGCTGATGCTGTCAGAAGCTGGATTCTTGCTCCCTTCAGTCTTCTGAGAGCTGCCCTGCCTCCTGCCCAGGGCTTGGCAGAGGAACTGTAGTAGATATAATTTTGCTACTGTCATTAGAGTTTTGTCTTCTCCTGCTTTTAGTATTTTTGTGGAGAATTTTGATGAACCAAATAATCTTGTAAGATGCAAAACACTCCAAAGCTCTAGAAGTCTGAAGTCAGGTTTGGTTTTCTTTTGTCTCCTTTATTTCTAGGTGCCTTTGTTGTCTGCTGGACTCCTGGCCTGGTCGTCTTACTGCTTGATGGTCTAAACTGTACCTACTGTGGGATTCAGAATGTTAAAAGATGGTTTCTTCTTCTGGCCCTGTTGAACTCTGTCATGAATCCAATAATTTATTCGTACAAAGATGATGAGATGTGGGGTACCATGAAAAGGATGATTTTCTGCTCCTCTGAGGATAAGAGTCAGGACAGACGCTCATCTCGGATCCCCTCAACAGTTCTCTGCAGGAGCACAGATACCTCAGGGCACTACATTGAAGATGGCATTATTCAAGGAACAATCTGTGGAAAAGGAGATCTTGGTGACAAAGGAAACTCCTGAGCTATGCAAAGAACTGACTTGGCTGGAAAAGGAGAGGGGGAAGGGAGAGGTTTTGTAAGAGAAGATTGACTGGCAAAGCTAGTAAACAATATATCCACTTTGTTCCAGAGCCTCAACTCCAGTGTTAACAAAAGTTCTTATAAATAATTGCCTGATGGAAAAACACTTTGTAATGAAGAAAACTTTCTGTGCTGCCATCTTTCTCCTTTTTTTCTTTTAAGTACATGAAATTGTTTTTTCATGTGAATGGAATAAATACCTCTCAGAGACTTCTTGTGCATGGAAGCAAAACGTAAGCAATGTAGTAAGACCCTCCTTAAGCTCCTACGGAGAAAATAAACCTGCCTGACTGCGCAGGTTTGGCATTCATTGAGTATTTATGCTTTGAACAGTTTCTGTGCATCTTGAGAAGGATTGTAGGCTTAGGTGGACAGAATCATGACATGTTTTCTCGGTTTCTGAATTTCATGAAATAGTTCATGCTTACCTCCTTCTTCTTCCTCCATATCTTGCTTTCAAAATAGGTACTTTGATGGTTTATTAAAGCTGTGCCAGAAACCTGGCTGTGATGGGATACCCAGACCAGACACCAGAGTGTGTGAGTATGTCTGACCATGGATTGTCAGGATCTGAGAGTACAGAAAGCACAAAAGCCATTATCACTTCCATAGTGGGGTGAATGCTGCAAGGGGAGACGTTGCACTCTCTGCTGCTGTTGTGTAGGCAGGTGTTGAGGGTGAATTAACAGAAAAGCAGTGAGGCTCATGCTCATTTCTTATTTACCCAGATAACATCAAATGGGTGTGGCTCACTCTTCTTTACCTGCTGTGCCACTGAGAGAAATGAGATCCAAAACTCTATTTTACAAGGGTGAACTTTTAAGGGAAGTTTAAATACACATATATACAGGTTCAGTCAGCTACTTAAAATAGAAATTAATTTACAGACAAAAAAAGCCTGAAATCAATTAAAACCCCTATAAGACTACAGTATGCACTGGTTGTCAGACCTTGTCTGGACCACATTTAACCTCCAGTTTGCAAACAGATCTTACTGGAACAGGTACTTGAGGGAGAGGCCATGAAACAATGAGCAGTGAAGGGCTTTCAGCATTGTGACTACTCAAATCTAGCGTTGGTGCAGCCACAATCCAAACAGCTGAAGTTTTGACTCATGGAGTATGCTATAAGGGAGGATCCAGCAATATAAAGCTCTAGGGTAAACTTTTAAAATTTAAAATTTAATTAAAAATTGGATTGTAGATTTCTCAGTACTCTAAAAACCTGGCTCCTGCTGTCTGGTTTCAGCAGCAATGAGCTCCCTGTCTCAATTTCAAAAGGAGTTACCTGACTTGCCTCCTAGAGAAAGTGTGATCTGTGGTAGTAATGCAGGTGACCACAACCAGAAGTCAGTTTGAAAAGTTTTGGAAATTTTTGACCACTTGGAATTGCCAGAAAACAACACCAAAAGTGTATTGTATGAAGCTGAAAGATGAAGGTTGGCTGTGGTTTGGACAAATTCCTTCTCTGGTGCAACTTGAATGTGGATATCTGGACTGTGTGGGTCAAACCAGAACCAGCGCTTGGCACAAAGACCAAGCAGTGGATTTGTAGAATGCACTGGGGGATTTCACAGCAGCCCTTAGCTTACAAACACAGCAAGGCCCTGTTCAGAGATCTCTCCCGTATCATGCATTATCTCGTAGGGATGTTGCCCACTATTCAAGGTAGATGCTGTATTTGGGTAATGCTAAAAACCTTTAAACATTTTTTGCCATTATAATGCAATTTTCTTGTGCAAATACTACTTCACTGCTTTGGTGTTTTGAAAAGTATGTAAAATGGTGCTTTGTAGAGGCAGTGGTATGGTGAGTTGACTCTGGCTGGAGACCAGGTACCCACCAAAGCTGCTCCTTCCCTCCTCTCTGCAGCTGGACCGGAGAGAGAAAATGTAACCAAAGGACAGGGAGAGATTGATCACTAATTACAGACTTGGCTTGGGGTGAAATTAAATTATTACCAATCAAATCAGAGTAGAATAATGAGAAATAAACCCAAATCTTAAAAATACTTTACTCCCACCCCTCCCTTCTTTCCAGGCTTACCTTTACTCCTAATCTTCTCTATCTTCATCCCACAGTGGTGCAGAGGGGCAGGGAATGTATCAGTTCATCAGTCTCTGCCACTCCTTCCTCCTCAGGGTGAGGATTCCTCATGCTCCTGCCCTGCTCCATTGTGGGGCCCCTCCCACAGGACACAGTTCTCCATGAACTTCTCCAACCTGAGTCCTTCCCACAGGCTGCAGTTCTTCACAAACCGCTCTAGTGTGGGTCCCTGCCATGGGCTGCAGTCTTTCAGAACAGGCTGTTGCACTGTCGGTTCCCAATGGGATCACAAGTCCTGCCATCAAACCTGCTCCAGCATCGGCTTTCCATGTGGTCACAGCCTCCTCTGGGCTCTTTCCCTGCTCCAGTATGGGCTCTTCCACAGGCTGTAGGTAGCTATCTGCTCCACCATGGGCCTCCATGGCAGGGGCACAGCTGTCTCACCATAGTTTGCACCACAGGCTCCAGGGCAATCTCTGTTCTGTGCCTGGAGCACCTTCTCCACCTCCTTGCTCACTGACTTCGGTGTTGGCACTGTGGTTTCTCTCCTCTCTTCAGCTGCAGTTGCACAAGTTTTTTTCACCTCTCTTAAATACATTATCCCAGAGGTGCTTCCAGCATCGCTGTTGGACTCAGCTTTGGACAGTGGTGGGTCTATCTTGGCGCTAGACTGGCATTGGCTCTGTCAGGAATAGGGGAAGCTTCTTGTGTTTTCTCACAAAAGCCACCACTGTAGCCCCCTCTGCTACCAAAAGCTTGCCATGCAAACCCAACACAGGTGGCATTGCCAAGGTGTAGCATGTCCCTACAGCTACCTGCAGTGCACGGTTTGTCTCAGCTAGGCTGAAGCTCTGTATGCAAAGCTAATGGAAAATAAAATGCTGCTTCAAAATAAAATTCTTGGTTTGTTTCCTATTTGAATGGTGATTGAACAACATTGATGGGGAAATGTTGTTTCATGTTATCATGGGGCAGGGGTAGGAGTGGGGGATGTTTTAATAAAATTTTCATGTTTACTAGCAACACTAAGCAGTGTATAATTTGGTTGAATCAGGCCCTGAAGAGAGCTTGGATGAAGATATTGAACCATCTACAGCAGCAGAGAAAATACTAGGTCTCTTCTGCAGAGCTTGGGATTCAGGCTGCACAATAACTACATGTGGATGATTCTTCCAGGTAAGCAGGAAAAGGTGACTTCTGTAAAGAACCTTGTTTGTAGAGCAGTTCATAGAGTAGACTCCTGGTCTAGATTAAAGTCTGAGAGGTATTACTAATCATTCTGCTGCAAGTAAGTGGGAGGGTTTGAGGTCTTTTCTTTCTGTTGTCTCTTTAAAAAAACCGACATCCCAACAAACAAACAAAACCAACCAAACCCCCCAGCCCCCAAAACTCCCAAAAAACCCCAAACCCCAAAAGTTCACAAACTGGTGCTTGGAGAATGGTACTATTTGCAGTGGCATGCCCTTTGTTTCTGCAGGATTCTTCCCTTGGAGCTGCTACCTCGTGGTCTACTGCTATAAATTGCCATGTGACATGACTGGAACAGGAAACTGATCTTGCATCAAACTTTCCTACAAACTGCTACAGCACAGGCTGTATAATGTTTCCTATATCAAACTGTCTAAACATTCACCTACTCACGTAGCGGGGAATTCCTTATTAACTCCACAAACATTCATCAGAATAGTTTATCTCAAGGAAACCATTAAAGTATTATTTATACTTGAGTTAAAAAAAAAAAAAAAAAGCAAAGGTCAGTGGGTGAAGCCGAGTTCTGTGGGGTTTCCCTGTTCCCTTTTTCACTAGTATCCCAGAATATCAGTATCTGCTGGCTTTGCATGTACCTCCTCCTGTTTATATATGTTAGTGTACATTCTATGGGGGAAGGCTTTAGGGTGAACACTCAGAGAGACCCAAGAACATTAGTTCTTAGGAGGCAGAGGAAGGCAAGGGAAGAGTTCCCATTAAGTTAGATAGTTAAAGGTTTCATGTGTTTCTGGTGATGCTGGAGGCTTTTCTTGTGTCTGAGAGAGCCTTGTGAGCTTCTGCATTGCAGTAAGTACCAAGCAGATACTTCTAAGACAACATCTTCATAGCAATTATGGTTTGAAAACCTTTGTGATATTCTCCTGTGTTTTTCTCTCCCCATCTGCTCCCAAACCAAAGTTGCTTTTTCAGTTGATCATTTGGTCCAGGAAGAAACGCTCCACGGCTTTTCCCAGGGCAAAGATGTATAGTCTGTCCTCCGTGGTTTGCTCTCCCATAAAGCCTGTGTGGTCACAATCATTATGGATGCTTTTCAGAGAACTATTATTAAAAGCTGGGAACAATGAGGTTTTATTTTACACGATAGATCTTTTGAATCTTTTTGGATAAGCAGCTAGACTGATCATTGTTTAGTAGCCGTGTGCGTGGGAGAGAAGTTTCCCTAATATCTGTGCTGTCAGTTTGACCTAGGTGGTGTGGGTGATGAGTCCCTCTGGGAGAGCAGCCAAATTGCTACAGCTTGAGTGGCTCTAGAGCATGGCTTTTGCAGTGCTTTGGGGCTGCTTTACTGTGATTACCTTTCCCTATGTATGGGTTTTTGATGAGTTTGGGGGTTTTTTTAGTAATTCCTGCAGACTGGGGAAATACATCAATATACGTGCATATGAGAGCTTGTACATGTATTTGAACTGCAATAATTATGGGAGCTGTGTGACATGATGGTGCCTTTCTCTGATCAGATCTTTATTTTATATATATTTTTTTTTAAACTTACAACTCTCTTCCAAGTAGCCATTAACCGTAGGGGCAATACTTCTGATGAGATTCTTGCACAGTTTTAGTGAATTCTGCATGGAGATTCTAAGCTACAAGACATTGGGAGATGAGGGAGTAAGGATCATTTTAAACTTGTCATATTTCTTATGCTTTTTCCCCTATGGTTCTGGCTATTGGCCACTATCCTAGCAGATGCAGTGCAGAATCAGCCTTTGGTTTGGCCCAAAGCAACTGCAACTTGAAAAATTAGAGCCAAAAAGAGAAAATATATGAAAATGTTAAAAAGAAGAAGGCAGGGAAATTCTGTTATCTATCCTAGCCTATAATCCTAATTAAATCACTCAATCACTAATTGATCCCACTTTCCCCCTTGTGCCTACTCCTTCTTATTCTGGTGCAGCCATTTGTGAGACTAAATGGTGAACTGTAGTAGGTCTGAAAAATAACCCTGGATGATACACATCGCTGGTAACTATAGAAGATTCTCCACTTGTCATGAGCCAGCAGCTCCATTACTTACTCTGTTATCTGGAGTCATACAGATTACTTGTTTTCTAGAAATCTTTGTAAAACTGTCCTCCTTAAATGCTATACTTTGCAGTGACTAGGCATGCTTTTATCATGGGAAAAGAAAAAAAAAAATCTAGAAATGAAGAATTAGGTCATAATAGTTTTCCCTCACCCACAAGGTCTTTTGAAATATAGGGAATTTAGATACTTATATGCTTTGAGCCATTCTTCAAGACATCTGGCCTATCTTTCAAATAGCAATTGATCCCTGGCTTCTTGTGTACACATCTTTATAATATTGATAGTGCTTTTTCATTGCAGCAGGCAGAAGCATCTGTTTTCTTCCAGCCTACTTAGAAGGGCTACTTTGCAGCTCATAGGTATCCCTTTTGAATTGTCTTGTTTGTGCATTCATGCATTTCCTCCTCTGTGTGTTGAAATAAATTAATTTTCAAACTAACCTCTGCTGTATTTAGCACAGACAATTATGTTAGGGACAGGTTTTTTTTCTGAACTAGTCTTTTCTAAAATCCCAATTGTGCATTTAGGATTCTGATATATGGCACTATAAGAATGTCAACATGCAGAATAAGAGAAGCACAAATCACTTATTATTCTGTTCTCAGCAATAGTTGTATTTTAGCTTAATTGTTAATTTCATTGAAACCATAGATATGGTCTAACTTCTCTAAAAAAGCCAAACCAAATAAACAAAAACTCCCATTAAAAAAACGATGGCAAAACAAACAACACCCCCACCCCCAAAAAACCCCAAAGGAAATCTAACATTGTGCATATCTGTAGGCCAGGAGTAAGTCAGCATACTTACCATCGCCGACCTTTAGTTCACCTGACTTGCTTTGAGATATAGGAAAATATGGAAGTCTTGTTTCTGAGCTCAGATAATTGCCTGGGGGGTTGGTAGGTGATTCCCAGGAATGTGCTTCTCATCTAGAGAAGTTCTTTAGCTTTCCTCCTGAAGCTGCTGTGGAAGGTGATGGGATACTGGCCTGGGAGCATCATTGTTGTCCCACCTGTTACTGCATTTCCTATGTTTAATAGTTAAGAATATATATCTACTGTATTGTCCCTAAATGTTAAGATTCTTTTGCATATGCTAGACTTTCACAGTACTGTAGAACTAATTTTATCTCCAGGTTCCATTGGTATTTATGCAAACAAATGCCTGGTGTGTTGGCTTACTGTTAGGAATATGTTCAGTTGCTAAAGGATGTCAAAATGCATGGAAGTGAAAAGGCTTGACCTCCAGAGATGGGAATGTTATTAATGCTTAAATGATTCTATTCAAATCCCAGTTAATGCATCAGTTGTTATGAATGTTACTGTATTTGTTCGTGCAGTGCACTCTGTGATACTGGGCTGGGATTTTCCCACAGGTACAAATGAGTTAATTTAATTAGAAACATAAGGTTTTGTGCCTAAGGGGATACAGGGCCCATGGACTGTGAACTTGCAGTAGCTCACCCCCAAGCTTAGCTTTAACTTTCTGCACAGTTATGTTGCTTTCAGTAGATCCTTTTCTGTGAAAGGACCCCTGTTTGTGTTGGCATTTGTAAGGTGAAGACTTTTAATGTCATGGTTTAGATGGTAAGTTTCTGCTAAATGGGAAACTGTCCCTATAGCAAGAGGCACAGCAGCAGCAGGCTGGCTGCCTTCATACACCGCTCCCTCACAGGCACAATTACCTATTTCATAGAGGAAACATTTGTGCCCATAAGCATGAATTTCCAGTGTTGGATTATGTCCCAAATTTGACCTATGTTCATTTGTTTTATTTTCTCCTTTAGAATCTCTTTGCACAGTCCATGTAATTTTTTGTGTGTTCTGCTTTGTTCTTCAAAGCACAGATTAAACCACACTTCTCTCTAAACAGATAAATTCCAGCAGTATTGAGTCCTAGAGCAACCCTTCAATTTCACAGGCCAGAGAACCACAAAACAAAATAAGTATGGTTGAGCAGAGATTTTAGTCTTGGGTTCTTGCAAGGTCAGAATACCAACAATAACAAAAATGTTAAAGTTTGCATGTATTAATTAAAAATGTTGGAGAATAATACTTTGTCAGAAGAAAAGTAGACCCTAAGCTTATGACTTATTTTAGCAGTTAAATAATCTGAGTAGGGAGTTCTGAACTGTTAATTTGTGAGTTTTTTGAACAGCAGAAGCACAGAAATATGTTTTCTGATTGACTTCTCTGAACTGGAAAGAAGCTGCTGTGGGCATTCAGCTCCTTCCCAGCATGAGGAATCCAGGCAGGAGGGTGATCTCCTGAAACTCTTCCCCTGGCAAAGTTCCTGCCCACATTTCTGTCTCCATGGGTACCAGGAGCTTTGCTGATTCACAGAAACAAAGCCAAGCCCAAGGATGGAGGAACTTGTGCAGAACACAGTGTGAGCTCTGGCTGGAGACTTTATGGTAAGTGGTTATGCTCCTTGTCCCCAGTGATTGCTGAGGTTGCCCTACAGTCCTTTCTTCTACAGAGGCAGGAGCAGACTCTCTTCTATCCAAATGTTTATTTTCCCAAAACTGTTGGTAAGGCAACACCTTCAGATCTTTTCCTCTCTGCCAGGTTTTAATGAAAGTGATGATTTCAGAATTATGAGAGACTTGTCAGGCAAAAAAGGATACAGCTGCCTCATTCCATTCAGAAATCAGGATAAAACTGTTCTCTGGTTGAAGTTCTGTAAGTCATGGATGCAATTTTATGCTCGCCTGTGCACAGGTAAGAACTCTCAGGAAGAGGATGAAGGCAATCCCCAAAGCTGCTTCCCAGCAAATCCTCAGCACCCTGATATCCCACCACTACCGTGCTTCTAATCTTCTCACCCAGTCAGTACCAGGAAAACACCAGAATCTGTCATCTTTATCTATTTGATTAGAAGAGGTGCCAGGGATGAGATAACACATGGATTTGGTATAAGCAGTTCATCCTCCCCTGCAGCAGTCAGGCCGAATATTTTGACTTGTTACAATAATTTCCTGTGGGCAGATAACCACTCTTCGATGCAAATGGTAGTAACAGTCTCCATCAGGAGCTGTCCTGAAGGGCTGTTGACTCATTTAATCCCACAATATTGAGTGAGCTGTTATTTCGAAAGCAGGCTGGATTCAGCATGTATTTGTATCAACACGCCAAAGATGACACAACTGCTGCCTCACCCAGCCCAGCAAAATGGGTTTTTGCTAATGCTTTATTTGGTCTCCATGTTTGGCTGGGAGACAAGCAACTTCTCTTGTGATGTGTTGTCTCTATGAATAGTAAACTAAAAACATTCTCTGCAAGGGAGTGGCACTGCTGTGTTCTGTTCACTTGATTTCTGCGTACCTCCCATCTGCATAGGTTCTAGTGGGAGATGTCACAGTGAGGATAAGGAGCTTGGGCTTCCTGAGATGCCACAGTGGCTGATACTGTCTGTCCACCAAATGCAGCTTGGAACTCCTTACAGTTCTTGCTACATTTTGGAAGTGGTGAGGAGAGATGGTGCCTGGTTTCTCTGAAGGAGTCCCGATGGTCCCAGTCAATCAGTGTGCGGCATCTGTTTGCCACCTGCATGTGGACTCCTCAAAGGTTCCACATCACTGCTGTCCTTGGAAAGCCCACAGGCACTCAGACATCTTTCCAGTTATGGGGTTTAAATTTTTGGTCCTGTAGTTTTTAAGGAATGTTTTTGACGTTGTCGACGTTGAAGCAACCGGAGCTTTCTTTCATCCAGGAGTAAAGTTGACTCAGCTCTGCTTTGCCCACCTTTATTTAAAGATCATGACTACTACTTCTAAAATGTTACTCATGAATGATATGTTCTTACATTATCTGCTTTTCCATCTGTTAAATGCCATGTTTCCAGCAGCAAAAATACCACTGTCTGACAGTAGCAGCTACCAGGGTCTGTTTAGACATCTTCAAAAAATAGTAAAGCCTGATACCACTAAATATAAACCAAGTCTTGTTCCAATAAAGTTTTCTTTGAATGTGGTTTTAGAAATGTTACTATTTATAGCACCTCTAGAATTTTATTTCTGATAGTAGGGAGGTTGTACTTATCTATAATTTTAAGTACAATTATTTGCTTATTCCTGGTTTAAATAATGTTATTGTTTATAACCCACATACAAATATATAATGCTCCATGTGAATCTACCCTCAGCATTCTGTGTGGTTGCTTCCCAACTCTGTTGGAACAGCACCTATGACCAGCCTGCTTCACAAAAATGTATCACATGGGCCATACCCATGTCCCATCTTCTGGGTAACCCCCATGACCTCATGACAGATCAAAAGTGTAATTATAAGCATAGCTCATGAAGCAGGAGATGCCCTGAACCAAGCCCTGCATATCACAAGTGTACAATTCACTACAAAATTACAATTCTGTAGTGAATAGTGCACTTAAATGTGATAATTGGAACAACAAATTAAATGAAACCTTGTTTATAATAATTGAGTAGATCTCAAGACTTCTCAAAGCCAGGTGTCCCATTATTAAGCATTGTCTTATGGACTGTATTTCCTTCAAGAACCTTGCAGCCTTGGCTGGGCATGAGGAAACAACCAAAGAGGTTCTGCAATGCTGCAGCTCAACAGTGCTGCACACAGACAAGCTGTGTGTCTGCAGGAGGCTTGGGCACCCTGTCCCTGGTCCTGGCTCTCTTACACCTCTATCCCTATGGCCTTAGCACCTGCTGGTCCTTCAGCCCACCTGGAAAATTGCTGAAGAGCACAGCTCTTCCAGTCACAGCCCAGCAGGAACAGGGGCGATAATGTATTGGCCACTGGCTGCTCTTGGGGTAAGGTCTGTCCCATGAGTAGTCACAGAAGTGAGTGGTGCCTGTGGCAGCTCCTGGTCCTGTGAGAGCTGGAAGACAAAGTGGCAGCATTGGCAGCTCTCCTGGCATTGCATGAGCATCTTCCTGCTCAAGACTGTGGATGGCTAAAAAATGCATTGGAGAAATGCATGTTTTAGGGCTAAAACCAGAGATGGGAGGGGGTTGTGCTGGGGCCCGGGCTCTTCCTGGTGGCAACAACTGCAATCTGCTCCCAGGTAAGGCATATTTTTGGTGTGGATGTTTTTTCCTCTGACAGTGCACCCTTGGTGCTGCCCCTGCAGGAGCCGCTCTGGGACGTGGCACGGCACGTTCCCTGCATGGTACACAGCACTCCTGGGGCTCCCCACCCCCGTTGCCTGGAGCCTGCGGGATGGCCCAGCGCCTCGGTGGCACCATTGTGTTGTGCCCGCTGGCCATGTGCCACCCCGAGGGCTCCCTCATCACCCTGGGACTTCACATGCAGTGCTGATCCTGCCCAGCCCTTGGAAGCCCCTCACCGGGGACTGGGCAGGGGGGTGACGGGGTGGTTTAGGGAGAGGGCAGGCAGAGGAGTGTAAAGATGGGGCTGTTGATAAAGTCCAACCACCAAACCGGTCTGGAACAGTGTGATTTGGCACACTGCAGGGAGCTGTAGCTAACAACACAAAAGATGAATAATTGCAGGTCATGGCATTCATTCTCCGAATTTAAAAATGATTAAGCTCTCGGTGAGGGCAGGCAGCTGCAGGTTCAGGCTGCCCTTGTCCCCCTGGCCATGGTTAACATGGCACTGACACCTGGCTGGCGAGCAGGCACCTCTCTTCCTCCAGCAGTGCCCTTCACCCAGAGCAGGGCTGCCACAGGGCCTTGCTGTGCCCCCTCCTGCCCTTGGACTGTGCACAACATGAATGCCAAGGGTCCTTCTCCTGCTGCTCAGTTCTCAGCCTGGATCAGCAGATGAGATGTAAAACTGTGACAGAGGGGTAGGTCACAGCCACCACACATACCTGTCTGAAGCAGGTGGTAATGAAAGGGGTAGGAAGGGTGAACATTTGACTCCAAACAGTATGGCCAGCCTGGCACTTTGTTCTGCTGCTGTCCTGAGTCATGTCCCAGGGAGGTTTCTGTAATATTGATAAAGTGGATAGTAAAAATAAAAAGTCTGGTTTCCAACTATAAAACTGTAACCTATATAAAACTATATCTTATCAGGATTCTCTTATCTAATTTTACATTCTCTCTCAGTGCTTGTGAGGTACGACATGTGCCCACATCTGTCCTTGAAAAAGAAACAGTAGCTACTGTGAGTTCCTCCAGAAGGCTTGGATTGAATAGGAAATCCCGAGGATGCTGCTAGTATGTGTAAAAATGTTGACTTTGGAACTACTGCTGTATGTTTTGAGCTAAAGAGTCTGTGTGAGTTTTGCTGTCAATCCTCAGGGACAATGCTTTGGTACAGTCAATGTGGCACTTCAAAGCCTGAATCCTGTAAGCAGGAGGTTGAAGCTAAAACAGGAGCAAATTAAACCACCAATGTTTGCAAAATGGTCCTTTCCTCTGACTGCTGATGGTCTTCTAGTCCCTTCCCTGTTGGAGTCTAAATGTCTACCAGCTCTTCTCAGAGCTGTGGCATTGCTGGCCCAGGAAAATTAATTATTTTCTTTTGTCTTCCAATTGTGGGGGTTTTCCCCATTTCACTAAGAAGCCATTTGAGAATCCCCTTACTGTCTGTGTGTCTACTTTTAATGTGCCTTTGCTGCAAAGCTTGCAGAGGTGCCTCCTCAGCTAAAAAGAACCCCAAACAAACAAACAAACAAACAAAACCCCACAGACATAACCAAGTGCAAAAATAGAAAGGGCTATCACAAAAACAAACCATTGAAACATACTGGATCACAAACCAGATATAAACCACTAGTGCTGGGGTGTTGCAAGCAGAGAAAAAAAATAAAAGTTTTGTTCTAAGATCTGTTAATGGGATGATTGCACCAGCAGCATGGGGGCTCAACAGTGGGAGGCCACATCTAGGACACTGGGTTCAACTTTTGGGACAAACTGGGAGGTGTCCAGAGGACAGCAACACACCTGGCAGTTGTGGAAAATGTGACCACTGACAAACATCTGAAGGAATCAAGCTGAGCACTAGACTTTTTTCATTAGAGAGGATAAGCACTGTTACTGAGTGTTAAAGAGAAGAGATGGGTGTACATGTTGGAGCCTCAGGTATGGTTAGGTATATCAATTTAGACGGAATAATCTTAGGTTTCTTCCAGTGCTATGTTATTGCAGATGCCCAAATGGGGCTTTAAAATTTTCATCCTGCTTGTTTTACAAGATGAGGTGGGAGGAAGGCAGGCTGGCAGCCACAGCACAAGCCCTCACAACCACTGTTCCCAGATCCCACTTCTGGTTCCACTGCTCGCCCTGAACAGTGTTATCTGCAGGTAATAGACTTACGATTCCTGTCCTTCTTAAAAGGGTTAACAGCTAAACTCTTTCTTGAAGCAGGCTGAGGTCTCTGTGTGAGTGGAACTAAAGATCTGCAAAGCAAAATTACGTTGATGTTAAGGCGGCAGAAGGGATAAACTATCCTGGCTCATATATAAATATTTGCACTTACAAACAGGGGCAAGAGTAACTGGAGAAAAATGTGGAAGACTCATGCTGTTACTGTTGTTTTTTAAAGTTTACTGTCCTGCAATTAAATACCTTTTAAATAATTCTATGGTAGCCATGGCACAACAAAACCCCCTATCCTCTTCCACTCAGTGACCAACCTGCATTTCAGTGCTGGTCTAAGTAACTAAGTCTCTATGGTACCAGTGTTTTAGACAAAGCACAAGTCTGGAGGAGCTGGGTCCTGCTTCTTTCTTTGCCCAATTTAAGAAAATAAAAACAAAATAAAAGATGCAATGGAAATTAATACTAGTCAGTTACCTGTTTATTATTAAGAGATAGCTCTGATCATCTGAGTGCTAGGCCACTCAGTAATTAAAAAACATCTCAGAACCATGAAGCAAGCTGTGCTCTACACACTCCATTTCAAACAGAACAATGATAGAAAACAGCTTAAAGCAGATACTAAAAATAGCAGACATCAGGTTAATGAGCATGGGATATATTGGGCACATTAGGGTACACGGAGAAATAAAAAAAAAAAGTAAAGAAATAAAAATAAAAATTTATTTTTTATTTTAATCTATTCCATCTTCCAATAGCAAAACCATGGAATTTCAGCCGGTGTAAAATGCTCCTGACTCACAGCATAACCCTATGGATGGGCACCCTCCCTCGCCGTTCTGACAGGGAGCCATCGAGCACCCCCAGCCCACCCGTCAGGTCTGAGTATCATGGCATGGCCCTGGCAATGCCAAGAGTGGGAACAGCAGCCCTGCTGATTCATGCAGCAGCTTGGCCACACACCACCCTGAACATCCTGAAAATCTGCGTTTCCCAAAACCAGCCATTTGGAACACTGT